ATACCCCAAGATCCTGAAATCAGATTCCGTCAGAAAACCATGCTTTCGTATCCAGCAGTGCACATTTGTTTTACAGTTTAGGGCCTTATGTCTACCACATCAGTTCAGTGTTTTTTTGGGTGCGCATTTACATTCGTTTGATATCAACATTCTTGTCTAAATTGCCAATCTATATCAACAAATCTGTGGGTGCAGTTCCGGCTATAAGTGAATATATGTATATATACATATGTATATAAGTGAATATATATATATAGATAGATAGACATACCTATATATATATATATAGACATATATATATATATACATAACCAAAGTTACCAATCTGAGGGGTTGTATCCCAACTTATGTAGGTGAACTCACCTTTTAGCCATAGCACCAATTACATCCCCAAGTGAGGCCCGCAAATTATGTTTGTTGGTTTAAAATCTGATGTAACTATAATCAAAACCCGGTATTATGTTAGCCATTCATTATGGTACCCATAAATCCCAATTAATGATGTTTGTTCGTTTTGAACCCATTAATTATGGTACCCATAAACCCCAATTAATCTCGTTTATTCTCACCACGTAGCTATCCATGTGGGAACCAAACATATAACCCATTTACATTTGGGTTTATGTTCCCCATGATATTCCGTTTATTGTTGGTTTTATACGGCTACCTCCCATGATATCCTCATAAGTATTACCATACTTATTGGTTAAATCCCAATTAGTTCCCCATTTACAACTGGATTATAGGCAGTTGTAACCATTATAAACACATTGAAGAGTTAAAAGTAGTTATCTATAATCTAGATACACAAATCTATGAACAGTTAATGCGTTAATAATGTATTTAAGATTCATATTCTGTTCTGGTAGTTAATAATGGTTGATCGATCATAGTCAATAATGGTTAATAAATGGCAATATAGTTAATAATAGTGATTTATCATATTTATAATCCAGAAGTTATATGTGAACATCTAAAAATCTCTATGGATTATTCATGGTTTATCATGGATAAAGATGGATAAAGGTGGATCTCTATAAATGATCTTTTAATCCATGAATAATCTATTTCATTATAAAGATCCATGATTATCATCCATTAATCATAAAGATAAAGATAAAGATGAAATCCATTGTTATCAACCAATCCATTATCAACCAATCCATTCATCCATTATCAGCCAATTCATCCATTATTATCATCCATTAATCATTATTAATCATTATTAATCATTAATCCATTATTATCTATTAATAAAAATGGAATTAATGGATATTTCATGGAGGCCCTGGATGACCTGAGGCTGGGAAACAAGTCTCAACCAGGCGCTCACAGTGGCGCAGAGACGCACGCTGGGCGCCGCGTGGCACCGGAACGGGTTACCGTGAACGGGCACCGTGAATAGCTCGTGTGTTTCGTTTGTTTCATGAGAACATGGGGATGGGTCAAAACCAATAGTACCCCTGTAGTTCACATCAAAATAGCTGGGATTTATGGATGTTCATCCCACTAATGGTATTAATAGGTATTGATCCATACCCACATGACGAAAATGAATCAAAATCACCATGAAATAGTCACTTAAAATGGGGATACGACTTTTTTTTTCTTTCGGATTATTTGGAGGATTTTCGGGAAGATTGGAAGATTTACAGAAAAACCAGAATGGGAGTAATGGGAACATGACCCAGCAAATGGGACCTACCAATAACATCCATTTGATCAGTGAGTTTAGTCTTTGAGCAACTTTCCAGAACATTAAGGCCCAGGGATCTGAGTGTTCGGTGTTATGAAACATTTTTCAATGGAAAATCCATGGTTTCTAGATGTTTTTCTCCATGTTTGAATGGGAAAATTCCATCTATAAATAGAAAATGTCCATCTATAATGGGAAAGTTCCATCCATGTTTTTTCCATCCATCATCTTCCATTATTTCTTGATGGTGGTTTCAATAGAACACAGCAACAGAAGTTTTCCACCATCGATCTTTCTTCCAGCCATGCTCCATTAGCTTTCCGCGGGGATTTCGCTTAGCTGATGAGCTGAACATTCGGCAATTCAAAACGTGGCAATGGAAAATAACCGAACGTTTGATGGAAGTTCTAATGGGAAAATCATCGAAAATCATCTATACATGGAGGTATATACATATATGATCACATATAATTATTTAAGTAGAATATTTGGATCAATTACACCGAGCCTCACGTCGCGACGTCACTGGAATGATGATTAGGATTGGGGTAGAACAAAAATGGGTCAATTTGAGGATAGTCCATCCAAATCATCATAGCATTAATAAGCCTAAAATAATCATCATTAATAGCCATTAATAGCATTATATTAATCATCATAGCAAATAATCTGCCCAGGATCTTAATAGCATTCAAATCCCCATCGATGATTTTCCCATTTCCGCCTAGAAACATATACGACTACCCATCAAGTCCTCATCAAGTCCTCTTTCCGTGGACATCAACACCCAAGCACCAACATCTCCAATGACTTTGTCGGCCTAATGTTGGGGGTCATGAATCGATCTTCACAGCGATACGTTTTTCGCCACATTCATGTGGGATTGGCCTTTTCATAGTCATCTTTAGCTGCAAAGATAGTTGGATGGCTTTGACAAAATCCCACTTGGTGGCTCATCCCACGGCTCGTAAGTGGGTTATAACCCCAGTGATTTACATGGGATAAGGAGCGGGTTAATCCACTGATAATTGGGGTTATAACTCACTTACGAATGAGACATTGTTTTGGAGCTGGTTTTGATTCATCCCCAACCTTGGATAGGTAGTTGAGAACCAAAATCCTCGAGTTTTTGGCTGTAGAACATCATCATAACCAGCAGAAGATGACCATTTTTTGTAGACCACCAAAGATTGACCATGAATTATGTCCCAAGTTTTTGTTGCATTGTAACCATATCCCAAGTATATATATATATCCCAAGTATAAATCCTTATAAATCTCACATATATCCCATGAAAACCCATACCAATTGTAACCCATTCGTAGCCCCGCCTTTGTCATTCCCCGCCCCTTATCTCAGGTGGAGCTGCCACCGGAAGTTGTTGGGGGACCTGGCGCTACCCGGAATCCATTGGTCAATCCTCATGATTTCCATCAAAAAATGGCTATATCTGGAGGATTGACTAATGGATTTTTGATCCAAATTTTGATGGAAATCCAGAAATCCAAACTTGATGGAAATCCATTTGGTATATCCAACGAATATTTGGTCAATCCATATTTGGAGGTATACCCTATTTTCAGACAGGCAATCATCCACAAGGAGGTGTCATGGACTGCCAATAAATGACATGGGTTCTGTTTCTTGAATATGGTTTTGTTTCAAATATGGGATGAATTAAGCCAGTTTGGATGCTTATTCTGTAGCAGCCATGAATGTCCTGTTGGTGGGACTTATAACATAGTTCATAGATGTTCATAGTATATACTGCACACAGACAAATGTATAGCGAAGGGTACATAACATAGTAACTGAACACCATATTATAAGATTGAACAGTTATCAGACCCCAAATAGATACCTGGTTGGTGGTTTGGAACATTTGGATTATTCTTCCATTCAGTTGGGAATGTCATCATCCCAACTGACGAAGTCATATTTTTCGGAGGGGTTGAAACCAGGTGAAACCACCAACCAGTTTTAGTCATTCATCACAGTTTTAGATTCGGATTTGTTTTTTCTTATCTTTTTGGGGATAGCAATAGGTGCATTGGATGCTAGGCCAGGTTGCAAGGTTCCTCTGGTCTTCGTTGATTCACAAAAATATACGATTGGTGGGGTGGTTAGCACTTAAAATTGATAGAGATTGAACCAGCAAAATTAAAAATTATGGGGAGAATTGATTTCTGATACCGTAACTAAGTTGGCTTAGTTCACGGGTATTTCACTGCTGGGTTTATGGTAGATATATTGAACTACGGTACGTAAGTGGGGTGAAACCGAACCAACATCACTGGGGGGCACGTTGTAGCCGTTGTAGCTAGTCGCTGAACTCCGGTGTCACTGTGGTGGTACCCTTCGGTGGTCGAACTTGGCGAAAATCACTGTGGTGGTACCCTCCATTGAAACCCTGGTGGTACGCCCGGTAAACTGAGATGGCTATCAAAATCAAAAATGATATCGTATAAATGGGCCATGGATTCCATAGGCTATCATAGCTACCCTCTGGTAATTTAACATAGCTATTGAAAATGGCCCATTTATAGATGGTTTACCTATTAAAAATGGTGATTTTCAATAGCTGCGTTAAATTACCAGAGGTTATGTTTCCTGGAGGGTCCCATCAATAGCCCCAAGCATTGTTGATGGTTGGATGACTCTTGGATTCTGTCGTCATCCTGGCTTGAAAGTCGGCTGAATGTTATGTAAGAATCGGCTGGTGATGAAATGTTGTTTAGAGCAGCAGCAAAAGCTCCGGAACATCACGGAATGGATGAGTCACAAATCAAAAAAAGCAACACAACTTGGATTTATGAATTTCAGCCAGATTGGAAGTCAATGACTTGCAACAACCACGCTTTTTCAGCTTGCATGTTACCCTCTGGTAATTTGTTACATAGCTATTGAAAATGGCCATTTATAGTGGATTTAACCATTAAAAATGGTGGATCTTTCCATAGTTTTTTGTATGTTTACCAGAGGGTATCAGGAAAACAAACATGGTGCACCACCGAATTTCGTTTTCACATGGTTTTCATCATCCCAATGTGATTTCTTCGAGCTTCACAGTTCTCAATTTCTGCGACCCATGTACATATTAAATATATACCCCCATTGAAAAAAACGAGTAGACTTGTTAAGCATGTGGGGATGGGTCAAAACCTTGTACCCCTGGTGAACATCAACTTAGCTGGTAAATGGATGTTCATTTCCCCTAAAAATGGTATTTATAGGTATTGATCCATGGCCATGTATTTTTAACCACCGAAAAAGTGGCGTTGATCCTCCAAAAAAAGCGGCCGCATGGTGGACAGCAATGGCCTCCTCTTTAGCTCCGAAGTCAACGACACGGCGATACGTGCGGTGGCTGCCAACAAGCGACGCTGGGCCGCGGTGATGGGAGAGCTGAGGGGATGTTTTTTCTTTTTTTTGTGGCGCTGGCCATGGGGATTGAATGAGAATATCATGAGTGATACCAAGACATACCCTCTGGTAAACTAACATAGCTATGGAAAATCACCATTTTTAATGGAAAATCCACTATTTCTATGGCCATTTTCAATAGCTACGTTAGTCATTACCAGAGGGTATAGGATTTAATGGGATTATCATGGGATTCAATGGGACTATCATTGGGATTTTTTCAGCTGCATGGCGTGCTCGAATCATTTGGGACCATCGCCAGATACTCTAATGTCAACCCGGGATCAATAAACCATGGTTTATTAATTGGAGGGGTACTCCTCCGATGGTGATAATTAAATGGTACCTTCCCAATTAAACAGCCGTAAACGGGGTTTATTAATCCAGGGTTGACATCTGTCCAAATTTCTTGGACAGATGTACAACACTATAATTTCAATGGTCATTCCAGGATCCTAAATTGGAGGTACCTACCATATTATTATAAGGCCTATGTAAGGGTTATCTTGGATTCTTTCCCGTGATACGGTAGAGGATTGGTAGAACCATGTGCTTCACCAAGTTTGTAGAAACAGAAAACAAATTGGTCCAGCTGGAAAAATGCTGTGTTTTTGGAGCCCATCAATTTTTGGTGCCCCTAACCAATTTAATCCTTAGCTGAGAAACTAAACTAGGATTCATGGTTAGTACAACATAGCAGCTATAGTTAGATGGGAAAGTAGATCAACCTGATATGGTTAGTTTGGATGGGTTTACTTAGAGAAGCTTAGTTCGATGGTAGATATATACCGTCTCTGGGGGCCCGGAACATCCACCGCTGTGGCCAAATTTCTGAGGATTCATCGTGCTATGTGCAGAGGATAACAATGCGCGGGTCTTCGATACGAAGCTCATCTGCCGGCAGGTTGTCGTTGTGGATTTTTCCCATACGGAATAGGGGTTTCAAACATGGGAGTACCCGGCCTGGTAAACATACAAAAAGCTATTGAAAATGGCCATAGAAAGAGTGGATTTACCTATTAAACATGGTGGATCTTTCCATAGTTTTTCGTATGTTTACCAGAGGGTATTATATAGGGAAGTAGTCTCATCATTAGGGGTGCCTATAAATTCCACTCATGATGTCTCCGGGATTTCCAGATGATTTCCACATGATTTTCCCCATGTTTCCCCAGACTTTTCTCATGACTTCCCATGTTTGCCTACTATTTTCCATAGGTATCAACTATCACTCACCATGTTCATATTTTTCCCAAAGTATTCCATTGTATTACCATACTATCCCCATGGTTTTCCCGTTCTATACCCAAGCATTTGTCAATCATTCCATTTATATCTGGTTGGTGGTTTGGAACATTTGGATTATTTTTCCATATATTGGGAATTTCATCATCCCAACTGACGAACTCCATCATTTTTCAGAGGGTAGGTATGCCACCAACCAGTATATAATCTGCTATTATTGCCATTTCCCCACTAAAATCTCCCTGATTCTCCAAGTTCCCCATTGTTTCCCACTATATCCCACTCTATTCCCAATAAAAATCTCCCCATTGCTTCCCATCATAAGCTACACTTTTCCATCATAACCTGCTGTTGTTACCATTTCCCCAGTACATCCCCACGGCTTTTCCCATCATGATCTACACTTTTCCTAGGATTCCATAGGGTTCCCTGTGGCTTTCCCATGCGAGGAAGGGAAGCCTGCTGCAGACGCTGCAAACAGCACAGAAGACGCGCAACGTTGCCATCTTCGTGGGGAAGACCCAGTGATTCGGAGAAGAGGTATGGTGAGCTCTAAACCATTAATATCCATTAATGATAAGTAATTCCCATTTATCTTCCCATTAATTTATGGATTATCATGGGGTATGATTCAATGGTATATTATATATAGACAGTATTATATATACATATGTATAAATATATATATATACACAGTATACACATGAAAATGGTAGATATCTATAAGCAACTGAATATGAATGTGATATCCTGTTGCAATGGAATTTATAATGATTAAGGAAAAATGAGCTTATTGGGAATATAATTTAATGGTATACAATATTGGATATCAGGGATATAATGGGACATGACGACTGGGATATAACGATGACTAGTTGTTTTATGTTATTCTATGGCTAGATACTGGGACTTGGGTAACTGAACAAGGTGTTTTTTTTGGTTTCAACTATCAATTCTATAGGGATAAAAGTGATGAGAGCGATTCAAGTGGACGGCTTAACCAACTATGGTGGTAAAACTACATAGCCAAGATGGGGGTTGACGAACAACAATGGGGGATGATAGGGACAATTCCAAGTAGTTAATTTTGGTGCGACCGCACGTCATCACTCCCAGCATAATGATTCGAAGGGAGTGTCCCATGGCCAAACTTTTGGGAATTTGGTCCTAGCTCATCCAGATCCCTGCTTTGGTAGGACCAATAATATATAATCATTATATATAAATTATGTCCCATATTATGATAATGATGATGATGATTATTCTTATTTTTATTATGTTTTTTTTGTTATTATTGCTAAAATGCTCCAATTTTGGATGTCACAGTACCTGCCATTATTATTATTATTATGATTCTCATTGTACAGGGTTCGTTCGGTCGGCACAGCCTGGGTTGAGGACAGATATGTGGCCACGGGCGAGAAGAATGGCCTTGGTGAGCTCTTTGACCTCGGCGAGAAGAAGAAATCCGGGTCGCTTGGAGCGAGGGTTGGAGTTGATCGAATTGGAGGTTTTAATGGGAAAACCATAGGAAAACCATAGGAAAACCATAGGAAAACCATAGGAAAATGGAGGTTTTAATGGGAAAACCATAGGAAAACCATAGGAAAATGAAGGTTTTAATGGGAAAACCATAGGAAAACCATAGGAAAACCATAGGAAAATGGAGGTTTTAATGGGAAAACCATAGGAAAACCATAGGGAAATGATGGAAAATGGAGGTTTACCCTCTGGTAAACGTTTACAAAAAACTATGGAACATCACCATGCTATTAATGGGAAAACTCAATATTTCGACTGGGCCATTTTCAATAGCTACGTTAGTTTACCAGAGGGTAATTAGCATTTTATTGGGATAACAGAAGTTACAATGATCTCCTATCGTAGAGTATCCTGGATATATGTCGGATCGTTGGGAATATAGACTTTATAATGGGATATCATGGGATATTAATAGGATACACCATCTGCTTATTTAACATAGCCATGGAAAATCCACCCATTTTTAAGAACGGTAAACCATCGATTTCTATATGGGCCATGGCTTCCATGGCGAACTGTTAGTCATAACCAGAGAGTACGCACAGTCAGACTGGATATCTAAGACCATCCAATCTAAGGGATGTGTTAAAAATCCCTTAGACCAATCCAGGATGTTTGTGGTATGGACATCCAGAATGGTTTTTACTTGGTGGCTCATCCCACTTAGTAAATGGGTTATAACCCCAGTGATTTACATGGGATAAGGAGCGGGTTAATCCACTTATAATTGAGGTTATAACTCACTTACGAGCAGTGGGATGAACCACCAAGTAGCGATTTTTTGTTTTTGAATAAACAACTACCCGGCCTGGTAAACATACACAAAGCGAACGGGAAAAGTTGCCATTTATAGTGGATTTACCCAGCTATAAAAAGGAGTATTACCCTCTAGTTATTTAACATAGCTGGAAAATCACCATCTTTAAGTTCGGTAAATCAACTATTTCTAAATGGGCCATTTTCAATAGTTTTTTGTATGTTTACCAGAGGGTAATCATGTTGACCTGTTATTTACTATCCCATCGTATTCACTGTTGATACTATCTTCATTTTACTAGCACTAGCCCTTTATTAATCACATGTGTCTTACTGGTGCTTAGCAGGGAATTTTTCGGGAATGATCCATAATCACTAGTAATAATCATCCCAGCAACCCGCAGCAACCCATCCATTCCCTACGTTTAGCACCAGTAAGGTGTATGTATCAAAAAATGGGATACCCTGATATACCCTCTGGTAAATAAACATAGACCCTGAAAATAACAAATTTTTAATGGAAACTAATCTTCCAAACCTCACCTGGCAGGGTCTATGTTAATTTACCAAAGGGTACTATTTAAATGATGTTGAAACATCGGATGGAATGGGCTCTTCTCAACATTTTCAGACGAGGAATTCAGATGTTGATGTCCTGGTCGAGGAATCTACGAAATTTTCCTGGATACAGCTATACCCGGCCTGGCAAACGTTAACAGTTTGCTATATGGCCCAGTCGAAATAGTTGATTTGCCCAGCTAGATAGCATGGTGGATCTTTCCAGTTCGTTATGTAAACGTTGACCAGGCCGGGTACCATTTTTGTCTATCAATTGCCAGATAAACCCATACCTCTTCGCTGGATGATTTCGTATTTTACCTTTGCTTTGCTGGATAACATCCATAACTACCCTCTGGTAAACTAACATGGCTATGGAAAATCACCATGTTTATTGGGAAAACTCACTATAAATATCTATAAATGGCCATTTTCAATAGCTATGTTAAATTACCAGAGGGTATCCATAACTATCTGTTATCTTCCATAACTTGCCTGGATTCAAAAAAATCATCAAGTGGCAAAGCTTCCCGCAAATTGCCACTACTTTTTGCCCGGCAATTTGCCGATCGAATCAGTTCTGGCGCCCTTGAGATGGTCGTCGCATGTCCAGTTGATGTGGAACCAAGTTATCCTACCAAAAGGGTCCACTTTTTTTTGCCTCGTGTCTATGAAACATATCCCATAATTGAAGGAAAATTGGCCGAAACCATGGATGAAGCCAGGGTTTGATGAACGAATCTTTCACCAAAGGCATGGCAGTTGTGCCAAATTCCACGGCAGCAGCATGTTGTTTTTGAGGTCACTTCTTTGTACCCTGCAAAGCAAAGGCAAAGTGTCAGCGCCTGGCTTTGCTTCGGCTTGGGGTCGGGGGGTGGATGAACACCCCCATATTGGAAGATCATGCCGGATCACCACTCCGGAGCGCCGTATTGGCCGTTTTTTTGGTGATTGGGTGGTCATGTGGGGACCCGAAATCATGGTGGAGACGGTCATTTTCCCAACAAAGAGAGAGAGAGAGAGAGAGAGAGCGAGAGCGAGAGTGTCTCGTAGTTCTCCCCTGGAAAACCTGATTTTTGGTCTGGTATTGGATCTCTTCATTTCTTTTCGTGATTCTCTTGACAAGGAACAGGATTTGCAGGAAGATTTTGTTTATACAGTACACCTGTTATAGACATGATATATATATATATATACGTGATATGTGTGTATGCACCATAATCAACGGCCATTTCCTAAATTGGAGGTACCCAACATATATAAGGCCAATGTAAGGGCTATGTAAGGGAATATCCCCACAAAATATGGCCTTATATGGTACTAACGTACCTCCATTAAATCGGATCCTGAAGATCTCCCATTGACATAAACCCGACAGTTTTTCATTTCATCGATCAATTTTGGTTTAAAAAAATCAACTGGAAGAGCCTCACCACTAAGGTCACCATGTACAATGTGGACATTTGCAGCACTTCAGTGATGTTGTCGCTGCTCGGACGGCGCGACATGGATACACTGGGCACCGGTTCCTATCGATTCCTCTGAGCCCAGGTGACCCCGACCCATCCCAGAACCAGCGCACCAAAACGGCAATCCAAAGAAAAAACCAAAAACCGCTGAGAAAAAAGGCATTTATAAGATTTTATAAGGATTCTTATAATACAGAGAGATATGTTCGAATGTGATTATGCGTGCGTTTTACCTGCACGGCCTGCGAGCTTTGTCATCGGTGATGTCGGCACTTGCTTCGTGCTTGCCTGAGCTGTCTTTATTTGTGCAACAAATTTAAGGCACATTTGCTCATCGCAGCTTTGATGCAAAGAAAGCAAGACTGCGTTAGCCCGGCCGAAACTGTCGCTTCTTCGGCCCAAGAAATTTGCTGTGCGTGTGGAAGATACGGCAGTTCATCCTTTTTCTTCTTGTTCTTCTTGTGCTTGCTTCCGGGCGCATTATGTGGTTTTGGTTGTGGTGCCACAGGAGCTTGGTTTCCTTTGCTGCTGCTTTTGAAGATGAATTGAAACTTGAATCATGTCCGCCACGTAATGCATCCATTTCTTGTAATATATATTTGTACAGTTATATATATACATATATTTACAACTTATATTTATTGAAGGAAGTTTAGAAGTCAAACTTCCGACAATATGGACAGATGAAAAAGTAGAGGTGGGAAGAGTCAAAGAAGAGAAGAGAAGAAGAAAGAAGATCGGAGAAGAGAAAGGAACTGTCGCACAATGGAGAGCTCCTCGAAGAATTCAAAGTCGAATTCAAAAAGCTCGCAGAGTAAACGTCCAAGAAGTGAACAGCCGGACACTCAGAGCACACACAAATGGTAGCCTTCAATTGGCCTCGAAAAATTTCCCTGCCATCTTTGCAGAATAATGACAGAGCAACTCCTGTGTGCAGTTGTCGTTTTCACGTTGAGTTTGCACCAGATTCACTGCGACATAGGGAATGGCACTGCTGTTTCCTTGCAGATATCCAGCAAAGGTACTCCTGGAATCCTGGGAACACCGCCCAACAACACCAACACCAATGTCAACCTTGACGACACCAATACCAACAATGACGTCAACAAAATCAAGAAGGAAAACAATACACACACACACCAACGCTAACACTGAACCTCTTGGAATCGAAATTCACCCAGAAGCCGCAGTGGAAACTGCACCGAACCTTAGCCTGAGACCGTTAAGCTAACGCCCTTTTTTGGGGTTTTCGAGGGGTTTTCAAGCATGGAACATTTTAGGACATGGTGGTGGGTTAATTTTATTGCCATTTTGACGGGATATGATGGGAAATTATGGGCATTGTAGCCCACAATCTGATATTTGTCTGCAAGTTGATGATTTGTCATACTGCAAAATATGATTTTGATGATGATCCATGAACTTGGATTTCCGTGTTTCACCAACCATTATGATCCGCAACTCGATTTGTGAAGGAAAACGGTGAGAACATGCTCCCATAAGTTGTATCGGCCTGATGGTGAAGTCCTAGAATGTATTTTATAAGTCAACGACCATTCGTGAACCACAACCCGTTATGGGTATATGGGAATTTCACCAACGCCTTAAACTTTTTTCATTTCATCCCCCTACTATCCAACATCCCCAAACGAAATTTCATGAAAATACAGATTTGGAACCATAGAATGGGGTTGTTTCATGCTTTACAGAGGGATGGGATTAAGCAAACCTTTATAGTCCACAGTGGCTGATGAGTGATGCCGGCATGTTCTGGACATGGTGGCCAGCTTGAATGGTGTTCCATTGAGCAGTGGTCAAGGGTACTCCGAAAGAACACGTCCACCCCATCATTTGGTGACCTCCAGTGATGTCTGATGGTTTGTAACCCCTATAACTACAGATATCTAACATATATTTAAGTGACCAAATGGAATTATACACCATCTTAGCATCATAAACGAATCGCAAATCAACCATTTTCTTTGGTGAAATCCACATTTTTTGGTGGTGAAAACCTGAAATCTTGTGGGTTGATGTGGGCCCCTTGACATTGTACGCAAGCTGAAGAAAGATTTGGGCACCTCCCTGGAGTTTCTCCATGAAGTTCTCAGAGATAGCTGAGACATGGTTGAAACCACTGTTTTTTGGGTGTAACTGTCAAAAATATGGGAATGTCAGTGATAAATGATGGTTACCTGATGGTTGATTGGTTACGAAATAGGCGCTTATACTGGCTAATCTTTTGGGGAGGCAACGATTAGTTGAGATGCCTATGAACCTATGAACCAACCAGTACAATGGGATAGGATATCAAGAGAATCCAATGTCTACAAGATCAACCTGGGAGCATCTGGGAGATCTGATGTTCAGCGTGTTTTTTTGGTTCATCACATATCATGATCTTCTAAATATGAGAATAGCCTCTGGTTTTATCCAAACATGGCACCTCAAAATCCCACAAATATGGAGGTTTTGATGAGAAAATCAACTAATTATAAATGGTGATTCTCCATTGCCAGGATTACCGGAGGGTATATCTGAAAATATCTTCTTTTTGACCAAATATCAAAATTGATTTTGGTCTCTAATCAAGAAGTTGATCTTTTCTTTTCGACCGATCTGCGACCGGCAATGCAATGATCTTTTCCTCTGAAGATCTAGACGAATAACGTACCCTCTGGTAGACTAACATAGCTATTGAACATGGCCATATTTATTGTGTGAATTTTCTCATGAAAAATGGTGGAATTTTCCATAGTTTTTTTGTTAACGTTTACCAGGCCGGGTAGGGTAAACGTTTACCAGAGGATGTGGAAAACCCATTTTAGGAAACTGATCTACATTCATGGTGGGTCAGGAGGCTATCTATTCCATTTTCTTTGTGTGACCTTGCCATTCCCATTGGAACCCAGTTTTGGGTCAAATCCATGGCTGTGTCTGGACATTTTCGTTGGTTACGCACCATAGTTTGTTCGTTGGTTCGTTGATATGGAACTTGCACAGATTCTCGACTGGACATCTTTATATACAAGCGGTATGATGCAGAATAGCCGTAAGCCATACACTTTGATTTCCAGTGTGTTTGGGGTTGCATGGTTTACCCACACATCCCACTGAGGGTTAAACTTTTAGCAGAGGATCAACACACCACCAAGGTGTACAGTTTTCAGTATTATGGACAATTTACCCGGCTATCCAAAGTGTCAGGGGGGCTAGTGCAGTAAGACGAATTCAGTGTTGGGTTTGGTAGCTGAAGACTTAGGGGACAAAACACGATATTGTAGATTAGCACCATTGTCCCAGTAAGATTGTCATCAATTGGAGTAATCAAAATTGAGACAATGGTGATAATCTATAATATTGTCCTAATTATTGGTGATAATCCACAATTGTCATCCATTGTCCCAGTAAGATTGTCATCAATTGGAGCAGTCCCAACTCAAAATGTCATTCCTCTTCTCAGTTCCCAGGTCCAGCAGACCATATGGCATGAAGGCTGACGACAAGGACAGCCACACGGGTCGCCACCCCCCACTGAATTAAGACAGATACGGAAAAACCACAATTTGTAGATCATCTGGTTAGTGGTTTGGAACATTTTCTATTTTTCCATAATATATGGGATAATCTTTCCCATTGACTGATATTTTTTCAGCACCAACCAGTCATTTTCCGTGGGAAATCATTGACCAACTGGGTCTGGAATGGGTCACGAGTATGTCAACCAACAAAAAACTTTGAACGAGTCAGCTGTACAGTCTTGTATTATGAGCGTTGACTGGGTACGACAGCCACCAGCAAAACGCGGTATAAACATAGACAGCATCACACTGGATAGAATCTATTATATAAAGGACGCTAACAACAATGGTAATAGTTAAATCATATTAAACCATACTAAGCCATATTAACCTATATTAAACCATATTGAGTCATATTGAACCATATCAAACCATCACCTACATTTCGTTTTTTCGACTTGGATGCCGCACAAATCTACGGGAAAAATCATCATGATCTATCGTGGTCCAACTATTCCTTGGTTTCTTGCCTAGGCGAGGTCTAGAATCATCAAACTTCTATATTAAAAAAGACCTATGGATAAAGACCTTGAAAACTACCATTGCTACACAATTTTTAGGTGATTCAAATGGATGAAATGCATTTCAAACATAAAATTTGGGGTGATGAACATCCCATTTACGAGCTATTTTGATGGTTTTTTCCTGGCAATGGGGGTTTTGACAAGATCCCTGTGCTGGTTGATTTCCGTGAACATGTCAGGACAAACGTCTTCAAGTGGCGCAGTTGTACAACTTGGAGGGGACGCTCCAGCATTCCTTCGTTCATGGAGCGATGATTGGCCGCATGGGCATTTGCTCCTCGAAAATCGCGGGGAACCTATGTACCCGGCCTGGTAAACGTTTACACTTTGCGAACTTGAAAATGGCTATTGATAGTTGATTTACCCAGCTAGAAAATTGTGATTTTCCATCGTTTTTTGTATGTTTACCAGAGGGTAATGTTGTTTTGGGATACTTGTTGATAGGGGATGTTTTTTGGGAATCTTAAAAAAATGGATGCTTCTGAAAAATGGGTATACCACGGGAAATGGCAAATACACAAGCAAAATGCATGAACATGATGATTAGCTATTAAAACTGATATCCATATCCACATCTATATCTAATTCAAATATGTATATGTATATCTATATGTCTATATATATATATCTATGTCTATATCTATCGATATCTATGCATCCATGTATTCATCCGTCTATCCAGCTATCCACATGTCTATCTATGTATCTATGTATCTATGTATCTATGTATCTATGTATGTATGTATCTATCTATCTGTCTGTCTGTCTGTCTCATAAAAAAAAATATGTAAAATTTATTGGTAATTATTCTTTTAATTATACCATCATTTTCGCATAAAGAAACTATGAAATAATAGCTTTTTTGGTGGGGGTATGTATATGTACAGTTTACCCCATTTGCAATTGCGATTTAACCGATTTTATACAGTTACACCACATTTTCAGACACAACCATCACAATCATAGAAAACGAATCAGCTTGCTGAGCTGCATGACAACAAAGCCTTGAACTTACCCGGTTTATAGGGAAATACTTGCTGGTTTATAGGGATTAGCCTATTGGATTATTGTAATCCCCAATATATTGGGTAGATCCAATCTACCCTCTGGTAAACTAACGTAGCCATGGAAGATCACCATGGGTTTTTCGGCAAATCATCGAACTAAATGATGATTTTCAACAATAAGAAGTGATTTACCAGATAGGATTTATCTGTTATAGTGATTTTCACTAAATGAGGATTTTCAATCATAATAATTTTTCAATTCATCTGTTATAGTGATTTATACATGAGGATTTTCATCTATCAGAAGTGATCATCGGTCACTCAATGATGATTTTCAATGCGACCGAAGGGTTTTCCCAACTAACACTTCCGACCTGGCGACCGGGTCATCTTAACAAACCCTTCACGTCTTGCTGGGTGACAGTCAGTGGCAGCTTAGGTTACCTATTCGGTAGCCAAAACCCCCGAATTAAATTGAGGTTAGCCGAGAAAACGAAAAAATAAAGGCACACCATGTTTGAATACTGGAGGGTTTGTCCGCATTCTGTCCCCATTTGTGGTTGGTTCAACTTATAATGTCAACCCTGGATTAATAAACCCCGTTTAGGCCTGTTTAATTAGGAGGGTACCATAAAAAAGTATCAGATTGTGACTATTGGAGGAGTACCCCCCCTAATTTTCATAAACCATGGTTTAGTCTCATCCGGGGTTGACATTACCATCCATAAAGATGGTAATATTGGGGATAGTGTATGGCATTCACTGGGGATTTTGTTGGGGATTTGATCTTGAATTTTAACAGGAATATTCTGTAAGCGTCAACAACAAGGACTTAACTGCCAAAATGGGGTTCAACCGCTAGAGGTTTGGATTTAACAAATCATATTGTGGGGATTTCACCATCAAACCCCCAACAAAATATAGTCTCATCCGGGGTTCAACTTATACTCCCTTTATCGCCATGGTAAACCACTCCCCAAACGAGGTGGAACGCACTGGATCATGTGGATGTAGGGTCCCAGTCATAGAGGGTCCCTGTGGATATGGCTAGATTGACTGTGGATTAAACCATGATTTTAACATGATTTTACCATATTAAACCATGATTTTTGTTTTTTTTGATTCAATGAATTTTGAGTATTTTTTTTTAATACGGTATATTCCATTATATATATCCCTATAACAGAAAACTATTTCACACATTTTTTTTTGTGATTCATCATGTGTTTTTTTCACTATTGGTGATGCAAACATATCAGAAAACATATCTCTTTGAATTCCCATCTGGGAGATTCTGAGATTCTGAAAGATTCTGGGATTCTAATCATTATCTGGGTGGATAAGATTCTGAGATGCCTAAGTGCCTTTTTAGGCGTTTCGGAGGACTATGCCGCCACGAGTGGTGAAGATCAAGTGGTGAAGGTGCCGGAAATTTTTGTTGTGGCCAGACCTCCAAAAATACCGCTGAAAAGGGGGGATGTCCGATTTGTTGTTTTTTTTGCTGCTTGGTGGTGACTGGAACATGACTGGTTAAGAGTGGTTTTCATAGGCTATACACCAACAACAGAGGGGTAGGCTCAACCACCAACCAGATGTTTTTTGGGACTTCATCATTTTGAAAATATCCCTTCATGGTAATGTCTCAAAAAATCATTTGGGAAAAGCATCATGTTTGGATGTCCGTCATGGATAATTTAGGAACTTACCCTCTGGTAAATAAACATAGACCCTGAAAATCACCAATTTTTAGTGGTTTCACTCATCTTCCAACCCCTGTCTGCCAGGGTCTATGTTAATTTACTGGAGGGTAATCATTTCTAATCATCACTTTTCATATCCCCTTGTTGAGGAGATCGCGGTTTTGAAAAAATGGTGGCATCCAAAATCTGTGGTTCACTCGGGGGAGACATAAAAAAAGCCGTGGTTACCCTCCGGTGTTTGAGAATGAGAAATCCAGGTGTCCTAAATGGTGTTTTAATGGGACACTCACCTACTAAGAATGGATACTAATTTCATTGGGGTATCCATTCTCAGTAGGTGAGTGTCCCATTAATAGTGAAAAAAAAAGTTGAGGAAATCTATGGATACCCCAATTAATATCTATCTCAACTAGAATGAGATACTCATGGATTAAGATGTGTTGCATACTGTGGGACACTCCAAATATGGTTTCATAGATCTCAACAATATAATAGGGGCACTCCAAATCACTCATCGAATGGATTTCCCAATTTTTCTACCAATCCATTTTTGTGTCCCTGGCTGGCTATAGCTCTATTTTTGTCATGGCTACTACAAGGTTGTGCCCCCCCCAGTGATGTTTGTTGGTTTATAAACCATAGTAAATTAATTGATATATCTACCTAATCAACCATAGTTGTTGGAGTTATGTTCACCAACTTAGCTAACGAACTGGGGCACCACTTGGTGGTTCATCCCACTTAGTAAGTGAGTTATAACCTCAATTATAAGTGGATTAACCCTACTTATCCCATGTAAATCACTGGGGTTATAACCCATTTACTAAGTGGGATGAGCCACCAAGCACCTTGTAAGAATGGATACCCCAACTCATACGGATTTCCGGAATCGATCATCTTGGCTTAGAAGGGAGGGGAATCGAAGATTCGGGATGATCTTCTGTTGGAAGGGGGGTTCCTTACCCGGCCTGGTAAATGTTTACATAAACGTTAACAAAAAACTATGGAAAGATCCACCATTTTTAATGAGAAAACTCACTATAAATGGCCATTTTCAATAGCTATGTTAGTTTACCCTCTTGGCAAATCCAGGTCAGGCATTGTTTGAATCACCACTTCAGCAAGCGTCAACCCTGATTTTTTGTTTTCGACAGCAAGCCACTCTTGGATTGTTAGACTGTTAGGCAATGCAACAGCTTTTTTTAACACATTTTTGTGTCCAAAAATCGGTAATTCATGGTTTAGGGGATCCATCATAGGCAGCTCATCAATATTGCAATTCTATTGGTATCCACACTTTCTGCACCAATCCCATTATTTTCCAACTTAACCATTGAAATTGTGGAAAAAAATCTAGAATTCTGAACAAAAATTCTGATGTTTCCAACTTCACCCACTATTTTCGATACCGAAACCACGTTTGAGCAACCAAATCCAGCACAAAACACAGCCCAGAATTGGAGGGGACACAGTCGACCCCTATAATTACTAGCAAAAACCAGCAGGTTTCCCATCAACCATTGGTTTACCATTTACCATTGATTTACTGGGAACATTGACCCATAAATCATGAGTTTCTGGTAGATTTCCGGATTCCATTTCATGAACCATGGATTTCCCTGATTTTTCCATTGTAAACGGAGTAGCCAGCGAGTTTTACCATGAATTTCTCTGGATTTTACCACTGACTCATTTACCATGGATTTTTCCATTGATTTCCCTTATTTTTCATTTACCCTCTGGTAAACTAACAGTTTGCTATTGAAAATGGTGATTCATTTTTTTGATTTACCCAGCTATAGATGGTGGATCTTTCCATAGTTATGTAAACGTTTACCAGAGGGAACCATATTGAAACCATATTCACTAGTGGAAAATCACCATTTTAATGTGTAAACGTTTACCAGAGGGAAAATCATATTAAACCATACAATGTGGGGCCCCCCAGTTATAAGTTGGTTTATAAACCCCATTAACTATAGTTATTTGCGTACCATAAACCATAGTTATTGCAGTTATAAACCAACTTGGCTATCTTGGGGGCCCCACATTGTATGAAACCATATTATTACCAGGCCGGGTACCATTGGCTTTTCCCATCGATGTCGAGGTATGGTCGACGAAAACGGGCGAACTTGTCCTGCAACTTCCGGCTGAAAAGGTGCCGCGTTTGATGAACGCAGGACTGGTACCCAAATTAGTTACCCTCTGGTTATGACTAACATAGCCATGGGCAATGGCCCATTTATAGATGGTTTACCTATTAAAAATGGTGATTTTCCATGGCTATGTTAAATAACCAGAGGGTAGATGGAAAAAAGTGGGTGTTTGCGTTCAGTGCAATCTGTTGTCGTTTTTCTTTCTTGTCAAAATGACTACGGTCTACTTAATGAGTTGGGACCCGTGCTTAGAGGACCCAATTTTGATCCAAATGAACTCACGACAGCAATGAGACCAACGGACGTGTTGGGCTTAGCAATCGAAGAGAATCACCAGTCGACACTTCAAGAATTCGACCAACATTTCAGTTTTGGTGGTTTCCATAAATGGGGAGACCCCAATAGCTGGATGGTTTATTTCATGGAACATCCCAAACAAAAATGGATGATTTGGAGGTAAACCCTATTTGTCTCCAACTTGGTGAGTCTTTTGATTCGATCAACAATTTTTGAAGTCGAAATTTTTGAAGGGCGCAGCTTTTTCTCAGCGCAGTTAAGTTGTTGGGATTTTTCGGCAGTGAACATGAAGTGAGTAGGTTTTCACCGTGTTGGTGACATGACCGTCATCACATTTTGACATCAGAAATCCACCAGAAATCCAACAGTCAGCCTACTGAAATCAACGGTTTGGCGGTCGAATCCCCATTGGTTCAATATCAGTCATACCCCACTTGATGACCCTGGTAGTTATGGAAACCTATCACTTACCCATTGTATTTGGAAGCAAAAACTGGAGCATAGCATCCTCAGTTGGCTGTGGTGCGATGGAGACGTCTAGCCAGGTTGAAAGCAGCCTACAACTCCAGGTGTCCCTGCCCAGTGGGCGCTGTGAAAGCATCTCGGTCTTGCGGGGTGGCACAGTCGCAGACTTGCAGAGAGCTGCGCAAGGTTCTTTGCGGAAAGGTTTCCTGAGGCTAGCTGCGGCTGATGGGCGCCTATTGAATCCAGCAGACTCTCTGCAAAAAGCCGGGCTTCAGAGTGGAGACAACGTGGCTGCTGTGGCACAGCAGCCAAAGATAGCTGCAACAAAGGGTGCCTTTGCTTTGTGGTGCCCAGGCTCTGATACGATTGTCACGTGGGGTGATCCAGACTTTGGTGGTCACAGCGCCGGGGTTCAGGATGAGCTCAGGAATGTCCAGCAGGTGTGTGCCACAGGCGCAGCATTTGCCGCTATCTTGGCAGATGGAACCGTGGTGACGTGGGGCATGCCTGACCATGATGGTGACTGCACTACAGTCCAGGATCAGCTTAGAAACGTTGAGCAGATTTTTTCCACACGTCATGCTTTTGCTGCGATCTTGGCAGATGGAACCGTGGTGGCATGGGGTAATCCTGCCTGTGGTGGTGACAGCACAGCAGTCCAACATCAGCTGCGGAATGTTAAGCATATTTGTGGGACACAAGATGCTTTTGCTGCCATTTTGGCAGATGGAACGGTGGCGACATGGGCCGTCCGTGGTGGGGACAGCAGAGCAGTGCAAGATCAGCTGCGGAACGTTGAACAGATTTGTGGGACAACATCTGCGTTCGCTGCCATTTTGGCAGATAGAACGGTGGTGACATGGGGCAATCCTGATCTTGGTGGGGACAGCTCAGCCGTCCAAGATCGGCTCAAAAACGTTCAGCAGATTAGTAGCACTCAAGATGCCTTTGCCGCCATCTTGTCAGATGGAACCGTGGTGACATGGGGCATGTCTAGCTCTGGTGGGGACAGCACAGCAGTCGAAGATCAGCTGCGGAATGTTCGGCAGATTCATACAACATGCAATGCTTTTGCTGCGATCTTGGCAGTTGGAACTGTGGTGACATGGGCCGCCCCTGCCTGTGGTGGTGACAGCACAGCAGTCCAACATCAGCTGCGGAATGTTAAGCATATTTGTGGGACACAAGATGCTTTTGCTGCCATTTTGGCAGATGGAACGGTGGCGACATGGGCCGTCCGTGGTGGGGACAGCAGAGCAGTGCAAGATCAGCTGCGGAACGTTGAACAGATTTGTGGGACAACATCTGCGTTCGCTGCCATTTTGGCAGATAGAACGGTGGTGACATGGGGCAATCCTGATCTTGGTGGGGACAGCTCAGCCGTCCAAGATCGGCTCAAAAACGTTCAGCAGATTAGTAGCACTCAAGATGCCTTTGCCGCCATCTTGTCAGATGGAACCGTGGTGACATGGGGCATGTCTAGCTCTGGTGGGGACAGCACAGCAGTCGAAGATCAGCTGCGGAATGTTCGGCAGATTCATACAACATGCAATGCTTTTGCTGCGATCTTGGCAGTTGGAACTGTGGTGACATGGGCCGCCCCTGCCTGTGGTGGTGACAGCACAGCAGTCCAACATCAGCTGCGGAATGTTAAGCATATTTGTGGGACACAAGATGCTTTTGCTGCCATTTTGGCAGATGGAACGGTGGTGACATGGGGCGAGCGACACTACGGTGGTGACAGCACTGCTGTGCAAAACCAGCTTAAGAACGTTCAGAAGATTTATGCAACATGCAGTGCCTTTGCTGCGATCTTGGCAGATGGAACGGTGGTGACCTGGGGTGATCAAGATCATGGTGGTGATAGCTCCATAGTCCAAGGTCACTTCAGTTGCATCTAGTCACAGTGACCTTTGGCGAGCTGAGAATGTTCGAAAATGCTCCCAGAACCTCACTGAAATCCCAACCCTTGCTAAATGGGTCATTTTGAACTGCAGCATTTCAAGAGAAGAAAACGCCACCTGATGATTCTCCTAAATTTTGATTTTTGAACACTGATGAACAGATATGGGTATGGATCAATACCTATTAATACCATTTTTAGGGGAATGAACATCCATTTACCAGCTATTTTGATGTTCACCAGGGGTACAAGGTTTTGACACACTGCCATATAACATTGATGTAACATTGATATATCAGTGTAAGTGCCGACAGCAGGACGGTGGTCATGGACTAGCCCCGAAAATGGATGGCGCTAAAAAAAGGCCGACCGATGCCTACTTTTTTGAACACCGATGATGATCATCAAACGCCTGATCTTTGGTGCTCTGGGATTACTTGGCTGTACATCCCAGGGAAAATGTATGAGCTTCCTAAGCATGGCGAGTTCCCCTGATAAATGGGAGATCCCCATCGGAATTTCATGAACATTTCATGGGAAATCACCATTTCAAAGTTCCCTTTGATAACATTCATGGTGATTTCTAGGAGTTAAATTTCCAGATGATGTTAATGTCCATATCATATACCCTCTGGTAAATTAACATAGACCCTGAAAATCACCAATTTTTAGTGGTTTCACTCATATTCCAACCCCGATGACTGCCAGGGTCTATGTTAATTTACTGGAGGGTATCCATTACCAATAATTACTTGGTGGCTCATCCCACTTGGTAAATGGGTTATAACATGTTATAACCCCAGTTATAAATGGGATAAGTAGGGTTAATTCACTTATAATTGAGGTTATAACTCACTTACTAAGTGGGATGAACCACCAAGTATGTTTTTTGGGACTTCAACTGGAGGGTATATACTAGAATATACTAGAATATACTAGGTTGATACTAGGTTTATACTAATGTCCATATCGTATATACATTACCATTAATTACATTCATTAAATGACCATTTCACATGTCCAACGGCACAGGGTCGAAGCCCTGGAGTGCGCTTCAAGAACCACCAACTCTACGTGTCAGGCAGGGACTGCTGGGCTAAGATAAACAGCCCATTTTGATTGTTAAGTCCTTATTGTTGATGCTTTTATATAAATCATATCCCTACTAAAATCTATAGAACATCCATGAACATCCCTACTAAATCATGTAGATCTATAGGGGTATAGATTTTCTTCGTGTCCATCCATCATTGATCTAGATTTTTCAGTAGTGATACCCTCTGGTAAACTAACATAGCTATGGAAAGATCCACCATGCTATTAATGGGAAAACTCACTATTTCAATGGCCATTTTCAAGTTCGCAAACTGTAAACGTTTACCAGGCCGGGTATATCATCATACATCCCATTAAATCCCATTCAATGCCATTTTTCATCACCATTGAATCCCATTAAAACACCATATGGACCTACATCATTGAATCCATTAAATTCCATTAAATCACCATTAAATCCCATTAAAATCCCATTAAATCACCATTGAATCCCATTGAATCCCTATTTTCGTTGTGGTTTTCCATCCCCATTTTCCACGGTCAGTCAGAAAGGCACCCTGGATGTCTTGGTCTACACGTTGCCCAGTGGCACCTTGGAACGTCGCCTGGAAATGGAGGCCGTTGCCGCCGTTGCGCCGTTGCGGTGTGGGCTCGCCGAGTCGGTGAAATCGATGGGGATTTCCATGGAAAAACATGGGAAATGTGTAGCAACTATAAATCTAGTTGGATGAGATTTTAAAGTATTTTTATGTTCACATATTTTTTGCTGATTTTTGAAAAAGCAAAGTTTGGTTCAGAGTTTTTGAAAAGTCTAAATCAACTATAAATCTGGTAACTAGCTCAGGCTTCACCAGCAATTTTGGTCATTTTCTCTGAGAAAAGCTGGATGGGTTTCACCCACAGAACTGGAGGTTTCATCCAGGAAAAACTATGGGATTTTGATGGATTGAAATGGGTTTGATATTTACCAGCGATATTTGGGGAAACTGACTGACGAAGGAGAGTTTAATACTTGCTCATATTTTGCCACAAATGAATATCTCTCTCTTTCTCTATATACATACATACATACATACATACATACATACATACATACATACATATTTAAATATATGATATGTATAAATTTAACCAGCTAAAAGATAGCTCTTTTCAGGTATCTAAGACTGCCAACGTACTGAGATGCGCATCCAAGTTGAAACAGTTGAGATTGGGCTGAGAAAAGTTGCTATATAGTAAGCACCATCAACTAATTCATGACATTTAATTTGTTCGTTCCCAATCACCTGAAAATTTGCATGCATGGTTGAAAATTGTTAAAGAGAATTCAATCTGTTTCTATTCATTTTGTTCCACCCAATTTTTGTCGCTTTTCGCAGCGGAAAATTGCTGCCTTTGTTCCGAAACCCAGTTATCACCTACAGGAAGCGGCCCTCAAAAGATAGGTAAGTTGGTGTATTTTACCTGGCAAACCATTGGATTTATGGATTTATGGCAGAGGTGTCTATTATATAAACATAAACCAACAAACATCATGATTTTTCATCCCTAAATCAGCAATTTTCATGGCTGGTTCAACCTTCCCTAGGTTCACGGAGGACAGCAGGGACATTCCAGTGTTGGAGTGTGGTACAAAATGACCAATGTACAAGGTGGTGCCCCCCAGTTATAAGTTGGTTTATAATCCCCATTAACTATAGATATAACCCCTTAATCAACCCTAGTGATTGGACTTATAAACCAACTTAATTAGCTAACTATGGGGCACCACCTTGTACCCTCCTTCTCCATTTTTTTTCTGGTGAAATCCCCGCATTTCCTGGTGAACTTCCCCCAATTAAAAGCCAATGGAGGCTGCAGCATCGCCCTCCTCCCCGTGCTCGCCGCAAGCCACGAACACTTCGGGGACACTGCGGGCCACGCCTGTGACGTATCCGCGGCTGGTGGCTGGGATCTGATGGGCAGAAGTTACCGGCCTGAAATGACCATCTATTGGGGAATACCCGGCCTGGTAATGACTAACACAACTATGGAAAATCACCATTTATAGTGAATGTACCATTTACCCGGCCTGGTAAACGTTTACAATTAGCTGACGCAAAATTTTCCAGCCTTTGGTACCCTTTGGTAAACTAATTAACAGTTTGCTATTCAAAATGGCCATTGAAATGGTGGGTTTACCAGAGGGTAACCATCTATTTTAGGGTACCGTTTGGGTCCCAGGGTTTTGACGATAGCCATATTTTCTGATGTGAAAACTGCTTTAGACATCACTTGAAATGGTGATTCCATAGTGTTTGGGCACCGGTTGGGGCCCTGTTGAATTGTGGAAGGATCAAGAAAATCGCAAATGGTGGTGAAATATGGTGTTGCGTACCGTTTGGGACCTTCTTCTTTGGGTGATGTCTACACACTGTCTAAGGAGGAAATGCGTTGGGAACGGTCAATCACAGCAGTTTTCAGCACCGCAAACGGACTGTAAATGCTGGTTCAGCTATTTGATGACTGCAACAACAAGGTTTGGGATTCCTTTCATATTAAAAGAACAAGCCCTTCAGTTTTTGGGATGACCCCAAATTTACGGGAAACTCATTCAGGCGTGGGTAAATGTCTTGTTTTGGGGATTTTGATCATCACTTTCAACCACCCGTTGGGGATGAATTATCCCCGATAGTTGATATGAAGAATGAGGACATTTGAGCCATTAACAATACCACATTCCATCCTGGTTGCTTGAGGTTTAACTTTTAGGACATTTACCCCGTTTTCGTTTCCCAAAAACACACTTTTTAGGGTGTCATTTTGATGGAAAAGATTCGTAGTATCCCATCAGGGTTAGGTATCCCTAATAAAAACATATACCCATCATTATCTCATTGTATCCACATGAATAATCCATGAGTAAGGTTTCCATTGATATGCCATCAATACTTCATTAACAATCCAGCAATAATAATTAACAATTCAATAATCAATAATCTATCAATGATGATCATTGACAGATTATTGATTATTGAATTGTTAATGATCATTGATGGATTGTTAATGAAGTATCCATCAATAATCATTAACAATTCATCAAATATTAATCCATAAATAAGTCCATCAATAATCTATCAATGATCCATCAATTCTCCATTAAATTTCCATAAATATTCCATGATATCCCATGACTTGTTGCTAAATTATACCTGATGATCTATCAATTCTGATAGATTCTCCATGAATAATCCATGAAAGTATGGAAAGATCCACCATTTTTCATGGGTAAATCCACTCTAAATCACCATTTTCAAGTTCCCCGTGGCTCGCTTTTTTCGAGGCCTTAGCTGGGAACTATGTCGTCTCGGCCAGCGAAACTCGGGTGGCGACCGTTTGGACCTTGCTGGACTGGGCAAGTCGTGTTTAGCCCGTGGCAAGTCTTGGGGAGATGACTGGACTACAGGGGGTATAGGTATAATTAAGCAACAAGTCATGGGATATCATGGAATATTTATGGAAATTTAATCGAGAATAGATATCATCATAATTATCATGGATAGATACACTGAGAGATCCATTAGGCATCATAATTATCATGGAATATTTATGGAAATTTTACGGAGTTTTTTTTTCATGGAGAATTGATAGATCATTCAAAGATTATTGATGGACTTATTTATGGATTAATTATTGATGAATTGTTAATGATGATTGATGGATTGTTAATGAAGTATTGATGGCATATCAATGGAAACCTTTAATGGGTTATTCATGGGGATACAATGGGACAATGATGGGATATTACTTACCTAACTTGGTGTCATGGCTGGGAATCGAACTAGTTGGGCATACTTTCAAAATCAACCATCAGATGACGCAGAATTTCCCAGCCTTTGGTACCCTCTGGTAAACTAACAGTTTGCTATTGAACATTGTCATTTATAGTTGATTTACCCATTAATCATTAAAAATGGTGATTTTCAATAGTTATGTAAACGTTTACCAGAGGCTAATTTTTTCACACAGCGAACTGGACAATCACCAGAATCACCAGGTTCCAAAATTCCACAGCATCTAAAATTGGCCATTTTCCATAGCTGTGTTGAATGACCACAGGGTAAAGTTTCAGACAAACCCAGCCAGAGGGCTCGGGACTGGCTCGGGACGCCACGGTGCTCGGTGATCCCAACTAGTTCAATCTATCAATGGGAGATCTCCAGGATCCGATTTAATGGAGGTACGTAAACGTACCATATGTTTGGCCATATGAATTGTGGTGATATTCACTTACAGTAAGGCCTGCAAAAATAGGCCTTATATAACTTATATATGGTATATAGGTACCTCCAATAAATCGGTCCCTGAGTCATGGCCATTGAATCTATGTCTATAAAACACTGCTTGGTGGTTCATCCCACTTAGTAAGTGAGTTATAACCTCAATTATAAGTGGATTAACCCGCTCCTTATCCCATGTAAATCACTGGGGTTATAGCCCATTTACTAAGTGGGATGAGCCACCAAGTGGGCAATATTTTATAAATGGCCATGGGAAATCGATAGATTGTCTCGAAAAACATGGCTGGGAAATCCTCAAAAAAAATTGGAACAAAGAGTGGAAGACTTGTCGAACTACCCTCTGGTAAACTAACGTAACTACGGAAAATCACCATTTTTCATGGGAAAATCCACTATAAATGGTGATTTTCCATAGCTATGTTAAATTACCAGAGGGTAAATGGGTGATTTTCCGTTGCCATCTTTGATGACCAGAGGGTAATCCACATAACCCTCCAGCTCTGCTGGCCAAAGCGCATCACATCTCCATGGTTGACGAAGTGGGCAAAGTTTTGATGGGTCGAAATCCAATTATAAGTGGATTAACCCTACTTATCCCATGTAAATCACTGGGGTTATAACCCACTTACTAAGTGGGATGAGCCACCAAGTACCATTTGTATCTCCCAAGTGCCCATCTTATTGCTTCAAACGTTCTCGTTTTTTCTGAAGTAAAACACTCATGTTTTGGTTGGTTGAAATCCACCAGCATGGCTGAAAAAAACACATCATTTCCCTAGAAAAAAAATCAATTTTATTCATCATTTTGGTCATATCATCCCAATTTATTCATCATTATGATGATCTTTCTTCCATGTCCCAATTTTATCCCATACTTGGTGGCTCATCCCACGGCTCGTAAGTGGGTTATGGGATGAACCACCAAGTATCATTTCACCACATTTCGCAAATTTCACCACGTTTCCGTTGCTCGAAGCCCAACTTTTGCCGTCGCGACAGGACGGCAAGCCCTTGTGCAGCATCGTGGATGAGCGTCGCATCTCCGGCCACAGCGAAAAAAATCTCCCAACACCAGAGATGCGTTGGTTTTTTTCAGATATCCCATTGTCCCCCCATCAAAGTCATAACATGTCGAATTGATACATTTTGTATATTAATTAATGTATTTATATCCTCTGGTTATTTAACATAGCCATGGAAAATGGCCTATTTATAGATGGTTTACCTATTATAAATGGTGATTTTCCATGGCTATGTTAAATAACCAGATGGTATATATATATGATATGCGTATATATGGTGGTTAGTTTCCTAAAATGGGGGTACCCCAAAATTGATAATTCATTTCATGGAAGTTCTCCCAATCTAATAGCTGGATGATCGAAATGGGGTACCCCCATGACTTAGGAACCCCCCATGACTGTTATCCCAACATCAGTCATATAATATACATATGGTATCCCCAATATATGTTAATAATAATATATGGTATCCCCATATGGTATCCCCATATATATATATATATACATCAGTCATTCCAGGCACCAGAAGTTTGGAAGCACAGTCAGGGCGCGACTTTTCAGGCGACTTCTACGCAGCGGTGGGTGGAGATCGTTTGGTGTTGATCGCTGGGAAGATGCTGAAAATCTACGACCTCACCGTGCACTCAGGCGCCGGACAGATTTGAACCAAGCATGAAGGTTTTGGTGGTTTGGAACATGAATGGATTATTTTTCCATTCAGTTGGGAATGTCATCATCCCAACTGACTAACAACATAGCTGATTGGTGGTTTGGAACATGAATGGATTATGACTTTCCATTCAGTTGACTTTCCATTCAGTTGGGAATGTCATCATCCATCATTTTTCAGAGGGGTAGAAATAAACCACCAACCAGATGAACCTTGTGGGCGTGAAAATGGAGTCTACCCCCCAGTTCTGGCAATTTTCAACGGCGGACAAACGATTTTTTGGGTCCCCAACTTTTCAGACAAGCCGATATACTGTGCATGGGGAAAAGTCATGAAAAAAACGTGGAATTCCTGAGGCAAAAGCAGGAGGACTGAGATGATTTTTTGTTTGATTCACCCAATTGCCATAAACAAGCGTAAACAACTACTGTATTAACAGTATCATTAACAGTATATGATATCTAATAACCATACGTATATTAACATATATTAACAGTATATAACAACCACATACTAACCATCATTTGGGGATACTTTCAACAAACCATGTATGGTAAGGATTCGTTATCAGTGGCTGAAAACACACAAGCCGTGGACTCGACCATCTCCTCTGGCAGTGATAGATGAAGCTCTTGATGTGGCCCCTATAATAAACCATACCCTCTGGTTATGTCAACAGTTTGCTATTGAAAATGGCCCAGTCGAAATAGTGAATTTACCTAGCTAGAAAATGGTGGATTTTTCCAGTTCGTTATGTGAACGTTTACCAGAGGATACCCAATAAAGACTTATTTTTGGGTGCTGATATGATGAGTACGACTCCCAGTCATTGTTTTGGCTAATGGGATGGGTTATGGCATTGGGCCATTGGGTTTACCGCAGAATTTCCGTTCGGCATTCCAAACTGCTTTTGGAAACATGGTGAGAAATTGCTGACAGCCAATGCCACAGAAACGGGGCAACCAGAATCTTGCAACTGCTTGCAGTGGTGCCCCCCATTTTAAAGTTCGTTTATGACGCCCATTAACTATAGAATACTATAGACATATCTACCAATCTACCATAATCTGGTTGGTAGTTTGGAACATGAATTTAATTTTTCCATATATTGGGAATTTCATCATCCGAATTGACGAACTCCATCATTTTTCAGAGGGGTAGGTCAACCACCAACCAGATAACATTATTAACCATCATTAACCATATAATAACCATTAATATTAACCATCATTAACAGTATATTAACCACATATTAACCATCATTTACCAGAGTATATATAAACGCACCAACTTAGCAATTCCGTGGCCTGAAACACCACCTTGCGCCTGGGACAACAGACTCTCGGAGTCTCGCCTGGGACCTGGAGGCTACAAACGCGCCTATTCTGAGAGCCTGGGGATGAGTTTGGACTACCTGAGCCATGGCCGAGACGGCAGCCCTGGCCATGGTCGAGAGCTTGTGGTGAAGTCCTCCATTTTTCATGGTCCAAAAAACCGAGTTCTCCATGATCTGCTGAGGAAAAATGATGAAAAAACCATATCCTTTTGGCACCGCCAGGGTCATATCACATGGTTTTATGGCCATATCCCACATTGTGGATGCTTACATTGAAGATTTTTGTGATTGTGAATTCCACGTAACTGGTGGCCAGTTTCAGATTGTTTATGGGCCAAATGGACCTTCTTGATGTTTTTTCGTGATAAATTGAAATAAATGGATTAATTGAAGTTCCATTGATTTCAATCCTGTTTTGTGTAATTTCCAATATTTCCTTCAAAAACCCAAGAATGGTCCATTTGGCCCAATAAGTGGAATCATTCGACCAGGACCATTCTTGGGTTTTTCCATGAAACTAGCCATTGATTTTTTACCCATTCTTGTGGAGTACCCATTCAATGGGAATAAACATAGACCCTGAAAATAGCCAATTTTTCATGGAAACACTCATCTTCCAACCCCGATGACTGCCAGGGTCTATGTTAATTTACCAGAGGATATATGATATGGACATTAAGATCATCTGGAAATTTAACTCCTAGAAATCACCATGAATATTATCAAAGGGAACTTTGAAATGGTGATTTCCCAGGGAAATTTCATGAAATTCCGATGGGGATCTCCCATTTATCAGGGGAACTCGCCATGCTTAGGAAGCTCGTACATTTTTCCTGGGATGCCAGGGTCTATGTTAATTTACCAGAGGGTAATCATTCTTGGGATTTCTTGAATTTACCCATTGAAATTCCACATTTCATCCATGGTACATCAGGATCGACTCTACTCAGTTCACGGAAGTGGCGCAAACGGCCAGCCAACAGGCCCGAAACGTGGGGCCAACATTGTGGCCGTGGTGTGGACCAAAAAAGTTATTCAACATGAGTAGAATCGGCTTATTGTAGATAGAATGATAGAATATGGAATTTTCAAGGATATTCCCATTGTAGCCATGATTCTGGGAAAATTCCATAGTCTATAAACTCCAGGATGAATGTATATATATATATGTATATATCACAGTGTCTGTGATTTTTTTGATGAACTACTTCTTGAACATCATCGATTTGCTGAAGAGGTTTGTAAACTGCTTCATCCACGATCATGAGAATATTCAGAATATCATTTTTCTTGGGGCAATTGATTCTCAGTAAATATCTCCAATTGTTGAGATGACAACTATTGTAAGTATTGTAAGATATTTTTTGCTTGAGTAGATATAATCCCAATTCTATTGGTCAAACCCACGACATTGAGATAATCCAATAGTATTAATAGTAGATGGCTTTATGCCACTCATTGGCTAGGAGGTAGGCCCAGGCTTCCCGATAGGTGGCTTTGGCTAACGTTTTAGCCTCCGGTCGTTTGTTGAACATAGCGGAAGTCAACAGAAATAATAGGTATAAAACCGGTAAAACATATAATGAATCATTGATGTGCAATGTTCCATGGCAAACTCTTAAATTACCACAAGGTATACAGTAAATGGAATTGAAAAGGCGGAACATTCGACCCTGTGTGCAGGGTGAACTTCGACCCTGTGACTGTTGCTATCAAAGGGCCATCCCGGAAACCAGCACATTTTGGGATACTTCGTTGGTGGTGAAGAGTAGGTGAAAATATGGGGGTTTCCTAAATTGGAGGTCCCCTAAAATGGGTGGTTTTTTAAAGGGAAAAATCCCAATCTAAAATGGATGATTGCTTGGGGTAGCCCGGGTAGCCCTATGACTTAGGAAACCTCCATATGTATGTTCGTTGCGAAGACATGGAGAACAGTTTATGGTTCTCAGGCCGTAAATCTACCCATGCCCTCGGTGTTTGGATCGCAGAATTGTCTCACCGCCTGTAGAGCCCGTGTCGCTGTGTGCATCATGGAATTCCACGTGTCCCTGCCGAGCGGCCGCTGTGAAAGCGTCTCGGTCTTGGGTGGTACGGTGGCAGACTTGAAACGTGCTGCGCAACGGTCCTTGGGGCAAAGTTTCCTAAGGCTAGCTGCGCCCGATGGGCGCCTTTTGGATCCAGCAGAAGCTCTGCAAAAAGCCGGGCTTCAAGGAGGAGAGAACATTGTTGCTGTTGCACAGCAGCCAAAGATAGCTGCAACAAAGGGTGCCTTTGCTTTGTGGTACCCGGGATGTAATAAGATTGTCACGTGGGGTGATCCAAACGTTGGTGGTCAAAGCGCCGGAGTTCAGGATGAGCTCAGGAATGTTCAGGAGGTGCATGCCACGGCCCATGCGTTTGCTGCGATCTTGGCAGATGGAACCGTGGTGTCATGGGGCAATCCATTCTGTGGTGGTGACTGTGACGGCACTGCAGTCCTAGACGGCGCTGCAGTCCTAGATCAGCCCAAGAGAGTTCAGCAGATTTGTAGCACATCATTTGCTTTTGCTGCAATCTTGGAAGACGGACATGTCGTGACATGGGGTATTCCAGACAGTGGTGGCGATAGTACTACAGTCCAAGATCAGCTCAAGAATGTTCAGGGGATTAGTGCCACACATGCTGCTTTTGCTGCGATCTTAGCAGATGGAGCCGTCGTGACATGGGGTCAGCCACACTTTGGTGGTGACTGCACTGCAGTCCAGGATCAGCTTAGGAACGTTCAGCAGATTTGTTCCACACGTCATGCTTTTGCTGCGATCTTGGCAGATGGAACCGTGGTGGCATGGGGCAATCCTGCTTGTGGTGGTGACAGCACTGCTGTCCAAAATCAGCTCAAAAAAGTTCAGCACATTTGGGGCACAGCATCTGCTTTTGCTGCGATCTTGGAAGACAGACATGTTGTGAAGTGGGGTGTTGTGAAGTGGGGCCATGGTGACTGGACTGAGGTCCAAGATAAGCTCACAAACGTTAAAGCGATTAGTGCCACAGACACTGCTTGTGCTGCGATCTTGGCGGATGGAACCGTGGTGTCATGGGGCAATCCATTCTGTGGTGGTGACAGCAAAGGTGTCCGAGATCAGCTCAAGAATGTTCAGCAGATTTGTGCCACATCAGCTGCTTTTGCTGCCATTTTGGCAGATGGAACGGTGGTGACATGGGGAAGTCCAGAAAGTGGTGGTGACAGCACTGCAGTGCAAGATCAGCTCAAGAATGTTCAGGGGATTAGTGCCACATACACTGCTTTTGCTGCGATCTTGGCAGATGGATCTGTCGTAACGTGGGGAGATCCTGTTGAGGGTGGCGACTGCACTGGAGTTCAAGAGCAATTGAGTTACATCTAGCAGCATCTAGAAGGAACCTGCTTGCGGGACATTCGGCTGCAAAAGAAATGCGGCCAGGCCGCGCAAAAGTGGGGCTTTCTATGCCACCAGTGCAGCGCGGCGTGATTGTCACCCCAAAATGGCCATATCTGAGGATGTTCCACATTCAGCCCCTCTAGATCTAGGTCAACTACAGCTGTAGTTGGTGGTTGCCATCTGGTTATGACTAACATAGCCATGGAAAATCACCATTTTTAAGAACGGTAAACCATCGATTTCTATATGGGCCATCTATACCATGGCTATGCCAGTCATAACCAGAGGGTAACCAATTTTAAACCTGGAAAAATGCTCCGAATTGAGCTGAAACGGTTGGTTTTTTCCAGTTATAAGTGTGACTTTGTGGGCTGATCGTCTCAATACTCCCGGGACGTCGCTGACCAAAAAAAAAAATCCACATGGGTTGTCTGAAAAGAGGGACCTGTGGCCCCAATTTTTTTTTTTTTTTTTTTTCCATGTTTGAAAAATCAAGATTTTCCATGGACATGTTCAGACCAGCCCAACTATCATATTCAGTTGGTGATACATTTCTAAACTTGAATCTATATACATAAATACTGAATCATATACCATTATAATTCCTTATACTTGTATATAATCAACAGATGGTTGGTTATATGCCCCATTCTATCCCATATTGTTGGTCATATCCCATGAAATCCCATATGAAATCCATGATTCACTGGTTGAATTCCTATTTTCGTGGTTAAATCAATGGCCATTCCAGGAACCGATTTATTGGAGGTACCTACCATACATAAGGCCTATGTTTCAGGCCTATGTAAGGAAATATCCCCACAATTCATATGGCCAAAAATATGGTACTAACGTACCTCCATTTTAGGATCCTGGAGATCTCCCATTGATCAAATTCCCCTCGGGCTGGTTTTGTGTATCCGTTGTACTTAAATATCTCCCATCGCATCCCCCCGAAAAATTTTTCTGGTTTTGTACCCATAAATTCTTGCTAAATCATCCATAGATATCCATAGCATGCTATCCACATAAATGTCACATAATTTTTTTGGGGTTTCCTAAGTCATAGGGCTACCCCCAGTTCTCATCCATTGATAGATGGTTTTTCCATGATAAAACCAACCAGCTATGGGGCTCCATTTTCGGAAACCTCTGACCAAATCGAAAGTCGACATTTTTGGACGATGTGAACATCACCACCTGCTGTTTGTCTCTTGAGACATGGCTGTTTGTTTCGCCGTTGAGCTCATCGAACTGGATAAGTACCACAAACTCAAGAGTTACACAGGTCAATGGATTGGTTTAGTCGGGAAAATCTGAAAAAAAATATGGGGCTGAAACCAGTCATTTTCCCATTTTTTACCAATCCATTGAATAGGCGAGTTTTTGCAACAACTCAGCGATCAAAGTCAGAACATCCTAAACGCTGATTGAATCCCCATGTTGAGTGGTATAAACCCATCTAACTAGCGTAATGGTTATGATGTATGATATGTTAGTTTATGTTTACCATACACCCTAGATAGTGATTATGTATGGTATGTTAGTGTATGATATGGTATAATTCCCATGTATGATGGGTTTGTTTAGTCGTTGATTTGGCTTATTTTCCCAATGGAAAATCCACCATGACTGCGGAAACGATTAAGTGAATATGTTTTATTTTTTTGGAACCATTTACCAAGTAATAGTATGTTATGATTAAGTTCCTATTGTAATCATGTTTTGGGATAATCCAATGTTAGTGTAAGCAAATCCAAGTAATAGTATGTTATGATTACCATACACCCTAGATATATTGGTGATAACATGTTATAAACCAACTGAGCGCTTCCGAAGCGGGTCCTTGTATCACACACTAGAATACTTATCTTCCTATTGTTGATAGTTAAGTTCCTATTGTCAATGGCTATATCATATAATCATATATATATATATATTTATCCCTATAATTTCCATAGGAATTTTCCTATTGTTGATTGTTTTTTTGTCATATATCCCTATAAAATCCCTAGAATTTTCCCGGAAAAACCCTAACTTTGCTGCAACAACCAGCCCTTTTTTGGCATTTTCCCGGGAGGAGGATCCCAACTTCCACCAGCTGGCGCCGCTGCTGGCGTACGGCGACCATGCGCTGGGCCGCAGCGCCGTGTGTCCGCGCGATGGTCGACTGGGCTGCGCGTTGGTGGACCGTGGGGATGGCGATGGGTTGGGTATATCCCAATGTAAATATAGTATATATAATATAAAATATCAAGATATGTACAAACATATATACACACACAGATAGATATATATATATATACATACATACTGCAAGGTGTGTATATATATATACATAACTATATATACATACATAATTATATATGTATATATATACATATCAATAATACATATTTATATATATATATACATATCAATAATACATATATATATATATATACACATCAGTATACACTTGCTGTATATATGTAATATTTGTTTCAGAAGCCTTTTCGTCAGGACGTCTTGCCCTCGGGTCCGGCGACCCACTTTTTGTCGTGGGCCTGGGGCTACAGTTTGATGACGGTGGTCCTGGCTCTGCGGCACTGGTGCGCGGAGTCTGGGCGAAAACCATGGGCTTTTCCTATGTTTTTTGATGAGGTTTATGGGCAAATAACAAAAATAACTAGGTAAATTCTATGGTTATTTAACATAACCATGGAAAATCCCTCATAAATGGAGGTTTCAATGGGAAAATCATCTATAAATGGGCCATTTTCCATGGCTATGTTAAATAACCAGAAGGTAAATTCTATGGTTCATGGTTAATATCTGTGGTTAATAACCATGGTTTATGGTTAATATCTATAGTATATCTATGGGGTTTACCAACGAACATTGGGGAAAACCATCCCAAGTATGGTTTTTGATGATGTTTTACTGGCAAACATATGGAGATTACACGAAACACGTGACACGCACGTGGATCCTTGTGAGAATGGAGAGGCGTGACCTGTGAACCAGTCGATTTTCCCGAAAATATCTTGCTTTGAATGCCGTGAAAAACATTGGCAAATACCTTGCAACAAAAGAAGTGACATAGCTAGTTCTTTTTATTAGCCATGCATTTGCACCAACAAGAACTAGATCAGACACACTGGCAGATCACTAGAGGAGTGACCCCCCATTTGCACCAATTGGCAGGTCGTAGGGATCCGATGTTGTGCCCTGAAGCCATTGTTGGTTGAGTTTCACAGCATTAATGATAGTACCTACTATATATATATAGATATCTACCATAAACCCATAAAGCCGAGTTTTTTGAGCCCAAGAGCAAAGAGAATATAGGGTTTCATAGAAAGATATTAAACAAACAAACAAACAAGCAAGCAAGCAAACAAGCAAGCAAGCAAACAAACAAACAAACAAACAAAAAAAACCAGAGCAAACAAAAAACAAACAAGAAAAAAAACAAGACAAAACAAAACACCAACAAAAAAAGAAAAACACAAAACAAAACTGAGAAAATTCCAGTTTTTTTGGTTTTTTTTTCTTGTTTTTGTTTTTGTCTGGTGATTCTTCCTGTCGAGTTGTTTTTTTGGGTGATTTTTTGTTTTTTTTTAATTTTTTTTTTTGTTGCTAAAATCAACTTTCTCTGTTCTAGCCGGGTGTCTTAACCCGAGTTATCCTAGATATAAAGCAACTTACCTGTCGTTTGGATTCATTTGAGGGCCCCACATCGTACCTACTTATACTCCGGGATTATGTCAATAACCCTTGATCTCGGAACCCCAACTAGCGGCATGGCGGATTGAGGGTTCACTGGGTGGTGATTAGAATGGGGACATCATGGGATGTATGATATGTATGTATGGATATATGATATATGTATGAATATGTATATATGTATATATATATATACATTATATATATATACAGTATGATATATAACTATGAGGTGCAACCAAGAATATAATACAGTAACTAATCAACAACCAAAATGATAGGCTTTTAAGCGGCTATATAACCATCTTGATATGATGCTTGTTTGTTGATTAGTTATCAAATATGGGAATTTAACCATCATTTACAAAAGCCAACAAACATATTGGTTAAGTATATATGTTTTTTTTCCCCGGGGGGGTGTTATTGACGTGTCCAAAATATGCAACGGATTATCGTAATTCATGAACTTGAATCCCCATTTAACAACCATTTCCGCGGGGATCTTGAAATATATTGGTTAGATCACTGTTTTTAATTGTTTCCCACGTATACCCTCTGGTAATCTATCGTAGCTATGGAAAATCACCATTTGGAATAGGTAGATCACCATAAATCATCGAACAAACTGGGCCATGTATGCCGCTAATTCACATCACCAGAACATATCCTCCAAAATCTCCCCACAACATAGCTGATTGGTGGTTTGGAACATGAATGGATTATGACTTTCCATTCAGTTGGGAATGGAATAATCATCCCAACTGAGGAACTCACTCCATGGTTTTTCAGAGGGATAGGTTCAAACCACCAACCAGTCATAATTCCGTGAACGGCGAATCCGAACATTGCTCCCCCTACCCTCTGGTAAACATACAAAAAACGATGGAAAATCACCATTTTTTTATGGGATACTATTTCAATGGCCATTTTCAATAGAAAAGAGTCCAAACAGAGTGGAAACGCATCTTTCCTCATTGCCATTTGGCAGGGTGGAGAACCATCACTGGGACCATCCGTTTCCCAGCCTTTTTGATGTTCACCGTACTGTGGTTTTTTGACCCACAAGCATCCCAAAAATCAACGGCCATGACGAAGCGAGAAAAATTGGAGGTACCGATTCCATATGTATTTGGCCTATGTTTCAGGGCTATGGAAGGGAATATCCCCACAATTCATATGGCCTGAAATATGATACTAACGTACCTCCATTTTAGGATCCTGAAATTCCCATTGAAATGATAGGATTTTAAGTATTCTAGTAACGGACTTAAACCACCGTTACTAAGGTATTACTATCACATGAAATATGTTATTCCTAATCATACTCAGTTATTACACATCCGTTAAATGATATTATCTGATAATCTATGTTATTACATTCATGATTTATAATTCTAATAAAATGAATATGTAATTCCTAATCCTTCCCTAATGAATATGTCTTTTTAGCATCCCTAATTCCTGATGGAAACTCACAGTTTTTTTTCTTTTTAATGGGAAAATAAACTATTTCTATGGCCATTTTCAATAGCCAGATATGGGTATGGGTCAAAATTAGGTACCCCAAAATTATGGATGGTTAATACTAAACTAGACATTCACATCTGTGGTCCCACATCGGTCTTCCATTTTGACCCACATCCATATGGAAAATCACCATTTTTCACTTGTTAAGCATATGGGGATGGGTCAAAACCTTGTACCCCTAGTGAACCCCAAAATAGCTGGTAAATGGATGTGAATAACCCACTAAAAATGGTATTAATAGGTATTGACCCATACCCATATGTTATTTTCGCAGAAATCACCAGAGAGTTCTGGATCTCCACCATCCCAGACCGAGCTCAGGAGTCCAAGATTGATGCCACGCAGTGCTTGGGCCTGCAGTTGTGTAGTGAAAGAAACTGTGTGTTTTTTTTCCACCTTTGGGCCTTAGAAATGATGATGAAATGATGATGAAATGATGGTGAAATGATGGTGAATTGATGTGAAATGATGGTTTGCTATGGCTTGCCCTCTGGTAAATTAACATGCTGACCCTGAAAATCACCAAATTTTAATGGAAACACTCATCTTCCAACCCCGATGACTGCCAGGGTCGAACTGTTAATTTACCAGAGGGTATTAGTTAGTTTATTGCTTGTTATTTCATAGAGCTGTCCTTTTCCCACTGGTTGATTGATGGAAAAAAAAGGGTCCGAATTTTCAATGATCAATAGGTAGACGATAGGAAATACACCAGTCACCGGCCCCTCTATTTTTCCTAAAAGAACAACATTTTTTGTTGTGAACGCAGGTTTCAGACTCCTGGTGACAGTCGTGGTTTTTGGAAAATGCTGCCCATTTTGGGAAATTTTCTATTTCTGATTGGTGGTTTGGAACATTTTTTATTTTTCCATATATTGGGAATAATATGTTCCCAACCGACTTTCACTCCATCATTTTTCACAGGGGTAGGTTCAAACCACCAACCAGATTATTACTAACCATCATTAACCATATAATAACCATCAATATTAACCATATATTAATAGTATATTACCAACCAATGGTAGGTTCAAACCACCAAGCAGAATAATTTATGGTTGGCAATGGAGAATTCATTGATCGATCTTTTTCCCATTCAAAGCGAGTTCATTTAGACTGTCCCGGCCACCTGGCCACCTAGGACCTTCATTTGGATCTGCTTTTTCTGCAACAACCAGGTGGGTTTCAGCTGGGTTTGGATAGTGATTCACCAGTGAAAAATCATGATGAATTGTGAGATTTTCTGCAACTTGTAGAAGGTGCTGCAAGAGTTTGTTAAGGGGGATTTAACAAATTTAACCACTAGAAATCGAGAGTGAAGATATGGGATGATGCGTGATCAATGCATACTTGCGGTTTATTTCACGCAGATTTCGCTGTCGGCTTAAAAAGGTAGATATGTCAAACTCGAAAATGGGGTGAAACCTAATCAACAGACACAACTTGGGGGCACTACAACTCGTAACTTGTTAAACTGGGGCTATTGGCCACAAACCACCACAGAAATCTGTGGTTTCTAACAGCCACGGAATGACCAGATAGCGTGTGACTTTTTTTCCATATGTTGGGACGCAATCATACTATACACGAACAGTAGTAAAATTCACTTTGCCCATGGCTTAAAGATTTTAAAAGTGCGTTTTCTTTGGCTTGTGGGTTGGTGCATTGATGCCAGGAGCGAATCCTGAAGGAAAAGACCAAAGAAGGCCGGCCGTTTTTGCAGCAGATGAAATATATACCAAGAATCAGGAAGAAATGCAGTGTCAATATATATATATATATGGCCTTTCATGTCTCAATGTGGCCGCAGATCTTTTGGGCTTAGAATTGTAAGTGCGAACCCACCGCTGAGCCATTGGAGGCCTTACGTGGGCATCTCTTTGTAATAGCTACCACTCCTCATCCGAGTGCTTTCAGCTATCTGAGGCGGCCTTGGCCTGGAGGCCTTACGTGGGCATCTCTTTGCAATAGCTACCACTCCTCATCCGAGTGCTTTCAGCTACCTGAGGCGGCCTTGGCCTGGAGGCCTTACGTGGGCATCTCTTTGCAATAGCTACCACTCCTCATCCGAGTGCTTTCAGCTACCTGAGGCGGCCTTGGCCTGGAGGCCTTACGTGGGCATCTCTTTGCAATAGCTACCACTCCTCATCCGAGTGCTTTCAGCTACCTGAGGCGGCCTTGGCCTGGAGGCCTTACGTGGGCATCTCTTTGCAATATCTACCGGAACAGAGCGGTGTGCTCGACAAACATCTTTCATTGACATTCGATTCTACGTAGTGTGGCGTACTCTTAGAAACGCCAGTAGTCCAACTGACATTGCTGGGTTGCATTGCGGTTGCGGCAACAGAGGATATCGTGGGATTTTAGAAAGCAACGAAGATCAGTTTAGGGGGCTGCGTTTTCAGAGGTGTGACACGCTGGTTGCAGGGCGTGCAATTTTTCTGGAGCATCCCGGTGGCGTGTGTCCACTGAATTTGCTGATCGAGTGTTTTTCTGGAAATGAATGTTGGTGATTGTGTTTACCTAAGACTGGAAGGGTTCAATCCTTCTTGGAGACAAGCGGTTGTCGTAGCTGGAAAGAAAAACGGTTCTTTGCGGCTGGGCGTTCGTGTGACAGCAAACGAAGCAGATACCAAGGCTGGCCTATTGACATCGTTTTCCGTTGGAGGTGAGACATTCATCCTGGTGGAGGGCAGTTTGGACAGATTGCGTCCAGCATGCACTCAGGCACATCGTTCGCTAGAAGTGGACCATGCGCTGGTTTTGAGCAGTGCCTTGGAAACCTTGAAGGACGACAACATTCAATATGCCACAGCATCAGAGGACCTCTCCGATGCAGGAGGGACAATGTTTCCGAAGCCTCCGGCTCATCGACAAAAGCTGGTGTCTTCCGATTCGGAAGAAGAAGAATCGGAAGAGAGCGATGCAGATCATGTGCTCAAGATGCTCAAGCGTGCGTCAAAGTCAGAAACAGGAATGGTTACTGGCAAAGACAAGTCAAAAAAGGGTTTGTCAAAAACAAAGAGCCGATACCCGCTGCTTGCGAGAACGGGGGAGAAGGCGAAGAATCTCTCCGCTGCAAGCGACCCGTTGGCTTGGATGATGCAAAGTGCCAGTTCAGCAGAGCCCGTGGTGGATCCAATGCAGATGAATGCTTTGATTCAGATGGAACTGCTAAAAGAACTGAGAGGGCGCAAAGCAAAGTCGAAAACTATGCTGGAAGATCGTTCCGAAGACAGCGACAGCAGCCTCGAGACTTCATCTGGAGGAGACGAGAAGTTGAAAGGAGCTGGGAAGGCGCTGAGAGCCTACAGAAAGAACAAGAGACGCATGCGCAGGCAGCCCGAAAAGCACATCCGAAGATACATCAAGGAGGTGGAAGAGGTCTTGGGTGTAGGCGCCGAGGGGGCATACACGCTCACGGACTACACCAGGCGGCTGTCCTGGGGAAAGAATCATACACTACATCGCCTGCACTTTGCCCTGAGCGATGTTCTCCAGACAGTGCTGAAAGGAAAGCTGAGTTTGGTGGGATTGCAGATCACTCAACTGTTGCGGGCCATCCATCAGGCCAGTTTGGACGGTGGAAGTTGGCGGACAGCATGGTTGCTGTTAGATCTGCCCGACCCTCTGGACAAACCCCGTTTCGGGGGAGAAGCGCAGCAGCTCGAAGTGGTCGCAAGCTACGTGAAGGCCATGAGCGATTTGGAAAAGAAGAGCAAGACCTTCAATCGCTTCGAGGACGACACCGGCAGCAATATGAGTCAAAAAGGAAAAGGAAAGACCAAAGGCAAAAAAGCCAAGGACGAAGACAAGCCCGAGAGTTGAGCAGCGAAGCCTGTTCGCCCTGCCGCCTGTCGTGTAAAGATGTAGGTGGCCTTTTTGCAATAATTAATAAATCTCATGGATCATTTGCTAGGTACTGGAAGATCCATACTAGGGCGCCAGTGGATGGCGCCGGGCCGTCAGCACCCAGTCACCAGACTGGGCATTTCACACTGTTCCCGTCTAGGCTTCCTTGGTTGACCCCACCTGGAAAGTCCCGAAATAGGCGAGGCCCCCATAGCATTGCTAGGTGGGAGGCTTATCAATGGATGCATAGGATATGGGCCCTTTTCAATTTTTTGGACGCGGGCTCACCCAGTAGATCCCAAGCCATGCAGCAATCTGTGATAGATGCTTCGACTAGGGAGTGGACTATTCAGCATGAAACCTATGCCAGAACAGTGTTTGCAACCGTGCTTAAGTATTGTGCCCATCCTAGGGGGACCATGGATCGCGGCCCTGCTAAGCTCAATGAACTAATTAGTCGAATTAAGATAAGCCAGTATGATTCCTCAATAAAATTAGATGATGCTCTTTGCGGTGCCATGGAAGTCGATCCAGCTCGCATCTCGCTGCCAGAGAAAGCTGGAGTGGTGGATCCAAAAAATCATTTGACCGGTCAGAGACTGCAAGACTTTTTAAACATGCCTACTCATACTCCACTTGAATTTTCAAAGAATAGATCTGATCCCGCATGTCATAAGGTGAGTCCTAAGAATTGGCCTGTGTTGTTGAAAAAACTCTATGACGCTGATATGATCACCTTTCTCCCAAAAAGTCAGGTCTTGAAAGATGGAAATCAGTTGGTAAAGGGTGGTTTGTTTTGTGTCCCCCATAAACCAGAATCTGATCGGTTGATAAACGATAGGCGACCCCTGAATGCCAGGGAACAGCGTCTTGGCTGGTGTCAGTTGCCCGCTGGTCCAATGCTGACGCAACTCATTCTAAGGCGTTGTGAGAGTGTTCGCGCTAGTGGTGATGATTTGTCTAACTACTTTTATCTCATCAAGCATTTGGACCAGTGGCAGCCTCGCAATTGTTTTGGCGATGCAATTCGTGGACGCCAGATGCCAGGTTTGGACCTCAAGCCTAATGAGCTTTATTATCCAGCCTTTAAGGTAGTCTGCATGGGTGACACCAACGGGGTTGATCTTGCACAGGCCACTCATGAGGCCATCTTGCGTGAAGTTGGATGTCTTCGGCTCGATCAAACCTTGGTTTATGGTAAGATGTTTCCCTGTAGTAATACACTTGAGGGTTTGTACATTGATGATCATTTGGCTTTCCAAGTTCTTGACCACAAAAAGAAAAGATGTCGGGGTAAGCAGGGGGATGAGCTAATAATGGATTCGTCACGTAAGCAGTATGACAAACTAAATTTACCCAGATCGGCAAAAAAGGCTTTTGACAAACAGTACTCGTTTAAGGCTTGGGGGACTGCAGTGGACTCAGAAACAGGCTGGGTCTCAACGCCGGCGGAGAAGTTGAGGCAGATTGAGACTCTAACCACTTCGCTGCTAAGTCATGGTGAGGTAACTAAGAAAGCTTTGCCGAAACTCATTGGATTGTATGTTCATCCTTTCATGCACACGCCAGTGTATGGCCATTTTTCACCATGTGTACAAATACCTTGATAGATTAGAGGATGGTCAGCTATACCGAATACCTCAACACATTGTTGATGAACTTGTCACAGCAGCACTCCTTCTGCCCTTTTCAGGATGTAACATCCGTTGGCCAGTATCGGTGCAGATTTCAGCTTCGGACGCAAGTTCTCGCAAAGGTGGGAGGGCGGCTTGTTTGACCACCCAGAGCTTTGCCAAGGTGTTGTATAGGTTCTCTGAAAAAAGAGGTGAATATACTAGAATGGATTGGGATTCTCATGCTATAGAGCCGCCCACCGTAATGGAGCCTGCGCCCTCGGCCCTAGTTGATTCTCTCATGCAACATAGTTGGACTGCCACGCAGTCCTGCAGCTTTCCGAAGAAAGAGCACATAAACTTGCTAGAGCTTGAAATGGTGCATCAGGAAGTTAAGGATAGGGTGAATTCGGGTAGAGGTTCATGCAGAGTGGTTAATCTTTGTGATTCTCGGGTAGTGGTTGGTGCATACGCAAAAGGTCGCAGTAGCTCAAAACACATGAACCATAGACTCAGAGCACATTTGCCGTGGTGCCTAGCAGGTAACATTGCATTGTCCAATTTATGTGTAAGCACCGATTGTAACCCAGCAGACTACCCTTCACGAGACAAACCCATTCCGCAGCCGTCTCAAATCACCCATCATGACACGTTGCTCCAATCACATGAGGCAAAAAAGGTTAAAATTTTCAGGCCCATAAGTGAACAAAAGTTTTTAGAGCAAGAAGCACAAAGGTTGGAGAGTGACCCAGTGCTCGATTCGATTTTGCCGCAAGCTACATCTGTTGCAGAGAAGTCGCCCGATGTCATGCCGCAACAGCCGGCACGCGTAAAGCTTAAGTTCAGAGAAATTTTTGCAGGATGTGCACGGCTATCGCAGGCCGTCAAAAAGATAGCGGGAATTGAGGTGCTGGAACCTGTGGAGATCAGGAAGGCCTCGAAACAATGGGGTAGCCAAGATGTCTTGGATGAGCAGTTTTTTGAAAAACTAAAAGTGGAAGCAGCAGCCCCCAATCAGCTTTGGCACTTTGGGTTACCATGTGGATCCTTCTCCATTTTACAGCACTCCAATAAGGGTACCCGTAGAAAAGCATGTCCTGAAGGTAGTAACACACTAGACCGTGAGATAATCGGCAACGAGTTACTTAGGCGCACTTTGGTTTTGATCAAAATTCTTGATACAGCTGGTAATAAGTGGACCCTTGAGAATCCCAGGTCATCCTATGTTTGGTTGATGCCCAACATGAGAAAATGCATGCAGAGTTCAAAGGTACATGGAGCAGACATGCATCAGTGTGCATATGGTTTACGGTTAAAAGATAATCAGGGGAAATATGGACCATGTAAGAAGCACCCCGGTTTGTCGGGAGCTTGCCGGGCCTGTCATCTTTAGCCCGCAGCTGCCACTGCACACAGCCGCATGTTCATGCTGTGGGAGGAGTGAAAACAAAACAGGGTTGGAAGAGACGGTCTGAACTAGCTGGTCAATATCCTAGACCTTTGTGTGACAAGTATGCAGAGCTAGCTGCAAAAATCTTAGGATAAGCAGAGAGCGCAGTTTTTTCAATTTGCTGGCAATTTTCAGGTACTGACACTCAGAGGAATCATAATTATTTTGTTTGCATTACATTGCACGTGCTTTGTTTAGTTTTTTAAACGCCACGCTTCAGTAGTGAGTGGGGTCCATGAATAGCTGGAGCCAGTGCTAGCGGGGCTGGAATGAGTCGCCTTTGCTCCAAGGCGGATCAGGCTTTTCACAGATTCAGCCGATTCTCAAAGGAATATCGCAGCCGACTCCTGGCTGGCCTCAGTGACTTGCAAGCGTTTTTCCGGCAGGATGGTCTTTTTGAGTTGCGTGATGTTTTGAAAAAACCCAAGCTGGCGGACACAGAACTTGCCAGATACGTTTTGGCAAGACACAATGAGCCCAACGGCGTTTCTCGATCGGTCGTGAAGCATGCTCTTCTGGGGGCGCAACACCTGGTGCCCAGACTCAGAGGGAAGCTTTCTACGGCTTGGGAAAATATGAGGGTCTGGGAAGAAAAGAGAATCTCCAATTTACGACCGCCGTTGCCGGTGCCGATTTGGAGCTTAATGCTTGGCTTGGCAAGAGCTCATGCAAAGACCACTGGAAGTTTCAAGATGAGAAGACTCTGGCTTTTGTTCGGACTTTTGTTAGACCTGGGACTACTATGTTTGCTAAGGCCTGGTGAACTGATGAAACTATGCTGGGAAGACTTTGCACTGCCCGATTCTTTTACTTTGGGGCAGCGCCATGCAGCAGTGAGAATCATCTCACCTAAGAATCGCAGGCAATTTGGTGCACAGCAGTTTGTAGCACTGAAGAATCCAAGCGTGATTGCCTGGATCGCGTGCCTCAAGACGTCGAATCAAAAAGATGCAGTGTGGAGCAGTTCATCCCATCAGTTCTCAAAAATGTTTAAGCAGTTATTGCTTGAATTAGGCCTTGAATCGTGTAGATTCACACCAGGTAGTTTGAGACCAGGTGGTGCCACACATTTGTTTGGATGCGGAGTGCCAGTCTCCACTCTTCGTTTCCTAGGTCGTTGGACGGCAGAGAAGTCCCTTGAGCATTACATTCAACAAGCCATGGCCACTCAGATAATGAATTCCCTAAGTGAAGAGACCGCCAATAGACTCAAAAAATTGGCAGCTCATTGCCTTGAACATGTCCTGCATGAATCGTGTCGACACTTGTTAGCCATTTTGCCAAAGAAAGGTTCCAGTTCAGGCCAGGTAGTTGTTAGCTGGTGTAGCCAGTATGCAGAACTTGCAAGCTAGATTTGGAAAATGCGTGGTCAAGAGTGGCCCCTTGGCAGGAACCACATTCGATGCTGTCGCGCCAGATAGGCTGCGAAAAGCGGCCAAGCGTTACTCTGGTGACCCTGAATTCCAAAAGTATGCTAAATCTTTTGTTCTGCTGGAAGATCTGAGAGAAGTTGAAAAGGAACCTGAACCTTGTGCTCTTGTGGCTCCAGTCAAAGACTTGGTGCCGATGGGAAAAAGCCTCTGGAGACGGGTGCGTGAGAGACTTTGGTGGAGTTTGATGGCTTTTTTGCAAAACAAATACTGCAGGTATTTGCTGATCTTTTTGTTCCTGGGAGTGTTTCTGCGGCAAAGCTTTTCGAAGGCTTTGGGCAAGTTGCTGGTAACTTCCGTACGCCTCACCATGAGGCGATGCATTTCTTTTCTGGTTATGATGGCTGAGGGAATTTTTGACGAACTCATTTATCAGCTGGACTATGTTTTGAGAGATGCCTTGCCGGCGGGTATGAATTTGCCAGAAGCCACAGCAGCAACCATGAATTGGTTGTCCCATACCTTGTCAGGTGCTGTGGGTGCTCTTATAGCTACGTTTGTTACACGCCGTATGCCCCTGCAGCAATGACGGCAATGCATCACCGCGCCTGCGGACGGTTGCAACTGCTGCGCTTGTTTGCTCCACCACCACCCCTCCACTCACCAATGGGTGGTTTTGGCCTGTGAAGCACCTTAGTGGCCAAGCCTTTTCATTGTGACGCTATGCATTTGAATTGCAACTGACATCGCTTTGATTCGCTTCGCTGTGTGCTTCATTTGTTCAGCGTGGGCTGAACACACATGACTTTCGCCGGGCCCTTTGCAGAAAAAGACCGGCGATTGAAGCAGTGAACTTTGAGTCATATATGTGTTTTAATCCCATTCATAAACCCCACATATTTGTAAGGTTGTAGTTGTTTTTTTTACATATCTGATTCACCATGGGATGCGCGATGAACTTTACCCGGCCTGGTAATGACCAACAGTTTACCCATAAAAAAGGGTGATTTTCCAGTTCGCTTTTTGTAAACGTTTACCAGAGGGTAATCACATTCCCAATCCCACCATGGGACTATGGGAAGGTGACCATGACGTCATGAGGTTTTTGTTTTTTTTCATATGGTATGTTGAAAAACAGCAGTTATATCCGTATGTGAAGTTATACCTAAGTTGAGTGAAAAATCATGTTATATCTGAGTTTTTTCTTTTTTCGGTAATTGTAATTCCAAGTTATGTCTAAATTTAATATTTTGACCAGTACGCCTAAGATTTTTTTTACAGAACTAGGTGGTTTACATGGTAAATCATGGTAAATCCACTGCCAGTTGGTTGGTGTATATCCCATATGGTCACTTAATTCCCATCGTTGGGAAAGCCTTGTATGTACATATTATCTACATAGATGTTTTATATGCATGCATACACAGATATACATGGACATACACTATCACATTTTTTGTGATTCTTATTCTTAAAACCGTATAATATATATATATACGTATGTATATATATATATATAAACACACTGTATACATATATATATTATGTGTGTGCCTTCTCCCTTTCTCGATCACCTTCCCAGGTTCGGATGACTTGGAGAGCACCTTCCAGTCGCGGCTGCAGTCCATTGGCCGCGTGCTGGTGCTCTTCGACGAGTGGAGCAAGCCGGCGTACCTGACGCTGGGAACAACCATCGTTGGGGAGTTGTGTAGCTATGGTTGGTTTACAGTTTAAAAAAGTATAACATGGTAAACATATGCTGGTTGGTGGTTTGGAACATTTGGATTATTTTTCCATAATATATGGGATAATCCTTCCCAACTAACTTTCATATTTTTCAAGATGGTTAAAACCACCAACCAGTATAAGATGGTAAACAAAATCGTATCATATGATGTATCATATGATAATATGGTAAACTATGATATGGTTTAACATAGTATCACATCTTGTAACCATATCATATTATACCATATCATCTTACACCATATTGTTAAACCATATGAGGTACTAATATCTTATTCCATGATCTTTACCATAACCAACTATTGGCTTCTAATTTTTTTGAGGTCCGATCACTTCCACTGCGCTTGGCGAACTTTTCCGTGGCATGGAGAGTTGGACGACTCAAAGCCATCAAAGCCATGTGGGGCCCCCGTTTAGGACAGCTAAGTTGGTTACTGTATAAAAACTGCAATAACTATGGTTTATGGATGTTTATGGTAGATATGTCGAATTAGGTTCTATAGTCTTTTTTTTAGCGAACTTAGAACTGGGGCATCACCTTGCGTATTTTGGGATGTCATCAATGAATTTTCGTATGGATTTCTATACCATGATGGTCATCAACTCCCGTGGCATGGGGCTACCATAAACCACGCGGTCAACTCCACATCCAGCCGTGGCATACACGTGCTGAGGCATTGCCGAAAACATAAATGCAGGGTGGAAGAACCCCACGAAAAGGTTGAAGGGTGAAAACTCCAGAGCAGGGGTTTTGTGCTTCGGCGCCTGCCGGCGCCACCTTGAGCAAGCGCGTGGCAAGGCATCGCAAGTCTCCAGCATGTTTTTTTTACACAAGAATAGACATAAAAACACAGATGTAACGTCATGAAAAATGCTGGTGATTTTACATAGCTATGGAAAAACCGCTTGTGAAATATTGGGTCAATCATCGAACTAAATGGGTTGGGGCTTCCAGCTCGCAAACTGTGGGATTGCTGGAGGCTCTCTATATATATATACATACATACATATATTCATCCATATATATATATACATATATATACACATATTTATCCCCAAAAAGAATCAAAAATATAGAGCAGAAGATCGACAATTCACTTTTCTATCTACTTCAGGATGTCTACATACATATATATATATATATACATACATAGTCCCTTTCTACTATAGTAGATAGTTATCAATATTTAATGGTTGCAATGTATTTACAACAGTATTTATAATAGTATTATGAGTATTTAGTAGCATTACACAAATATGGACGTTCCCTGAAATGGGGGTACCCCCAAATGATCTACTTTCATATGATTTTCCAGTATAAACCATCCATTCTTGGGTAGCCCCATTTATGGAAACCCTCACATATATATACATACAATGATTATAATCCCATTCTATAGTAGTTACACTCCCATCCCAAAGTGAGGACCCGCGTTTGGTGCATCTTCGAAACCTTCGTGGCCGCATCTGGGCTGCAGCCGCAACTCCTCCCCATTGCTGCCTAACTCCTCCCCATTGTAGTTTCCAGGATGTAACAGATGATATTAACATCATATTTCCAGGTTTCCCGTACAGATTCTCAATATTTCTGTGTTGTGTTTACAAACCCACCTAGTTTGTTGATGCAAACATGAGTGCTAGATTTGTGTGAACCGGATCTTTGAAGAAATTCGCAGACATTGCAGAAGCGTGACGATACGTCTTTTCATGCTTCACAATGATGTGACACCTCATATCATTGTAGGCACGCAAAAGTATCATTTTACCTTATAAGGGTCATAAAGTTGCCATACAGGCATATCACTTTCTGATAGATGACTACGATCAGCCTTGGGGCCGTCAAAAAATCCTTGGTGTCAGTAAGCCTTGAACTTTAGTGGATCTGAAAAAAACAAACGTAGCAATTTAAAATCCACCAATTTTTTCGATGATTTCCCCATGAACACTTCCATTTGTAGGGGATTTTCCATCATTGCCACGTTTGATTACCGAAGTTCATTCCATTTTACAGTCCTCCTATATTCCATTAAACCGCTCAAAAATGGTTGCTGATTGGTGTGCTGACAGCCAAAGACACGCACTTTGTCCACCACAGCAGTGATCATCCACCATTCACCCATGTGTTGTGAATCCAAACATATGTGGCATATGTGCATAGTTAGATCTGGTTGGAGGTTTGGAACATGAATGGATTATGACTTTCCATTCAGTTGGGAATTTCATCATCCCAACTGACTTTCAGTCCATCATTTTTCAGAGGGGTAGGTTCAAACCACCAACCAGTAGATGGTTTATGGTTTATAACCCTTATGAACTAGCTTGATATATCGACCATAAGCCACAGAATTCACCAAATGTGTACCAACTGCACCAACTTCAGCTACATCGACCACCAATCATGGGCGACTTACAGGGGGCCCCCTATTTCACTGGAATTTCCATGATATTCTGGAGATTTTCCCTTAAAGCAATTCATTTTTCATACTGGTTGGTGGTTTGGAACATTTTCTATTTTCCATTTCATATCTGGGATGTCATCCTTCCCATTGACTTTCACTCCATCATTTTTCAAGATGGTAGGTAGAAACCACCAACCAGCAATTAGCTTATGTTGATTGCAAGCATCAATCAATGGATTGGTTTAGTCGGGAAAATCTACACCGGAAACCAGAGTTACTTTCCCATTAAATATGGGGCTTAAACCAGTAAATTTCCCCTTTTTTACCACTCCATTGCTACCATGGCACTGTGAGGCGCGTGCGTCCATCAGCTACACCCTGATCTTTCCCCCAGAGTCCTCCAAGTCACTGCATGAGACACTGCAGCGGGGGACGCTTTGGAAAAAATGGGGACACATTACCAGTTGTTGTTGTTGTTTTTTTCACCGGAAAAAAGTTGCTTCACCAGTATTTTGATATGACATATATAGAATCACCATGTAAAAAAAACGGGCAGGACTGAGGGTTGTCCTGGAATGGTTGTATGAAGGTCAGTGGGAGGCTCATTTCTCTGCGCAGGCGCAGTGTTTTATGACTCTGGTACATCTGTGAGTTAGCGTTGTCTAAGACGAATTTTTGGAAAAATCAGTCAGAAAAGTGAACCCTCTGCGGACTTCACGCGTTTCGGCCATTTCCACTTTTTCAATCTTTTCCACTTTTTTGGCGAGTCCGGATTTTATAACTTATGTAAACCCTAAATGAAACCCCTAATAGAAGTATGCGTATATGTTCCATGGGGCCGGGGGATTTTATAACTTCTGTAAACCCTAAATGAAACCCCTAATAGAAGTATGCGTATCTGTTCCATGGGGCCGGGGGATTTTATAACCTATGTAAACCCTAAATGAAACCCCTAATAGAAGTATGCGTATAAGTTCCATGGGGCCGGGAGATTATGACAAGGACATGTTATGACAAGGAAATCCCCTGGCACTGGGATGATGGAACCAATGGGTTGCTAGCTCTGCTCTTGGGTATGACCAATGGACAAAACCATATCGCCGTGGAATGACATAATACCAATCATTACGATTCTATTTTCCAGTATGGTATTATATGATATGATATTAATATTATGGAATATCACCAATCATTACTATTGTGTTATGTTATTATGGAATAGTAATATTATGATATTATATCACCATAATTATTATGGTTATTGCTTTTACGGATACTGATTGGCAATGATACTATGGTCATGTATAGTGTATTCCATCAATGATTCCATTATTATGCTTTCCTATTATGATGTATTATTAGATCACGAATACTATCACCATTTATTATAAGGATTCATTATTAGATCACTATTTCCATTATTGATTATCAATGATTCCATTATTATGCTTTTCTATTACAATTACAATAAAATACATGATTGCTAATAATACAGTACTGTACAAATTATTAGCAATAATACACATTTCTAATAGATTATAGTTATAATATAATATTTACTATTATTGCTAATTCTATAATAATGTATTTCATTATAATGTATTATTAGCACTAACGACGCCTCTTTAAATACTGATCACCATGACTTTATCACCCCATTGATATCCCATCACACTCTCCCAGTGACTAATCCCAGTACGAACATTACGTAACCGTGTTCTCGTATGGTTTTCGTAACATTATGATTGTAAGAATAGAAACTCGCCGAGGCTATTATTTGGAATAATATGAAGTCGGACTTACATGAAGTTGGGATAATTAGTTGGCGTAACATTAGATGGGGTTCTATTATTGTATATATATATATATAAACACACATTTTATAAATCAGATCCCACTATATAACATTATTTCTCACATTTTTTTTTTCCACTGTGGTCATCCTGGAGTAGAATATGTCCATTTCAGAAAATACCAAGTAAAAGGGGAATACTTATGACGACTACTTCAGGATGATGATCATACATCAGTATAGAATCTATCAACCTATCTATCTGTCAATCAAGCATATACTCTCAGTGTATATATATATACATATCATTACAAGGCTAATACTATATGATACTATATGATACTATATGATACTATATTGCCCAATATGATACTATAGATGATATTTATGATAATAATATCACATTTTCCCATTTTTGGAATATTCCAACACATAAATACAGTTATACTAATATCCATTCATCAGTTTACAACATACTATACAGACTATACATCTCAATATTTCTATATATCTCCTTATATTAGAGTGTATACTATACATATTTATTCCAATATATCCTATATTTCCCCAGATAATATCATCATTGGATCTGTTTACGGGAAAATTGAAACCGGAACCCCCCCATGGTTTCCGGTTAAGATTTTCACTGAAACCAATCCAATGGTCCAGATTTTGGTGCGGCCACGCCGAGGATGCATCTGGAAGTCACCAAAGATTGGAGCAGCCGCCTGGACTTCGATTTCGTTGAAGCCCTGGTGAAAAATCATGTTATATAATATCAATCACATATACCAATCATATATCAACCAGATCTATATAATATCACATCATTTATATATCAAAATAGGTAAACCATCTATAAATAGGCAAACAAATCCATGGCTATGTTAAATAACCAGAGGGTATATATATATATATATCTGGGTAAATTATAACGACCTCACTGCGACCGAACCCTGGAATCATGGTTAATAAGAAAAATCATCCCCAAATGGCCTTAATTCAGGTTGGTGAAATATTATATTTTGTCCATATATATATATATATCAACCTGTAGGATATGGGCCTGGATGTTCCTGTTTTTTTGTTATCACTAGTATCATGTTACTTTTTTCAACATATATTACATATATTACATATATTTCTGTGGCTGAATCTCTATTTACGATTGGTGTTGAATGGTTATATTCATATTTATGTACCCACTATTACTATCAATATGTCACAATATTGATGTATATATATACATATTGTTGATGGTTATATTTCAGTTTCTCTGGCAAATCAATATAGGGGTACAACTATTGAAATATAACCATGAACAATAGGTAAATAAATTTATCAGAGGGTGTATGTGTGTATATAGTATATACATATATATATATGTATATACACATGTATATAGATGTTTTTTTTTTTCGTGGGCGGTATTCATGGGTTCTAAGTGGGATGAGCTATTTAACATGGGTCAAACCATGGTTATAACCATGAACGAAACAACCATGTTCCATTTATTTGTGGGTTCTTATAATATTGGCTGTAAGCATATTGATTTATATTCAATATATTTCTCTAATGAAACATAAATTGTATGGTATTGTAATGGAATTTTATACTGAATATACTGAATATAACTTAGATAAATAAGGGAAATTATGGGACCTATATATGATACCATTAGGTCCCAATTGTATAGGTCCAGTATACCTAATGGTATTGTAATGGAATTATTGTGGGATTATACACGGTGGGATAATGGGATAGGGTTCGCAGGGAGGGAATTCAGCAGTTTGCTGAAGCCATGGCCTAGTTCAATGATTTACCTGTTAAAACGATGATCCTACATAGCTCTATTGAATTTATGAATTACCACAAGGTATTTTTCCTTCGGGTTGGAAATGGTCGGCGTTATTCGTTGGTGAATGGCATACATGGTGGCGCGCGTCTTTGCTGTCAAAGCCCGGGAGAGACGTGAAAGAACCTCCGCTGATTGCGCATATAATGTTTGCACATTGGAAGATGGGTCGCCCAGGTCGCCCCACTGGATTTGCAGCTCTCTCATTGTGCTTTTTCCAGATGTCGGCAGGGGGCTCCTGAAATAAATTTCTACCACAAGTCACACACATATGGCATCCTTGCAAGCTTGTACAAAACACGTCATGCCCTTTCCGGCAGCAGTAGGGCAGATACCTTTTGAACCAGTCCCTGCTGGATGGCGTGTTTGAGATTGACAACTCTGTGCCTGCCGGCCACTCTGCCAGGACCCCCTAGGAGGTTCGCGCGCAGAACCCGAACAGTCTGCGTCGCGCGCCAAAAAAAGGAGATCGCCGCTTTGAGCAGGAGCCAGCAACCAAAGAGCCATTGCATAACCATTCAGTTGGCACGTGTTCGCGTGGTTGCGGCGGCAGACGACAAAACGCCCTTGTTTCGCGGCACCTTTGGCTCCAGCCCAAGCAACGACCGCCCAAGACCCTCCAAGACCGCGCAAGCCTCAGCTTCCAACTCAAGCGGTCACAGCGCGGCCAAATAGATTTCTTGATGCCTCCGGCATTGAGACAAGCAACCACCTGAGGCCAAGTTTTTACTCATTTCTTCCCGTCTCTTTTTCGCGCTGCTTGGAAAAGCGAAAATATTTGACCTGCAGGCATGGCACGTGTCGGTCGCTCTCTCAGGAGAGGCTGCTAGAACGTAACGAGCCAGAAATGCAAACATTCTATTTTATTTGGCGCCTATCTATCTCAGGCTTGCTGTGGGTGCTCCTCGTGGCGTGCGCAGGCACTATAAGAAACAGCGGGTAGACCTCAACAGACCGCTTTTTCAAAAAGCCAATGGCCGACAACTTCGATTATCCGCAAAACTCCGTGTTGGCTATCTTGCAGAACAGTTCTCTCAATCCACAACTGCATTAAGAAAACCGACCTTTGCGAAGCTAAGTATCGTTTCACAACACTAGACGTCAGCTGCTTCAACTGCCCGCTCACGCTTTCCTTTCGCCAGGCGCCCCGGAGCCTCCCAAGCTGAGGTGTGACTTGTCCGGGAGACTTGCAACCGTGTGGCAAATTGCTCCTGGAGAACCGCTGCCGGCCTGCTTCCAGCACTTGAGCAGCGCAGCCCGAGAGCATGCAACAGACTGCATCGTGGAAGTGGGCCGCTGCTCGCATGCGTTTCATATAGGGTTTGAAGCTGGGGGCCTGCTCAGGCACGGGCACAGAGCGAAACAGACAGGGAACCGAAGCCAGCAATAAAGCGTTTAAAAGCGCAGTGAAGAAAATGAAAGCAGTGTAAATCGGCAGGCGCCCCAGCAGCAACGCCGCCAAACGGCAGCAAGCTCAGTTAAACGAGTCCAGAACAGTCTCCTCAAGCTACACCTTTGCAACAAGTGCACAGAGTACGCAGAGTAGCGTCTTGAAACGCGACACAAACGAAAAAAAACAAAAGACGTCAAACGAATCGGCCACAAGTAGCCACTCTCATTGTTTCCGCTCCAGGGACAACCGAGAACCGGTACCATGGAAAAATATGTCCAGAACAGTTTGCGCAGTGCGCAACAGAATATTGAAAGCAGTGTAAATCGGCAGGCGCCCCAGCAGCAACGCCGCCAAACGGCAGCAAGCTCAGTTAAACGAGTCCAGAACAGTCTCCTCAAGCTACAACTTTGCAACAAGTGCACAGAGTACGCAGAGTAGTGTCTCGAAACGCGACACAAACGAAAAAAAAAGACGTCAAACGAATCGGCCACAAGTAGCCACTCTCATTGTCTCCGCTCCAGGGACCACGACGCCCACGCCAGCGGCCACCACAGGCTGGATTAACCGAGAACCGATACCATGGAAAAATCTGTCCAGAACAGTTTGCGCAGTGCGCAACAGCATATTGAAAGCAGTGTAAATCGGCAGGCGCCCCAGCAGCAACGCCGCCAAACGGCAGCAAGCTCAGTTAAACGAGTCCAGAACAGTCTCCTCAAGCTACACCTTTGCAACAAGTGCACAGAGTACGCAGAGTAGCGTCTCGAAACGCGACACAAACGAAAAAAACAAAAGACGTCAAACGAATCGGCCACAAGTAGCAACTCTCATTGTCTCCGCTCCAGGGACCACGACGCCCACGCCAGCGGCCACCACAGGCCGGATCAACCGAGACCCGGTACCATGAAAAAATCTGTCCAGAACAGTTTGCGCAGTGCGCAACAGCATAAAAATGAAAGCAGTGGAAATCTGCAGGTGCCGCAGCAGCAGCCGTGCCCTTCTTCTGCCTCTCACACATTGCCTCTGCACTCTGAACCGGTGAGGATCTTGGACCAGAGAAACACTTTGTCTGACAGAGGTACAAGCAGTGGAAAGGCGGATCAGCATCTTTTGAAGGCGTTTGTGTGATTGGAAGCTCCTTGTGTGTTCCAAGCCAGAGCTTTGGTTTCTATTGCCCATTTGCGTGGACGGAAAGTATTGCTGACTGGGATGATGCCATGGCCGCAGCAGTGCCAACCTTTGATCTTGCCGGCTGATGATTGGAACCGGGTGGACAAGCGATTGCGTGTATATATTAGCATTATGAGTTTTGGAATAGGCTAAAGTAGGGGTTAACATAAATAATTTCTTTGATGATTTCATTACGTTTTCATTATGTTTTTTTTTCAAATGATTGTTTTAGGGTCCAGATTATGTTTATGTTCTTTTTCTAATGTTTTTTGATTTCAATTCATTTTTTATGATTTGTTTTATGTTTTTTTAATGTTTTTCTTTAAGTTTTTATTTATTTATTTTTTTTGTTGTTTTTGGTGTTTGTGTTGTATTTTTGGAAAAATTGAATACATTTCATATAACACCTATGAAATTGTACAAAAGCATCCCAAAAACAGCATAAAAAAGATCATAAAATCTACACAAAAAATGTGATTTTTTAAACATTTTTTCATGTTTTTTTGGTCGATTTTGTTTTTTAAATACATTTGTCATTTTTGTTTGCATATACAAAAACATTACAAAAAGACATGCCCAAAAAAATGACAAAAATAAAACATACAAAAATCGTAAAACATATTAAACAACGTTCAAAAACATCAGAAAACACATAAAACATTTTGAACATTTTCTGTTTTTTAATGAGCAAACAACTTTTTTAACAGCGCATAATTTTCTGTCTTTTAATGAACAAACAACTTTTTTAACAACGCATAGAAATTTCATAAAATTTATGTGCAATTTTGATTTTCCTATGATTCTTTTGGGAATGCTTTTGTACAATTTTCATAAGTTCTATTTCATTTAAAAAACACACACATACAAAACGCATACCAAAAACACCACAACAATACCAAAAAAAATGTGACAATCATTTAAGAAACATAAACACAATCATTAAAAAACATAGACAAATCATTCAACACATGACATGAAATCATTTAAAAGACACAAAAACATCATATACAAAATGTAGTGAAATCAAAAAGCAAAACTGGCGCCAAAAAAACATAAAACAATGAGGTGATTTTATTTAAAAAACATTGAAACACGCAAGAGAAATTATTCCTTGAATTTGGCTTCTGGCCTAAGTTTTATCCCCTCATAATACTAGCACCTTTCGCAAAAAAAATATCCAAGCGGTATCGGAGCAACCCGAGTGGCTGAAGTGTGTCCCAAACCCTTGCGACAGCTCTGAGCCAAAGCAGTCATGGGAGATGTGTTTTGACATCTGTGCCATTAACATACGTGTGAGCATTCGGGTTCGTGGGCTGCATCTTGTTTATTACCAACATTTTTATCTCATCTTTATCATTACTCTACTGAGGCACCTTTGCGCAGTGCGGTCAGGCCCGCCGCATGGTGCCCCAGCTTGGTGTGAACCGAGATTCCGGTGTGCATAATGTATTACATTGATCTAAATTGCATGTATACTATACTTGCTTCAGTCTTCAGCATGTTTCTATAGCCATCGCCAGGCATTGCATCGCCAGAATCACAAGATTCCAGTTACATTCGTTAAAACATTCATGTGGACCCCCAAGGTGTCAATACTCGAAGCAACCTCAAATTAGGAGATTTCATGCAGAAGTCTCCCAAACCATCATTATATAACATTTTCCAACACCCTCGCGGAAGTGTGGTGACCACCACGTTGCAGCTCAGGCCCGCCTGGGTTCACCTCCCCCGGGAGCAGCTAAAGAAGATGCTAGCACTACGTCAGGTCTGGTCCTCTGCAGGTGGGAGAAATTCAACAACAGACTTGGGTGGCAGCGCACAAGCTAGACCCGACCGTTCCCACCGAGGCCATCGTGTCGTGAATGATGTGGTTGGTGCTGCCGTGGACCCGCTTGCATTTCTGCAGCACCGCTTTTTGTTTTGGAGGGCTCGGCGCAGCAAAGCTGAAAGATCCGGTGTGTGGTCGCAAGTGCGGGGCTTTCATGCAGCCATGCTGCCTTTGTCCGACATATTGAACAAGTTCCTTTTCACATTTTGGATCATGCCTTTGCCCTTTGTTGATGAAACAGTGACCAATTGGCAGATCAGACTCGAATGTTGTTGCCTGTTCCTGTGGCCGGTTAAAGATTCAAAGGCCGTGGAGCTGGAAGCTTTACTCGTGGCATTCTACTGGCCAAAGGTCCAACGGGAACCAGGCTCGTTGGATTTGGTGAACACTTCCCGAACAGCGTTGAGCCAAAGGGACAGGAAGGCATCCCAATGCCCCTCGACATGAACGCCTAGCATGCAGTAGCTTTAGCATTTTGCAAGTGAAGTGGATGCTTGAGCTCCTGCCCAAGTCTTGTGGCGCCCCAACAGCCGTACTATAGCTCTCAGCTTATTTCATTTATGCAAAATCATATAAGAAATGAATTCGCTTACTCTGAGGGACGTTTGAGGGACTTCCTTTGCTGAGGTCATGGTTTTGCTCATTGTGAGCCAACTTTTCATGAAATAATACAGCAAAGAATAACTACCAAGAACCACGAAATCTATGAACTGTCCTCCCATGTTTTTGCGTTTGGTTGGCTCTCGGGGCAGGCGATGCAATACACGAAACGCGCGGTATCAAAAACCTTAGCCAATGCCTGTGTTTTCCAGCGTTTTGTTTTTTTTTTGGGGGTTTCCCGTGGTTTCGTGGTGTTTGTGTCGTGCTGTTTTGCTTGTTTATCCTCCGCGCCCTGGGCTGCAGAAAAAGGGGAACCAAGCAAAACAAAGGCAGGGAGCACTAAAGTCGAAAACGCGGACACCGAACCATTCGTGACTGAAGCCCGGCGGTTCTATGAAGAGTTCGCCTGCGCTATTTTTTTGTGCCGCTTTGAGAGTCGTTTTTGTTTTGTTTCTTTTTTTCTTATTTTGTTTTCTTTGCCTTTGTCTTTCGCTTCAACATAAGCAAGAGAAAGAATAACAAAAAGAAGGAGAAAAAATCACCACCACCACCACCAACAACAACAACAGCAACAACAACAACAACAACAACAACAACAGCTATTAGAGCTACTACCGCTACTAATTCTTAACAGCTAAAACATAAACATATGTGCCATGGTCTAAGCATGGTTAGCCTCTGTGGCTCTAGCCTTCACGCGGCGAGGCTGTTACGGGTGATGGGGGGCATGCCTAACCGATAGAGCCATGACATGTGTGCACTGATATGTCTGCAGTTTCTGTGGAAAGCCTTGACGTTTCTGTGATACACTTCCCCCCCTACATGCTTATTGCCTACACCTTGTACCATACAACTCAGTGACTCGCGTTCGCTGCCAACTGGAGATGCCTTTGCCGATGGTGATTTTCAACTTCTTGATTTGCCGTTGGCTTTTATCTTGATTTTTGGTGATGAGTGAGTTGACGCCCTTGAGCAATGTGCTTTTGAGCAACTGAGTTAGTGGAGCCCAGAGTCAACCAGACCTGAGATTTTGATACAGTATGGATCCTGCGGTGAGTAGGGCCTAGGCCCTTTGCTTCCAGGGGAGCTGTTATTTCTTGTGGATATTTCTGCCTGGTATGTCTTGAGCCAATGGAACACAACCACTATGGATGCTATGCCCGCGGTCTACGTGATTTTTTCGGGCTTGAAGAATTGTTATTTTTCAGTTTTTTAGCTATTTGCCGCGAATAGCCACCTTGCTTTGTACACTACGCTGTGGCGTCAGTCACCTGAATTGATGCCTTTGTCTTGGCTAGTTTGAGATAGTGCCTTTGTTGCAACCCAAAGGGGCCGCTTTGCTATGAGGCTGCCAACTTGGATATGTTTGTTACTCTGTCATTATGTCTGCTGGTCCGTGACAGCTTATACACTGAGTTTCTTGTAGTTTTAGTCTTCGGCACCCGCCACCAGAGCCTGGGACCGGAGATTGTGGACATCGACTCCGCATGCACCCCGTCTAAGCATGGTCTATTTTCCCATGAAAGGAAATGGTCATCCATTTGCGGGGATTACTATACCAATTAAATTATTGGGGAAACCCAATTTTATTGGCAGGATGAACGTACACTTTTACTAAAAGATATCCAAACCATGGCACCTATATGTTGCTTAGGTTGCTGGGTCGGTTCCTTGAATCCAGCGACTTCATAAGCATTTTCTCATCATATCAAAAACAAATTTGTCTTTTAGACGTGCATCCCAGCTGGTACGCGGCTCATAACCAATAAATCATAGAGTTTTTTTTTTGGTATGGTTATTACTTAGAACAAACCAAGCAGGCCCTTGAGGATACCCCATGCAATTTGAAGAGGCTAATGAGGATCGCCCCAGACGGAGGTTCTCTAAAATGGGGTTACCCCGAAATCATCCAGTCTTTGGACCATGAATTGGTATTGAAACCCATAGATTTTGGGATCCCCCCCATGACTTCAGAATCCCCCATAATGGTTAAGATTCTATTTTTGATGGTTAAATCTATGTCACATTATATTCCCATTGTTGATGGTTAATATCCATCAATATCCCATATTATGTGTTTTTCAACATGTCGATATGTTCAACTCTTATTACATGTTCAATTCTTATGTTGGTAATATTCATCTGGTTGATGGTTTGGAACATGAATGTTATTTTCCATTCATTTGAGAATTTCATCATCCCAACTGACTCATATTTTTCAGAGGGGTAGGTCAACCATCAACCAGCCATTAATATCCCATGAATTTCCCATATTTACCACCCGGTCCCAGGCATCGACGTCGGGCAAGCTCGTGCCTCGCGGCCCGTAGATGAAGAGAAGGTGAAGGGCCTCATCACCAGGACCGGGGCCAGAACGAAGTGAAACCTGGGATTCCCCGAAAGCCACGGGGCATAGTTAGCCTCTGGTAGTTTAACAGTTTGCTAACGTGGTTAAAACAATGATAAAACAATAAACCATCCCCCAAATCACCAGAAATGGAATGGTATGTTTACCATTCCCACATGGATGGTTTATGATTGTTTTAACCACATTATTGAAAATTGCCATAGAAATAGTTGATTTACCCAGCTAGAAAATGGTGATTTTCCATAGTTATGTAAAGGTTTACCAGAGGGTAGCTGAGTTGGTGCGTTTATAACTCCAATAGCTAGGGTCTATAGGGGATATAAGATGATATAACTATACTTAAAGAGGATTCTAGACTAAGCTATTTACAGGAGGCGCAATCCTGCAACCATGATGTTTGCTTTGTTTAATGCGCCATAACCCAAGAAACCGCGGTGTTTACAACTCATTTTTCATCCAATTGCTCCCCCAACAGGAGGTTGGTGGTTGGTGAGAATGGACGCAACATTTTTTCACCAAACAAATAGACAAATTATCCAGGAACTGTTTGATACCCTTTGGTAAACTGACATAGCTATAGAAAATGACCATTTTGAATAGATACATTATAAATGGGGTATTTTCAATAGCTATGTTAAATTACCAGAGGGTAACTGGCTGAGTTCAAACTACAAAAATCAAGGAAAATTGCCAAAACCAAAAAGTTGAAACACTAGACTAAATCTTATTCTCCAGTAAAGAGCCCTGGCACTGGAAAGTCACCGATATATAGATGATTCACCTATTATTTCTAAATACCCAAATATTATAGGGTGATATTATATGATTGTAAATAGGGTGTTATTTCTTCCATAATAAAACGTGAATAGGGTATTTAACAATAATAGATCATTATTTAACATATAATAGGTGATTTCTTCCAAATACCCAAATATTATTGCTAAATACCCAAATACATACAATATTATAGACGATTTCTTCCAAAAAACGTCGTCCATTTCGTACTCGTATCGTCAAACATCGCTTGGAGAATCTTCCCAAGTTCCATGAGTTTTCGCTCTCAGATGCGGCGCCGGAGGTTTTTTTTTCCCAATGATCCCATTGTCCCATGAATATTCCGTGACAATGGGACCCATTATCACCAATCATCTCCGATGAAATTTGCTGGTTGCCCCAGATTTCCCAGCTTTTTGGTGTTTTTTTTGCTGTGTAGAATTTGGGGCAAAAACATATCCCATTAAATCATACTTGTTGGTTCAATCGCCATTAAATCACCATTTTTGTTGGTTAAATTGTATCACTATATGTGGAGAAGCTGCGGAAACCTCCCACATATCGTAATGATTCAGCCAGTATTAAATACCGTATCCGTATCCAAGTATAGTATAGATGATTTTCCTCTTAGAACCTTCACTTATATACTTGGATTTTATACGGAAAATATTTATAGATACTATTTATAGATACTACTTATATATATATAGATACTATTTATATATACATCACAAGTAAGGAGTTTTTCTTTGGAAACTTGGAAAACTCTCGCTTTCGATGAGGACCTCATCGTTCGAGGAGGTCAACACAGTGACTTGGCATTGGCCGTGATCGTCGCATCGTAACCGGGTAGTAAGCCTGGTCAGTGGATAAATGAAGTGGCTTGTGGTATATTTGGAGGTTTCCTAAAATGGGGGGGGGTACCGTGCCCCAAGCATCCCCAAGCAATCATCCAGCTATGAGATTGGGATTTTCCATGAAATAAACTATCCATAACTGTTTTTTTTGTTTTGCCACAATTTCTGGAACCCCCCAATTGGGCTATGGTCCTATGGTTTTTTTCGCCACTTATAAAGTGAGGTGATCCTGCAAGCCTCAGGGACGTGCTTCTGAATTATGCCTGCAGGGGGTGCCCCGCTAATCGCAAAACGTTGGTGTTATTTCACTGATATCACTCTTTGGCTTATGGTAGATATACCGTATTATAATCAAAAGGGGTTTAGAAATCAACTTGTAATTTTTTGGGGCACCACATTATGGTAATGGAAACATACCTAAGTTTACCAGGCGAGATTACCAGAGGGTGCGGGGTAGAGTTTTTGATATACACCCGCCATCAATGAAGGCCCAGGTCGTACCCTTCAGCAATGGACCAGGTCCTCAAAAACTTTGATGGGCGGCCTTTAAATCCTTTGCCGGTAGCTCTGGTAACGGTAAGACATAGCTATGGATCATCAGCATTTTTAAGTTCGGTAAATCAACTAATTTCCCATAGTTTTTTGTATGTGTTCCTATCGTTATGGGCCTTTTTCCATAGGCCAAACGCCTCAGCTCCCAGAGGGTACCACCATCTCGGAAAGAAAGCTTTCGTTGGAAAATCTTCACCTTCAACGCATGAGTTTTACACAGGTTGATGAGTTATTACTCTGGTGGCTGGTGACTGGACCATGAATGGATTATGTGATGGTTAATAGTGGTTTTCATAGGCTATAAACCAACAACGGACTGGGAATATTATGGTGATCTGATTGGTGGTTTGGAACATGAATGGAATATATATATTATATATATATGACTTTCCATTCAGTTGGGAATATCATCATCCCAACTGACTTTCAGTCCATCATTTTTCAGAGGGGTAGAAATAAACCACCAACCAGATGAGTTACTGTAGATATTTGTAGCCACAATCTGGCTATAAGTCAAACTACACCCAAACTTCGACGGTTTTTTCTGCTCCTAGAAGTGACCTTCGTGGTCGTTTTGCAGGTCTATAAAATTTGATGCATGGCAAGGTGGTGTCTCATCAGCCAAATTGGTTTACAACTAGATCAAAAAACTGGGCTTTGTGGTGAATTTTCACTCAAACAAGCTATATATATATATGGGATTATAACCAACTACTGTAGATTATTACAAGTATAGATGGGATTATAGACCAACAAACAGACCTGGACACCATCCGGGGGCTTCTTTTTTCGTGTGTTTTTTTCGGCGGCACTTTCGCTGCACCCAGGTGGTGAAGAGCCATTTGGTTGGCTGGTTCAAGAAACAGTTTGAGGTGTGATGGGCATTGAAGACCTAGGGGACCAGCGGCCATTTTTTTCGACAAAATCTTTGACATTTTTCGGGCTTTGAAAACGCAAAAATCCATGGCTTTTTTGATAAATCGCCAAAGGAAAAACCACTTCTGGTTGTTTAGTCCCGACTTGGCCATGGATTGTATTCATCAGGGATTCCGATGAAACGATGGCGATCGAAAACCCATGGTCATTTCGGTGAACGCGATCCAAAGCCATTGTTTTTGGTGATTTTGAGCTTCCTGAAATCAGGTCCGGTTGGGTTTATCATAGCCACGATCTAGGGCTCGAGAGTCTATTCGCAATCCTGAAGTAGATAGAATATCAAGAGTTCAATCATCTTCCCATTTGTGTGAATATGGTTTGAAACATCCACATTCTATCTACTCCAGGACGCATAGAATGGTGAGGTTTATTTGGGTAAAACGGTAGTTCACACTGTTCACACTGCGCATGGACGAATTCGATTTTTTCACACTGCGTTTCTGGACGAATCCCCAGAAACTTCTTTCAGATGGATGTTGAAGATCCCCACATGTTTCAAGAATTCATATCAAGTTGGTGAAATATGGAGGTTTCCCCATTAGTAATCATCCAGAATTCGTCCATTCGAATGGAGTTTTTTTTTTTTTTTACCACCCGTTTTGAGGATCCATTTTCAGAAACCTCCAGAGAAAATATCTCATTATATATGCCCATTGTTCTCCTATGAAGGGTACCCAAAAATAAAAAAAAGCCTGCAGGTCATCTTCGAGAAGGGCGTTCAGGAAGGGCTCAGCAGTTCGGGCTGCCCCCACTGTGCTGTGAAGGCCGTGGATCGTGCGAAATGGGTAGATGCGTGGGATGAATGGATAGTTACTTGGTGGTTCATCCCAGTGCTCGTAAGTGAGTTATAACCCCAATCAAAAAAGTGGATTAACCCGCTCCTTATCCCATGTAAATCACTGGGGTTATAACCCACTGACGAGCCGTGGGATGAGCCACCAAGTATGGATAGTTGCTAAATCCTGTTTACCCTCAAACATGGCATGCTGGAACATGCCCCATTTAGATCCATTGAAAAATCGTTGATTTTCCTAGCGAAGGGATTCATGGTTTGCAAGGCAATGTTTCCTACTTTGATCTGCCATCTTGATGAGGCTATGGCTGGTGGTTTCCATAAATGGGGGATCCCCAATAGCTGGGTGGTTTATAATAGCATCAGATATCATTATTTACTACATGTATATTATCATATATATATATATTATAGAATATACCAGAGGGTATCATATATCATATCATATTTACTACATTATTTACTGTAATATTTTCATTATTTACTACATATATCATATATCATATTTCATATATCAATCACATAAAAAATATCAAGCACATATACCAATCATATATCAATCAGATCTATGTAATATCACATCATTTATATATCATTATAGGTAAACCATCTATAAATGGGCAAAAAAATCCATGGCTATGTTAAATAACCCGAGGGTATATATATATATATGGGTAAATTGTAACGACCTCACTGCGACCTCACTGGAATCATGGTTAGTGATGGGGAATCATCCCCAAATGGCCTTAATTCAGGAGGGTGGGCAGGGACCGCAAGAAGTTGGTGGCCTTAATTCAGGTTAGTGAAATATGATAATTTACCCAGAAATATTATAATTTACCCAGATAATTTACTGGTTGGTGGTTTGGAACATTTTTTATTTTCCCATATATTGGGAATGTCATCATCCCAACTGACGAACTCATATTTTTCAGAGGGGTAGGTCAACCACCAACCATATATATATATATAATATCATACCCTCTGGTAAACTAACATAACTATGGAAAATCACCATTTTCTATGGGAAAACTCACTATAAATGGCCATTTTCAATAGCTATTTTGACATAACCAGAGGGTAATATCAATAAAAACCCATTAAATCCCATTAAATCTCATTAAATATTATTAAAAACCATTCTCATTGATATACTCATCACATTTTGCCAGGAAGACGAACTCGCCACGCTGCGTGCGCAGCTGCAGGTTCCTTTCGGGGCGGACGTGAGGAAATCTGTGGGAAATCGATGGGACATCAATGGTGGAAATGTGGGAAATACCCGGCCTGGTAAATTAACAGTTCGACCCTGACAAATAGGGGTTGGAAGACTAGTTTCCATTAAAAATTGGTGATTTTCAGGGTCTATGTTAATTTACCAGGGGGTATGATAATGTCAACCCTGAATTTTGCTAAACCATTTTTTTTTGAAAAATTAGGGGGGTACTCCCCAAATAGTGGTAATCTAATATTCAAATGGTACCTCCCCAATCAAACAGCCGTTTGGGGTTTATTAATCTGGGGTTGACATTATAATTATAGATGAACACACAATGAACATATGATGAAGATATGATGGTTGCTGTATTCCATTTAAATATGAAAATCCGGTGTGTAGTGCTTCAGATTAATGGCTGGTTCTTACACCACAACTCCCCTGTAATGTTTTACAAACTTTATAAGCCCCATAATATCTCATGATTATAGTTATATCATGTTATATCGCCATAATTGATTACCAGATTGTGAAATAACTACCATAACCACCTTGTTTTATAAGGTTTCAAGGAGCGCGATGTTGACTACCCGATTGTTGGCTAGATAAATTAACCTCATGAATCATAGTTGCGAAAAAAACAATCTCACCTTTTGTTGATATTTAAACCCACCTTATATTTATAACCTGTGTAAGTTCTTGGGGAGAGCACCATCAGTTAAATCCCATTATATACTATATATACATATATATATATACTATACTCTATATATATATATATATACATATCCCATTAGATCACCATTAAATCACCAAGTACCCCATGAAACTCCTGTTGCACCAGGAGCGCGACGCCGAGCTCGCGCGCCTTCGCGAGTTGCTGCCCGCCGGCGGCGCCACGGCCGCGGCGCGAAGCGCGGCGTCCCGCGGTGAGCCGCGCTCGACGTCGCCGGAGGCGTGAGGAGAGCCTATGGAGATGGCCAATGGTCCACCAAAGATGTGGAAATTTGGCCGTTTCCACGGGATTTTACATATGGAAAGATTGAAAAAACCGATGGGAAACTATGAATCATATGGAAATGATGCGGTTAAACCATGGGAAAGATGTGATATTTTTGGAAGATGATTCTCGTTGCCTTTTTTTTGGGCAACGATTTTGCGAAATCCTATGGTGCTGCAATGGCAGCACCTGTCCCTTTGGATCCCCCAAGGGTGATCGAAGGCGCGAGGAAAAGCAAAGTTGTCCATTTCTTCTTTTTTTCAGCTATTCACATATGTATATATACATATTATATATATATATACATATACATATACATATACATATACATATTATATATACATATTATATATACATATTTTCTTCTTTTTTTCAGCTATAATTATTTATACATTATTTATATATATATATACACATAACGGAGACATATCCCATCAAAATCCACTAAAATCCACCATTTTTGGCCGAGGTGACGAGTCTGGCGCAGAGCTTGGCGCGGAGCACTTCGCGCGACGAAGTGCTGGAGGGAGGCGCGACTTCGCGACGGAGTGGACTGGGCAGTGTGGGACCTTAGCCAACCAAAATGGAATATGACCAATAAATAATGGTAAAACTTGGATATAAATGGGATATAACCAAACTTTGAATATAAATGGGATATAACCAAACATTTGGATATAAATGGGATATAACCAAACATTTGGATATAAATGGGATATAACCATAGTGCTCGGACCAACCAAAATGGTGATAGAATGGGATATTCATGGGATTTCTATGGGATTTAGTGGGGTATAATGACATTTCATGGGTTCGTAATGGTGATATACATGGTTTGTAACTCACCAACAATAGGCATTTTATAAGGATTATGATGATGTAACTAGCCAAATTGGTGATATAAATGGGATATAAAACTACCAATAGTAAAATAATAAGAAATTCCACTCTACATGAAGGTTGAATATGATTTAATGGCATATCAATTGGGGACATTAATGGGACAACCATCAAGAATGGTGATTAAAAATGATCTACAAATGGAGGGTTTTCCACATCCATGTTCGTTTACAGGAGGGTTGAACAAGCCGACATTGGGGTTTAACAAGCAAACATGGGCATTCAAGCAAACATGGGCATTGAACCATCAAAATGGGGGATTTAATTTGACTTATGATGGGATATGAGTGGGGATATCAATGGTATATGAGTGGGAAAACCATCAAACAAATTGGGTGCTTGGTTTCATAATACCCTCTGGTAAACTAACAGTTTGCGAACTGGAACATCACCATTTTTAACAGCTAAATCAACTATTTCTATGGCGATTTCCCATCGTTTTTTGTATGTTTACCAGAGGGTAGATTGACCAAACAAATCTGGTTGGTGGTTTATTTCTACCCCTCTGAAAAATGATGGAGTTCGTCAGTTGGGACTATGACATTCCCAACTGAATGAAAAGTCATGATCCATTCATGTTCCAAACCACCAATCAGATCACCATAATATTCCCATAGTTGTTGGTTTATAGCCTATTCACCACTATTAACCATCACATAATCCAGTCATCTTCCAAACAACCAGCGTAAACGAGTAAACGATGGTACATGGCGTCCTTGAGGGATGGTCAAACCCGTCACGAGTTGGATGAAAACCATGATTTAACCAATGAACAGTTGGATGGAAAACTATGGTATATTCATGGGGACATTTGGTAAGTTGGTGGTGACTGGAACATGAATGGATTATGTGATAGTTAATAGTGGTTTTCATAGGCTATAAACCAACAACGGACTGGGAATATTATGGTGATCTGGCTGGTGGTGACTGGAATATAAGAATGGATCATGACTTTTCATTCAGTTGGGAATGTCATAGTCCCAACTAACGAACTCCATCATTTTTCAGAGGAGTAGATATACCACCAACCAGCATATGATGGGATATCTAAAGTCAATCATCATTCTATGAGCATTCGAGTTGGCTTCTTGTTTGTGTATCTGATCATGTTGACGTTAAACCTTCCTATGCGGATTCCCCCCCCACCACACAACCAAGAATATATAGAATGATAACAAACCTGGGGGGATTCCCATGGTTTAACTAAACTTCTGATGGTAACGATATGTTGGGAGCCAAAATTGTGGTATAATGGGGATATAATGGGGATGTGTGACCAATAATAGGAAAACCATAGTATGAATATCCATACATGGAGGTTTGATATAATTCGATGGGATATCAATGGTGGATATCAGTGGCATATTCATGGGATACCTTTTGGTAAACATAGCTACGGAAAGTCACCACTTTTCATAGGTATATCAATGACATAGCATTGAAAAATCACCACTTTTCATAGGATTTCATAGGTATATCAACTCTAAACGGGCCGTTTTCAATAGCTATGTCAGCTATGTGAGTTTCCCGGACCACTTCTCCTCGACGCCAGGAGAAGAGTTGCTGCTCCAACTGATTACGCCGCCATTGCAGGATGATTTGGGTCTGAAAATCACATACCCTCTGGTTATGTCAACATAGCTCTTGAACATGGCCCAGTCGAAACAGTTGATTTACCCTTGAAAATGGTGATTTTCCATAGTTATGTGAACGTTTACCAGAGGGTAAACCATAGTTTAATGTTAGCCCCAGATTAATAAAGGGATTAATAAACCATAGTTTAAAGCATCAGCACTATAATGCCCACAATGTCAACCCCGGATTAATAAACCATAGTTTATTATCTAGGGAGGTACTTCCCGAATAGTCATAATCTGATACTGAAATGGTACCACCCAATTAAACAGCCTAAGGGTTTCTTAATCCAGGGTTGACATTACACAAACATTTGTAAATGGGTTACACAACTGAGTTACACTGTGATTATTATCCACTTCCCAACTGGGATGCACCCGGAAGCACCCGGAAGTGCGGTTCATAATTTCTTCAAGGATGGTTGTGAAAATGATGGTATAGTGGTGTGTTGTGGCTTGTACTGGTTTACAATAGTGGTTTATTATGACCCCCCTAGTGATAAAATTGGGTGTGGTTGCTATTCCGGGCAATCCTCAAAGGATCGTCTGTATGCTTTAAGGGTAGTTCATGTGGGGAAAATTGGGCAACATCTCAGGTTTGTGCATGGTTATAATATGTATATATATATATATAGCATGTATAGGGGATGTAAATCAATAGGTTTTAACGAAATCAGCAGTTTAAATCAAGAATTCTTAACAAACAGGAAAAAAACAACAGAGGAGGCTGGAACACAAGTATGACCAGGACCCACAAAGAGTGAAAAAGGGTTTCTTGCTAGTTAGTCTTGAGATGTGTATCCGAAATAAGCAATTACAATTGCACGTTTTTGTCTTGACTTCAACTTTTTCCATCCGGTAGTAGCGTGGCAATAGAAAATCCTTGATAAATGGAGGTTCTGAAGCTTTTAATGGCATGGAAATATCATATAAATCGGCCACGACCACTTGTAGGTCACAACCAAATTTGTGTGCTGAAATTCCCAGCTTTGTCGGTTCAACCTTCATTTTCTCCAGTGCACGGCAAATTTGCTATATGAAAATCAAACTTTTGATCAAAAACCATTTTTTTCTTGAGATCCCCTTTGCAGTATCTCAAACTTTCTGTTGATCAGACACTGTATTTTATTTTTGCTGATTAGATCCTATCAATGGCCTATATAAGACCTAAATTTCAGGGAATATCCCCACAATTCATATGGCCTGAAATATGGTACGTTTACGTACCTACATGAAATCGGATCCTGAAATTCCCATTGATCCTATCACAGAACCTCCTTAGATGAACAGAGATTGGCTGCTCTTTTGGACTCGGATTTCACCCGAAAAGGAGGCCTTCCACGACTGTGGCGAGTGGCCAGCGGCAGAGGATGTCTCATCCGGGGAAATCGAAGGGTTTCCGTTTCGGGTTTTACCGAGGTCTAAACGCATTGCCAAAAGATGACTAGAGGGGTAGGTAGATCACCATGATTATTCCATGATTGTTCCATCACCCTGGGGATATGACATTATTGGAAGGGGATATAAAACGGTTGGTTTATATAATATGAAGGGGGATATAATGGGATATATAACCTTAACATAATTACTGGTTGGTGGTTTGGAACATGAATGGATTATGACTTTCCATCATATTGGGAATTTCATAATCCCAACTGACTTTCAGTCCATCATTTTTCAGAGGGGTTGGTTGAAACCACCATGATTATCCCATGATTGTTCCATCTCCATCCCATTATTCTCCCAGTGTATCCCCATATTCCAAGAAGTTCAGGGATTTTGCCATGGCAGGACGAACAGAAGCTGCAGTTGTCGCTTGGAACGCCGAGGGAACGCCGAGGGCCTGTCGTTGTTGGGAAAACCCACCGGTGATAGGTGGGTACCCTCTGGTAAACGTTTACATAACTATGGAAAGATCCACCATTTTTCATGGGAAAATCCACTATAAATGGGCATGTTCAATAGCTATGGAACAAATTACCAGAGGGTAACTGTTCGATCCTGAATTTGATGGGTAAATCCCAGTTTCTGATAGATGACATCTGGATAAATGAACTATAACGACCTCACGTCACGACAAGTAACTATCCCAAAATGACCAAGACTTCTCATGGAAATCGATGGGCACATTTCCCAAGAGGTAACCTCCTTTCCCTTTCAATATGGGTTGAAACGACCTGGATGGTGAGCCCTTTTCTGTAGACCTCGTGGTTCAATTTTTTCAGTTGATCTCCTAACTGGACCAAGGGGAAGGTATCGGGAAACCCATGGCATTTTACGTAAGTTAAACACACACACACACATATATACATATATATATATACATATATATATATATCATGTATATATATATATTATCAGACATTAAGATGATTCGTTTTGACTATGGTAAACCATTGAACACCTATTCTGCCCTTAGTCCATTTCTGTTAAAAACCACACATCATTGCAGCAAGGCTGGCAGCAGCGTTGATCGAAGAGCTGAAGCCCAAAGAGGCCAGCGATGTTTTGGGCCTGCTCAGGTCACCCCATGGTTTTCGGGTAACCATAAAGCTGGGAATGGCATATTACCCTCTGGTAAACTAACATAATATGGAAAATCACCATTTTTCATGGGAAATCCCACTATTTCTATGGCCATTTTCAATAGCAAACTGTTAGTTTACCAGGGGGTAAAATATTGTCACCCTGATGGTAATCAGCAAAATCATGGTATAACTCCATATGTTTATGATGTATATTTATATTTATACTTCGGGGAACCATAAACTTCAAGTTTTCTATGGTGGTCATTGGTGGTTATGATGATTCTTTTGGTGGGATTCACATGAAATTGCCATATTAATACTTGTGTCATAGTGATTTACCATCTATCATGATTAAGTATAGTCTATGACTACAGCTGGATGGATGGATGGATGGGTTTGGTGAGCTTTAATTTCAAGTGCCCAAATCAATTTGGTGGTTTGAATGATCTGAGTTTTATTTCATAGTGAAACCCGTTTCAAGAATTAATTACCCAATTGGAAATTCCATAGTTTCAAGGCGCGTTCACCATCCCTTGATTTTTCTCGGGAACGGCCAACCTCACCACGTCTGTCGTAAAAAGGACCAAACCGAGGCTGTCGTATTCCATTTGCCGCCCAGAATGGTTCCAACCAAGGGGATTTCGTAAATTTCATCACGACCTCACCTGGTTGGTGGTTTCGATCATTTTTTATTTTTCCATATATTGGGAATGTCATAATCCCAACTGAGGAACTCATATTTTTCAGAGGGGTAGGGCTCAACCACCAACCAGTCACTGTTCACTGGAAAAGTGGTTTATACTGCTTTCTATATGGGAAGTGATCCCAAGAACCGAAGTTTTCAGGGCTTGACCCAGCTGCTCACAGATTGGGAGACAAATTTTGGATACTGGAAATCGATCATCTTTTTCAAACTGAAACCATGGGGTTTCCATGTCTATGTTAATCCCCAGGATATGACCGTGGACTACTCCTGTCTGGCGAGTCTGCCGCAGAATTGGGTCTTCCAAAGAATCTTATATTAGGAGGGTTCCAGAAATGGTACCCCCATGACTCAGGAAACCTCCATATAACCCATTATAACATATTATAACCACTCCATATAACCCATTATAACATATTATAAGCAAAATGTTCATTCATCTTCCATTCATATGTCACTAACCATACCCTCTGGTAAACTAACAGCTTGCTATTGAAAATGGTGATTTAGTTCGTTGATTTTCCCATGAAAAATGGTGGATCTTTCCAGTTCGTTATGTTTGTACGTTTACCAGGCCGGGTAAATTTCAGAAAACCTCCAGATACAACGGATGGATTGTAGCCATAGATATCTTATTTGGGATGAAGCAAAACCCCACGGGGACCGCCGTCTTTGGACACCCGGTCCCCGTTGTAGGCCTAAAAACGTGGCGTGGCAAAGACCCCACGAGGTGCGTCGGTGGTTTTCATGGGATCATCGAACGATGTTCGATTGCCATTTTTGGATTGCCGACGGGTCGTTTTTTCATTCATGACTTTTGGTGAAAAAAAATGATGAGTTTTTGGAGCACCAAGTGGTTGAGTAGTTCGGTATACTTTAATTCTTTGCTGTTTTGACTGGTATATGTACTGATATATATATATACACAACTCAGCCACTCACAGGCAGATAGATCGTATCTAAAGTATAGCTCTGGTATAGTGGTATAGATTATATAGTATATAGACTCTTTGGATGGTTTTGATGGGGAGATATTAACCTCACCAGCCCATTTGTTTTTGGCAGGGTATCTAAGGCTGATCTATCTGGTGCTGGGATTAGCGCCAGCTTGGTTTCAGCCAAGGGGCCAGCGGAATCCAAAGGTTATTCCTTTCCCCTATATTATATTGTCTGGTTGGTGGTTTCCTATAGGATTTATGATGATTTATGATGGATTATATATCTATAGTAATCTATAGTGAGATGGGATTATAAACCAACAAACACTGGTTGGTGGTTTCAAACATGACTGGATCATTTTCCATTTCATATATGGGAATAATCATCCGAAACCCATTGACGAACTCCATCATTTTTCAGAGGGGTAGGTATACCACCAACCAGTTGTTTCCTTTCCCCTATATTAGATTGGATTATTATATCTTTACATTTCTCCCCCATGACTGGGACCCAAAAAAAATCATGCAACGATCCATTGCAATCCACGGTTTTTCCATGGGGTTGGATGAAAATGTTCTGCATTTCTGACACAAGCATCAACCACAGGGATTATGAAGGTCACAAATTTCCGAGGAGAATTCCATTTATAATGGATTTTCTATGGTTTAATATGGTTTTCTATGATATTATGAGGATGCTGTTTTTTTTTCTCAAGTTCCAGTTATGGGATTATGATTTTATTCCCTTTCTCACCGAGTTTCAGACCATTCCGCAGTTTTTTTTGACTCAAACCTGCCTCTCCGCCGACAAAATCTCCGCTGTACCCTTGACTTTGAAGGGCCAATGAGTTTGGATTTGGGTAGGTTTATGGGATTGGGTTTACCACATTACCCAAGTCCCAGTGGATTATCATATTTTGTTAACCTCTGGTAAACTAACAGCTTGCTATTGAAAATGGCCCAGTCGAAATAGTTGATTTAACCATCAAAAATGGTGGATCTTTCCAGTTCGTTATGTAAACGTTTACCAGGCCGGGTATCATTTTTCCCATGGCGACATTTTCGGGAATCCAATTCATGGCCATGGACGAACTACCCCGGTTCGATCTCTAAGTTGGTTTATTTCTCGAATATTTCCCTTGGATTTATGGTAGATGTATCATGATATATCTACATAGTTATTGGGGCTTAACCAGCAAACATCACTGGGCACCACTTTTATCAGCTCCCCATGATAGTTTTGGTGCTTCAGACCCAAAATGCAGGTGAAATCACCATTTCTGCTGGGTTCGATCAGCATTTTTGCTGGGTGAAATCACCATTGTGGTACAAGGTGGTGCCCCCGTTCGATAGCTAAGTTGGTGAACATAACTCTAATTTCACTAGGACTTATGGTAGATATATCGAACTAGTTAATGGGATTATAAACCAACTTATAACTTGGGGATGCAGGTGAAATCACCATTTTGCTTCACTAACTCACCATTTTTGCTGGGTGAAATTACCATTTTGGTAGGTTAACCTCACCGTTTTTTGTGGGAAAAGCCCTGGATCCTTGGCACCGCCGTGGCCGGGGCCCCACCGCGCCTAGGTCGCCATGCGCAGCCGTAGCATCGTCACCGTGGGCGTCGTGGGTCTCTTGGGCTTCGGCGTGCTGTGCTTCGCGCCTTGGCCAAGTGGGCCAAGTGGGCTGGCCAGTTGGGGATTTGATGGGATGGTTTTTTAGATATACCCATTCAACCATGGTTTTGAACTACCCCTGAATCATTTATTTAGGACACCTCCATTTGTACCATCCCCACCTTGAAAAATCCCCATGAAATCCGTTGCAAATGCCTCAGTTAATCACTACTACCCTCTGGTTATGACTAACATAGCCATGGTATAGATGGCCCATAGAAATAGATGGTTTACCGTTTTAAAAAATGGTGGATCTTTCCATGTCTATGTTAAATAACCAGATGGTAGGAAAAATCTGGTTGGTGGTGACTGGAACATGGTGATGGAAACATGACTGGATTATGTGATGGTTAATAGTGGTTTTCATAGGCTATAAACCAACAACGGACTGGGAATATTATGGTGATCTGGTTGGTGGTGACTGGAACATTTTTATGACTTTCCATTCAGTTAGGAATGGAATAATCATCCCAACTGACGTTCTGTCCATCATTTTTCAGAGGGGTAGGTTCAATAAACCACCAACCAGAATAATTTATGGCCAGTTTACGAATCTTTATGGGATTTTGGGGAAAGTTTGGGATCATGAATGGAATAAGAATACAAAATCTATGGATTTGCTTCGAATCCACATATAGGAACCTTTAGGATGTGATATTGCAACTGCCGGGGCCGGATGGATTTAACGATGTTTTCCATCAGTAACTCTTGACCAATGGGAAGACTCCCCGAGGTGCCTCCGAGCGAACAAGGCGTGCAGGGTGCCAAGCGCCAACAAACATGGTCACTTAATGAGTTGTTATATGGGGATAATATATATATATATACAGATAGATAGATAGATAAATTAGATTAGATGAGATTAGATTAGATTAGACTAGATTAGATTAGATTAGATTGGATAGATAGATAGATAGATAGATAGATATGATATGATATGATATACGTATAGATATTTTTTTGGGCAGGACATAGATATATACTCAGTACAAGTGAGATAGGATTTGTCGGAGGGTCGAGTTTTGATGATGTCCTATCATGGGGATAGGGGTTTCCATCAATGGTGGTACCCCAATAGCTGGATGCTTTATTTCATGGACAATCCCACTAAAATGGATAATTTGGGAGTACCCCATTTTAGGAAACCTATAAATAATGAATATAGATAAATATAGTGGATTCACGGGTTATTATATATCCCAAAAGTTTGCCAGAAACTTTTTGGAGTTGAGTGAATGATAATAATTTACCCAGAAGAGATGGTATTCTCCAGAAGAATGCTGACGGATAAATCCATATGAATTAGATGATGTTCAAGATATGCGATGATATCCTTACCCTCTGGTAAACGTTTACATAGCTATTGAAAAACACCATTAAGAGTGAGTTTTCCAACGAGAAATGGTGATTTTCCATAGTTATGTAAACGTTTACCAGAGGGTAGATTTAACATTGCTCTGGAAAATTGCCCATTTAGTTTGATGATTTTCTCAGCTGTAAACCTCCATTTCGTTCGGAGATTTTCCAGCTAGCCATGTTTGATGACACCGGAGGTAATATGCCACTATATTCTCATTATAAGCATTCCATGAAAAAAAGTATCCCATTGTTGAGATGATTCCCCATTATACCATCAGTAAAATCTCAATTATGAGGTAAAACATCCATATCATTAAATGTGATCTATATGGTTTAATAGGGATTTATCAGGTTTAAATCCATCTCTTAAAATTCATTTTGTTGGATAAATCCCTATTTTTTCTGATTAAATTGCAATTTGTGTTGATAAACATTCACTTTACCAGGTATTAAAAACATCCCTATCAAGGACATATCCACCATAAACCAGTTTACTATAGTTTTATCCATATTTACAAGCCCATGGTTTATCCGATTTATCCATATCATGGTAACTACCCTCTTTTTTTTAAAACATAGCTATTGAAAATGGTCCTTTTATAGTTGAAACTCCTATTAAAGATGGTGATTTTCCAGTTCGCTATGTTAACGTTTACCAGAGGATAAACCTCCATTTTCCATCATTTTCCTATGGTTTTCCTATGTTTTTCCCCAACAGCAGAATGCTTTGGGGTCTCAGCCCACATAGCCTTCGGGGTGCTCCGGGGCACTGCTCGACCCTGCCGCCTCGTTTCGCCGGTTCCGGGAACCAGGGTTCCGAGAACCGGTTCCGGGAACCAGGGTTCGGGGCAAGGTTCCGGGAACCCAGGGTTCCGGGAACCAGGGTTCGGGGCAAGGTTCCAGGAACCCAAGGTTCCGCAAACCAGACTTTCAAGCAAGGTTCTGGGAACAATGGGTTCTGGCTACCTTTTGGGTTCCGGGACGTCAAGGTTCCGGGAAGGTTCCGGGCACACTTGGCTTTCGACAAGGTTCCGGGAACCTTACCATGGTTTCGAGCAGCCAGAGCCTGGATTGTGCCAAAGTTCTGGAATCACCGGAACACCAATTTTGAGACATCCTGCAAACCCAGAGTTTGGGGAACCAGGATTCTGGCAAGGTTCCAGCAACACTGGGTTCCGACAAGGTTCCGAGAACCACCACAGATGCGGACCCACAGTTTGGATATACTTCCTGGATTATGCCACAGGTTCCGGACAGGGACAAGGTCAGAGTTCTGGCAAGGTTCCGAGGTTCCGGAAACAACCCAGGGGTCGGATATACGCCGTGGGTTGTACCAAGGTTCATGCTACGGACAGGGTCCCAGAAAACCAATTTGCAAGAAAACCAAGGTTCCAGGACCAAAAGGGCCCGGTCAACGAGCAATCGCTGACAGGGGGGGGGACAGCGTGACAATAAATCAGCGCGTCTCGGTTCCGCAAACCCAGGGTTCCAATATACGCTGTGGGTTGTGCCAAGGTTCCGGAAACGAGGGTTCCAGGAAGACAAGGTTCCAGGACACAAGGTTCCAGGAACATAAGGGATTCCGGAAATCCCCCAGCCAATCTTGGGTGCTTTGTGGCCCCTCCTGAATTCCGAATTCATGTTCGTTTGCTCAGTGGGCGCACAGCGTCGGTCGACTGACCTGTTCTGATGTTGCTGTAAAATCTTCTGTTTGAACTGTTCCGATGTCGCATCTACCAAAGCACATGCCACATCAAGCAATTAAGTTCGATGCCTTGGAACACCTAAATATTGGCAGCAAACCTGTGTGAGGCTTCTCGAAGCCAGGTAGATGATTTTTTGAAGCTAAGTGACCAAACAGCAACACACAATGAAACTTCAGACACAGTTGTGACACAACAACCAAGTATTGACATGAAACTAATTCTGGAATCATGATGGACAATTTGGCCAAAACCAACTGTTTCACCAATCACTTGCGCAAACTGACCGATGTTGTCCAAGCACGACAAGATAATCCCAAACCAACACACACACACATTTTGTAAACACTTAATGACACACCGTGGTCTGCAAATACTGCCATTCGTTTGTAACCAAATGTATGTAAATTCAACTATGCGCGCTTTCTTAAAGAACATGTCTCATCCTGCCTTTGGTCCAAAAGGGGAGGGGGCAAGGCGGGCAAAAAATCGCCGAAGAGACTTAGGCTATGGAATCCTGTTCCTGCCATCATTAATCCGTCTTGGGTTGCAAAGTTGGACCACTGTTTGAAACCAACCGCTGCCGGTTCCGGGAACCAGGGTTCCGGGCAAGGTTCCGGAACTCAGGGTTCCGGGAACCAGGGTTCGGGGCAAGGTTCCAGGAACCCAAGGTTCCGCAAACCAGACTTTCAAGCAAGGTTCTGGGAACAATGGGTTCTGGCTACCTTTTGGGTTCCGGGACGTCAAGGTTCCGGGATCCCCAGGTTCTCGGCGCCAGGAAGGTTCCGGGCACACTTGGCTTTCGACAAGGTTCCGGGAACCTTACCATGGTTTCGAGCGGTTCTGGAATCACCGGAAAATTTTGAAACATCCTGGAAACCCAGAGTTTGGAGAACGAGAGTTCCGGCAAGGTTCCAGCAACACTGGGTTCCGACAAGGTTCCGAGAACCACCGCGGATGCGGACCCACAGTTTGGATATACTTCCTGGATTATGCCACAGGTTCCGGACAGGGACAAGGTCAGAGTTCTGGCAAGGTTCCGAGGTTCCGGAAACAACCCAGGGGTCGGATATACGCCGTGGGTTGTACCAAGGTTCATGCTACGGACAGGGTCCCAGAAAACCAATTTTCAAGGAAACCAAGGTTCCAGGACCATATAGGCCCTGTCAACGAGCAATCGCTGACAGGGGGGCACAGCGTGACAATAAATCAGCGCGTCTCGGTTCCGCAAACCCAGGGTTCCAATATACGCTGTGGGTTGTGCCAAGGTTCCGGAAACGAGGGTTCCAGGAAGACAAGGTTCCAGGAACACAAGGGATTCCGGAAATCCCCCAGCCAATCTTGGGTGCTTTGTGGCCCCTCCGAATTCCGAATTCATGTTCGTTTGCTCAGTGGGCGCACAGCGTCGGTCGACTGACCTGTTCTGATGTTGCTGTAAAATCTTCTGTTTGAACTGTTCCGATGTCGCATCTACCAAAGCACATGCCACATCAAGCAATTAAGTTCGATGCCTTGGAACACCTAAATATTGGCAGCAAACCTGTGTGAGGCTTCTCGAAGCCAGGTAGATGATTTTTTTAAAGCTAAGTGACCAAACAGCAACACACAATGAAACTTCAGACACAGTTGTGACACAACAACCAAGTATTGACATGAAACTAATTCTGGAATCATGATGGACAATTTGGCCAAAACCAACTGTTTCACCAATCACTTGCGCAAACTGACCGACGTTGTCCAAGATAATCCCAAACCAACACACACACATACAATTTTGTAAACACTTAATGACACACCGTGGTCTGCAAATACTGCCATTCGTTTGTAACCAAATGTATGTAAATTCAATTATGCGCGCTTTCTTAAAGAACATGTCTCATCTTGCCTTTGGTCCAAAAGGGGACGGGGCAGGGCGGGCAAAAAATCGCCGAAGAGACTTAGGCTATGGAATCCTGTTCCTGCCATCATTAATCCGTCTTGGGTTGCAAAGTTGGACCACTGTTTGAAACCAACCGCTGTTGGGGATCTACGTCGGCTTATTTTGTATGTTTACCAGAGGGTATTCTCAGTTCTTACAACCCAAGGACCACCGCAGACCTCCCGACACCACAGACCTCGCAGGCGTGACCTCTGCGCGTCGTGCCGCCTTGCTGGGCGCCGTCTCAGCAGTGACCCTGGCGGGGCAGAAGGCGGAGGCCTTCGGGAAGAACCCTTCGGACTGGCTGGGATACTACAAGGACCGGCTGGGAATTGACGGGACATTGATGAGGATATGGGAATTCATTGTGGTTTATATGGTTTGAGATGGGGGATTGGAGATTCATATGGGTTTCCTATGGATATTATAGGGATATTCCATATATAACTGGAGGTTTTAATGGAGATTTATGCAACAAGAAACAGGATCTTACTGGGGAAATTGATAAAACTGGGGTATATTTCACCACGGATGGGATACCCTCTGGTAATTTAACATAGCTATTGAACATGGTGATTTATAGTGGATTTTCCCATTGAAAATGGTGATTTCCCATAGTTATGTTAGTTTACCAGCTTGACATGATACTACAAGGGCTGGCTGGTGATGGGCCGGTGCGGGACTACACCCAATCGCGATGGGGACGCAAAAATTGCGACGATGGTGCTGGATGGTGTGGATGGGGCTGGCGTATGCATCGTTTTTGCCAATACTGGGGCCTTGGGGTTTACTGTCATTCCATCAAACATAGGAAAACCATAGGAAAACCATAGGAAAACCATAGGAAAACCATAGGAAAATGGAGGTTTACCCTCTGGTAAACGTTTACATAACTATGGGCAATCACCATAATTTAATGGGAAAATTCACGATTTCTATGGTGATTTTCCATAGTTATGTAACAAATTACCAGAGGGTATCCCAGTTGCGAGCAGTTACATCATCATCACAAGCCCATCAGGGGCGAGAGGGGATGGAATGGCGGTGGCAAAAACTTTGTGGATCCTGGGACTCTGACCTACGTATTTTCGAACGCTGGATATGCAAACATATGGTACAATACCTCCATTTTAGGATCCTGAAATTCCCATTGATTGGTTACTTAACTGATGATCAATGATGATGGTTAATAGTGGTTAATAGTGATGGTTAATAGTGGTTTTCATAGGCTATAAACCAACAACGGACTGGGAATATTATGGTGATCTGATTGGTGGTGGCTGGAACATGAATGGATGATTTTTCCATTCAGTTGGGAATGGAATAATCATCCCAAGTGACGAACTCCATCATTTTTCGTGGCGAAAAACCACCGACCACTGTTGATCGGATGGCAGTTCAGCAACTGAATGCAAGTCGACTGAGACATGAGCCCCACAAAGTCAGGTGATCCCCGAAAAAACCCTCTGTGGCAATGGCCGAATTGACACTGCTCCATCTATATTATAATATGGGTATGGATCAATACCTATTAAAAAAAATACCGTATTTTTAGTGGGTTATTCACATCCATTTTAACCCAGCTATTTTGATGTGAACAAAAAAGGGGTACAACATGGGTTTTGACACTTGCTGCTCCATTTACCCTCTGGTAAATTGTTACATAACTATGGGAAAGATCCACCATTTTTCATGGGAAAATCCACTATAAATCACCATGTTCAATAGCTATTTTGACATAACCAGGGGGTACATCTATAGATGTGGTGGGGATCCCAGTTCTCAGGTGAGTTTTATGACATCAAACGGTGATGGCTCTGGTACCCGGCCTGGTCAACGAACTAACGAAAAACGAACTGGAAAGATCCACCCATTTTCAATGGGAAAACTCACTATAAAATACGATTTCAATGGTGATTTTCCATATGTAAGAATTTACCAGTATCTACCATAACCATTCCACAATTCCTGCTTAGTAATCATAATTTTCCTTATAAATCGACATATTCATCTCGTTAGTCTAGAATCTTAAGTCTAGAATAAACTTATAAACCACATATGACTATAATATCATAATCCACAACTTATGACATTTATGTAGGAATTCTACTTCGTCTGGTTACAAATCATGTGTTCATAAGTCATCCTCCCCAGCTTGACTCAGCGTCAGGACCCTCAGCACCCCATGTGCCCTCGCAAGATCAAGTACGACCCTGCTGTGGTTCCACGGCAGGGACTGGATTAGGGTCACCACAGTGTCAGGTCGGCAGCGTTTGTCGTTCAGGTCTTACTGGAAATCATGGTTAGATTGTGGGAAATCATCCCCAAATGGCCGAACTATTCAGGTAAGTGAAATATTATAGTTTACCCAGATTTATGGGATTTTCATCATGATCAATTGGGATTAGACATGCGAAACACCAATGAATCGGGATTTCTGGGTAGCAATCTCCCACCACGAACCATGTTTTATTTAATACTTGAAACTCCTGAAAGGGTTCAGTAAGAATGGAGATGCCCTGGAGCTTTCAACCATCCAGAGCCACACAGATATATACTGGGATGTGTATCCCAGCATTAAAAGGGGTTACAGAATCATGGATAGCTCACAATGCTATAGATCCAATTAACCTCACCCACAACTGACAACAATCGGAGTTACTTTACCCACAATATTTTTGGGAGATATCCACGACAAAAAGAGGCATGTTTTTGTTTCGCAACTTACAATAATCCCATCACCCCAGTGTTAAGCACCCCAATTGCATGGTCCCCAAAAATTGTGGAAATTCCCTACATCCACCATGGTTTCGTTCAGGGGATGTTGAAAATGAACGATCCCCTCTTGGTGGCTCATCCCACGGCTCGTAAGTGGGATATAACCCCAGTTAGAAATGGGATAAGTAGGGATAAGTAGGGTTAATCCACTTATAATTGGGGTTATAACTTATAACCCACTTACCAGCCGTGGGTAGTGAGCCACCAAGCTTGAAACGTCAGCTGACCCTGGTGCTGACCCTGGCGTGCACCGAGAAAACCGGCATGATCGTGGAGGGTGGGGATGGCGATCCCGGCTGCGAAAAGAAGGTGGGGACGGGTGGATCTCAGGGTTCATCACTTCTTTTTTTTGGGGGTTGGACCAAACAAATGGATACACATGGCCCATAGAAATAGTGGATTTAGCTATTTAAAATGGTGATTTTCCATGGCTATATATGGCTATGTTGGTTTACTTGAGGATGAAAAAAGGGAGTTTTCTAAAATGGGGGTACACCACTAGCTGGTTTATTTCATGGAAAATCCCAAAAATGGATGAGAACTGGGGGTACCACCATTTCAGGAAATGCCATATACTTGTAATTGATGCTAAGTTGGTGAACGCAACTCGGGCTTATGGTATGTCTACACTTCACAATGTGGGCCCCCCTAGTCATAAATTGATTTATAAACCCCCATTAACTATAGTTATAAGTACCATAAATCATAGTTATTGGAGTTATGTTCACCAGCTGAACGCTATCTTGGGGGCTCCACATTGCAGGTTTTCTTGCCCAAAATCCGTCCGGGTTGGTGCGAAAATTGGGTTTCGTGACCACGAAATCCATGGAATTTCTGGGGCTGACGAATCTCGAAGCCATCGAACATCCATAGGTTACCTATAGCTATGTTTGATGCTCACTGGATACCCTTGATACCAGGGTTTCTGGTCCATTAAAAACCTGGTTTCGAGTTTTTTTGCCGTAAAAAAGGGAGTTGCAACTCTAGTTCTACACACCCTCTGGTAAACGTTTACATAACTATGGAAAATCACAATTTTCTAGCTGGGTAAATCAACTATCAATGGCCATTTTCAATAGCTATGTTAAATTACCAGAGGGTAGTTCCAGGGACTCCAAAGCTCTATTACAGCACGTTGCCAGAGGGTAAAGTTGGCTCCTCAGGCAGTAGTCAGTGCGAATGTGCCGTGTTCGTCGATTGCAGCAAATTGTGAACCGGTGAAGTCACAATGAGGGAACATCTGAAATCATTTGGAGGTTTCCTAAAATGGGGTACCCCTAAGTCATCCATCTTAGTGGGATTTTCCATTATAAACAATCCGTTTTGGGGTAGCCCCATTTTAGGAAACCCGCATTTATGAATACCGCACATGAACACAGGCTGAAGATTTAAAATCAACAAGTTTGAGGTTTGCAACAACTCAGGATTAGCACCCTGTTGACTAGTTCGACATATGTACTGTAAACCCAACAGTGACATATTAGTGACATAAATCAATTTGGTTATCATAAATCAACTATCCCATTTTTAAATGGATTGATTTAGTTGCACCATATAAATGGTCACCCCATTTTTTAGTTTCATAATGTAACTAAATCAATTATCAAAATAGTTACACATGATCAATCCCACTTGTAGTTGCATATAGCTACAGTTACTGGTTGAATAGAGCAGATATCCCATTATTTTTTAGCTACCATAAATCAACTATCAGTTTAAGTAGAATAGATAGTTGATTTCAACCCCATCTTGAACATCAACTATCCTATCAGATATCAATGGCCATTCCAGGAACCCAAATTGGAGGTACCTACCATATATAAGGCCTATTTTTCAGGCCTAAATTTCAGGGGATATACCCCCACTATCCCCGAATTTTGGCCAAAAATCTGGTACATTTACGTACCTCCAGGAATTCCCATTGATATCAATTCCCCACAAGGTGGTGCCCCCCAAACGTTATGTTTGTTGGTTTATAACCCAATCTAACTATAGTTATAACTACCATAAACCCTAGTTATTGGAGTTATGTTCACCAACTTAGCTAACGAACTGGGGCACCACCTTGCATCAACTTTCCATGCGAAACCCACCGCTGATTTCAGGTGCTGACCCCCTTCCGCGCCCCTGTGACCTTCACCCCGGACAGCGACAGCATCACCATCGACTTCACCTCGAAGGGCGGCCCCGCGGACCCGCGCGGCGCAGGGGGTGGGGCTGGGATTTCACGGTGGATGGGGATTTCTATGGACTTTTTTTTTGGGATTTTCTGGGAAATCCATGGAACATAGGGACTTGGGCCTAGGGATTTTGTGAGCTAAAATCCATGAAACATAGGGACTTAAGTCTGACAAATTGCGGTTTTGAGCACCAAAAACTAGGACAAAAACTAGGATCTAAGCAACAAATCATTGGGATTTCACATGATTTAACCACTGAAGTTATGGGGATTGATGGTTGAATTTATGAAGAGCCAAGTTGGCGCCAACTCAGATTTCACTGTTGGGTTTATGATAGATATACCGAAGTATAGTGAGGGCAAAAACTACGCCTAAAACCAACTCCGCACAACCAACAGCTCGATGCTACCATATTTTTTGGGGGGTGAAACTCCCAGGGTCGAGGGTTTGGTCAGTAGTTGATAGGATTCAAGTAGGAAACACTGGGGATTTCATGAAAACTTGAGATCCAACTGTAAACCATGGGGATTCACTCATGAAAAGCTGTTTTTTTAAATGATTCTCCAGACATATAAATTGAAGACTCTTTTTCGTGGTCATTTTTCAATGTTCAGGTTGGTTCGGTCAGAATCTTCATCGAACTATTCATGGGCCATGGCGGTAAATGGGGAAATCCGCCCAAGAAAATACGGGTAATCCCCAGATGGTAATCTTGAACACATTATTGTCAGTATAGGGTATTTCTCCCCAAGAAATGAGTGGTTTATGGGAGATGACGTGGATATATTGTAAATATATGGAAAATCTATGGTAAATCTGTGGATAATTACCATTTTCGTTTCTTTAAATGACCTGCAGGACGTGGTTGGCAAATGGGAGAACGGTGGCATTGTCTTCCCTGATGCTTGGTCTCCGTTGCGTCTCAAACATGGTGATTTAAAGCATGAAAAATGGAGGGAGGGACGTCACCAGGGCCCCATTTTTACAGTGTTTTGTGATGTTTTTGTCATAATTTATGCAATCCCCATATAAAAATATCATAATCAACATTAATAATATAGTGATATAGCAAAATTATAGTGATATACCAACTATCATAGTGTTTTTGTGATGTTTTTTGAAAAATGATGGATTTGGGGTTTGGGCCATCTGGAAAACGAAGGTTTCACCAAGGCCATTTCCAGGATTTATCCATGAAGCACAGGGATTTCACACAATGAATGGTGGATTTGGGTCTGAACATTTGGTAATACCCAGAAGATATGTTCATTTTCATGGAAACTCATTTTTTTTTCCTCATTTCCACGCCACAATGTCGGAACGACGTAGTACGCGGACAGGCACCATTTTTACATGTGGGAAGGGTTCAGATTTTAATGGGAACTGGGAAGCTTTATAACTATTATTTCAGATATAATTTTAAACAAACATAATTATCTGAAATTATAATTTTAATAAATAGAAATTTTCAAATCCTTTTGGATGTTTCAAAAAAAGCCCCATTCATAAGGGGTGTTTTTGGTGTTGATTGATCCAAAAGGCTTCAGGTTTGTTGGGTGACCTGGTGATGTCCCTTTCACCTTCTCTAAGGGGAGTAGCCTTAGATATCAATGACTGTCATGAATGTTTCTAAATATGAACATGTACATACATACTTATATATATAATAATGATAATAGTTATAGTTACTTTATATTTCATTTATATATATAATTTTTTTAAAAGTTCATTTCCATTTTTATAGTTTATGTACTGATTGATTTATTTATAGTTTGTTTTCACATTTTAATAGTTCTTATTCGTTTAATTTTGGCCAAGGTGGCCATATCAACAGATCCCGGCCAAGCAACAGATCCGGGCCGTTGCGGCGAAAGACGTTGAAGCTGTTTAAGCAACATCCCCACTATCACTATCATAATCAAAATTAATAATATAGTGATATAAGTAATTATAGTGATAGTCACCAACGATCATAGTGATTTTGATGATGATTTTGATCACTATCATAATCCCAATTATCTAGTTTATTTGTGATAGAGATATGGGGATCAGCTAACATTTATTATGGGGATCATGAATAAATCAATATGATGTTAATATAATCTGTTACCCTCTGGTAAACTAACAGTTTGCTACTGAAAATAGCCATTTAGTTCGTTGATTTACCCAGCTAGAAAATGGTGATTTTCCATAGTTATGTAAACGTTTACCAGAGGGTAAAATCAGCTAAGATTTATTTATCAATTATCAAGTTATATCCCATATCTTTGGGACTCCAATTTCTCCAATGTTCTTCTTGGTAAGTGAGCACATCATCTGAGGATGGCAACAAGTGGAAGAAACTCTTCGGACTCTCCGCTGCCACGGGTCAAGACATCTAAGGTCGGTGGGGAAAAAAAAACTCTGTTGATTGGTGAATTGGGGGTTGCTTGGTAAACAAAGTTAGATTATGAAGCCATAAAAGGAGATATAAGGAATCTACTAACTGGCTTAGAGCTGGTTGGTGGTTTGGAACCTTTGGATTATTTTTCCATATATTGGGAATAATAATCCCAACTGCCCAATATTTTTCATAGGGGTAGGTCAACCACCAACCAGTAGAGTCTATGTTTTTTTTGGATCATGAACTAACTAACAAATTAAGATTTACTCATCAACCACTGAGATGGAAGCATGTAATCGTTGCTGAGTTGTTTTGTCACAAAGATAACATGTCGGAGGGAGATTTCTGAAGAGCCTTTTTGAAATTTCCTTTCAATATCAATTTCGTGGCGTTTTTGTTTCACCCTGGCGTTGGTTGATGGTTTTTGTTTTCGTAGAAGGGGATCGACCCTTTGCATCGTGCGTTTTTGAGGGTGCTTTATATATATATATATAATCTAATCTAATATAATATAATATAATACAATACAATATTATATTATATTATATTAAATTATATTATATATATATATTGTATATATATATACAATATTGTATTTATATATATATATATAATCTATTATATCTATCTATCTATCGATCGATCTATCTATCCCATCCCATCCCATCCCATCCTATTGATCCTATTGATCCTATTGATCCTATTGATCCTATTGATCCTATTGATCCTATTGATCCTATTGATCCTATTGATCCTATTGATCCTATTGATCCTATCTATCCTATCTATCCAATCTATCCAATCTATCCAATCTATCCTATCTATCTTATCTATCCTATCTATCCTATCTATCCTATCTATCCTATCTATCCTATCTATCCTATCTATCCTATCTATCCTATCTATCTATCTATCTATCTATCTATCTATCTATCTATCTATCTATCTATCTATCTATCTATCTATCTTATCTATCTTATCTATCCTATCTATCTAGCTATCTTATCTTATCTTAATCTAATCGAATCTAATCGAATCTAATCGTATCTAATCCAATCGAATCCAATCCAATCCTATCTAATCCTATCTATTCGTATCTATTCGTATCTATTCGTATCTATTCGTATCTATTCGTATCTATTCCTATCTATTCCTATCTATATCTATCTATTTATCTATCTATCTACCTATCTACCTACCTACCTACCTATCTATCTATCTATCCATCCTATCCTATCCTATCCTATCCTAATCCTATCCTATCCTATCCTATCCTATCCTATCCTATCTATCTAATCTTATCTAATCTTATCTTATCTTAATCTAATCTAATCTAACCTAATCTAACCTAATCTAATCTAATCTAACCTAATCTAATCTAATCTATCTAATCTAATCTAATCCAATCCTAATCCAATCCTAATCCAATCCTAATCTAATCTAATCTGATCTGATCTGATCTTATCTTTCTTTTCTTTTCTTTTCTTATCTTATCTTATCTTATCTTATCTTATCTTATCTTATCTATCTATCTATCTATCTATCTATACACATATTGGGGACCATCATAGTGTTTTATGAGACTGCCGATTAACCAGCCATTGTTTTTTTTTTTTTTAATTTTTCCCTGAGACACGGATCATGTTTGAGCCCAGCACTACCAACAATGCTGGCAATGATGCCACTAGTTTGTTGGTGTATTCTTCCCCCATGATTGGGTTCCCGAAAAATGGGATGGTCTATGATCCTAAAAATGACCTGTCAATTTGTAGTTGCCTGGGCTCAAGAAATATTGACCCATACTAAACCCCAGTCTCTGGAAACCTCAGTTTTTGGCAAGGTTGGCCACCACATATTTTTCGAGGAATTCCCGGGAAAAAGTCACCACAGACCCATGCCCATGTTTCATCGTGAAATCTCAAGTGAACAGAATTTTCACAACCTCCAACTGTTCGATATCCCCAACGTTTAGTCGATCAACTCCATAACTTTGGTAATAGATCTTGATTTTTCACCGATGTCTCTCCAAGAGGGTTTTCTTCCTCTCTGTGAAGCGTGTAAAAAAGACTTCTCTCAGTAACTATGATCGAGGCCAAAATGGGTTATTTCCAATGGTTCATAATTATGAAAAACCAAGGTTATGGGAATCCAAAAATCGTGTTTTCCAATGGTTCTGATCAGTAACTCAGTAACTTTTGTACATAACTATGGAAAGATCCACCATTTTCTAGCTGGGTAAATCAACTATTTCGACTGGGCCATGTTCAAGTTCGCAAACTGTAAACGTCATAACCACGCCGGGTAAGTACATGATGTTTCACAAAGCTTCGTTGGTGATGGGACCTCTAGGGCTCTAAGCGATAGCAAGGAAACCGGTCGGAAACCGGTCGGAAACCGGTCAACCAATGAATGGGGTTTGTCATCATTTCCCCCAGTGAGTCATAGCGATTTGAGCAGGGAACCTATTGACGAAGCAATGGATTTAGCAGTACCCCCCATTTTCAGAAGCGAAATAAATTGTCTTGAGAATGATAGGAATTCATCGTTTGAGAATTTGAGAATGATTATCATTTGCATCCCCAACCTTGGGTAGTTATATAAGTCCTTTAGTTTTTTGCAATGGAAAATAACCATAGCCAGCAAAAGATGACAGTTTTTTGTGGACTAGCAAAGATTGACCATGTTCGTTAACATTTTTGGTCAATGGTTGACTAACATAGATGTGGAAGATCAACCGTTGGTAGACGATTTTCCTTGGGAAACCGCAGGTTTTCCACATCTATGTTACTTTACCCTAGGGTACAATTTGAGTCCGGTTGGTGGTTTGGATAATGATGGATAATGATGGTTAATGATGGCTAATGATGATTAATGATGATTAATATCTGGTTGGTGGTTTCAAACATGAATTTTATTTTCCACAATATATGGGATGTCATCCTTCCCATTGACTTTCATATTTTTCAAGATGGTGAAATAGCACCACCAACCAGGAGTTTGTTTCCTGTTTTGTGAGCCTTACCATTTTTTGAGGGACCCCCCTGAAACCCTGAAACCCTGAGCCGGACGGACAGGTGGATGTCGCTGGATTTGAGGACGGGGGTTCTTTACCATCTTATAAACTTGGGGGAGCACCACCTTGCATGGATATGAGGCATACAGGTTTATGACTTATATTATCTGATATCATCTTATATCCGATTATATGCAATTCCCATAGATATTACCATTTTTATTGGTGACATCCCAGTAATCCTATTAAAATCCCACTAAAGTCTCACATTCAAATCCTATTCCGATTATTACAAGGTGGGGCCCCCCAGTTATAAGTTGGTTTATAAACCCCATTAACTATAGTTATTTGCGTACCATAAACCATAGTTATTGGAGTTATAAACCAACTTAGCTATATAATATGGTTCTTCATGGCTATTCATGGCTTTGAGCGTGGATTTTTCAGATACCTCCAGGGATGCAGAGCCAAATGGAACTCCCAGAAGCTCCCAGAATTGCTGCAAGGTCTTCTTGAAAAATCTTAAACAAAACAAGAGGAAGCCATGATATGGGTCAATACCTATAGATACATTTTTAGTGGGATGAACATCCATTTACCAGCTATTTTGGGGTTCACTAGGTACCAGGGTTTTGACCCATCCCCATATGTTAGCTTCAATCCGCCGTTTTGTTTGCCACGTCAACCTTGGAGGGGCATGAAGAATGAGATTTTAAGCCATGGAAAACACGCGTAGCCAATACATGATGGTTTTGGGTGCGAAAATCGGGTCTACCCCAAAGTGATGTTTTTGTTTTCCTCCCCATGTTTTTTCCTAGGTCAATCTTACATGGCTACTTTAATCCTTAGTCTTTTGGTATTAATGGGAATATCTACGTTCACCAGCAAAGATTTTTTTTTTTTGCAGGGTATCTAAGATTGGCAATGATTATTCACAATAATATAGTAGGTGTAAATTACAAAAATATTGTAGGTGTAATGGGTTACGTATATAATAATCCTAATATATCCTAATGTGTTACCCTAATATATCCTAATATGTTTCCTTTTTTGTTGACAGCCAACATGATGATGAACGGGTGGATGAAATACGGTACTTCAGGCGTCAATCCCGGATTAATACACCCTGGTTGTTTTTTCTTGGGTGGTTCTGTTGAATAAATAACCCGTCGCTACTAAACTGGTATCCCCCACAATTCAAGAAGCTACCCTCTGGTAATTTGTTACATAGCTATAGAAAATCCACCCATTTTTTTAAGTTCGGTAAACCATCGAAGTAACTGGGCCATGGCTTCCATAGCTATGTTGACATACCCAGAGGCTAGTGTCAGTGGGTTGTTCGGCAAGATCTTGGACTACACATCTGGTGTTTCTGAACAGGACCCGATAGGCGGATAGGCAAACCTGTTGGTTTATTTATTCTCTAAGGTAAAGCCTTAAATTTCATAAACCATCCCAGGTAACGTTGGCATTTTTATGGGTCACGAAGTTCATCCAAAGCAGGGCGATATTTTTCCAATTTTCAGAAACCCCTGGGGATGGTAAAGATGGATGTGAAAAAAGGCATAGGCTTTGCCACCAAATGTTGGATTTTTCAGAGGCGGCTACAGGACATCCTGTAGCTAGATACCCGGCCTGGTAAACAAACAGTTTGCGAACTTGAAAATGGCCATTTATAGTTGATTTACCCAGCTAGAAAATGGTGATTTTCCATATTTATGTAAACGTTTACCAGAGTACACCAACTCAAAACCAGCTGGGCCCTTCTTGTGACCTGTCAAAAAATGGCTACTCCTTTGAAGAAGTAAACGTTCATTCCGAGAATGCTTGGCTACCCAACTATTTCAAGTGTTCCATTTGTCTACCCACCGTTCGGGGGTGGGGTTCACAAAATGGAACATTTCGTTTGGATGTATATTCCATTATACCCGAGTATGTATGTGTATACGTATGCATACAAATCGGCATAAAGTGGTTGGTTGTATATACTTCCATATTATTGTCTGGTTGGTGGTTTGAAACATTTTATATTTTTCCATATATTGGGAACAATAATCCCATTTGACTTTCATATTTTTCAGAGGGGTAGAGCTCAACCACCAACCAGTTGTACATACTTGGAGAATCACCCCACGAATCGCAAGCTTCTGAAGTGTTTGTGGGGTTACCCTCGCCGGTTGTTTTTAGCAAATTGCCCACCAATCCTTTTAATCCTCATCCGCGCAATGATCGCGATGATCCTCCACATATTAGATTTACCCTCTGGTAAACGTTTACAAAACAATGGAAAATCACCGTTTTCAATAGGTAAATCCACTATACATCACCATGTTCAATAGCTATGTTAAATTACCAGGGGGTACCTTCCCAGAAACGATCGGGTTTTGTATTCTATCCGTTTTAACTTTTCAATCCTTTTGGGGGTCGCTGTCTATTACATAGATGTGTGTGTGTGTATATAGATATAGAATCATCCTGGAGAAGATAGCATATGGAACTTTCAAAAATCATCACACGAATGGTACTATTTTTGACATTTGTCACGCATGATGGGAGAGTGGCAGCATCACTAAGACTTTGAGCGCAGCCATGCCACTTCGTTTTGCCATCATTTATCTCACATGGGGATTCCTTAAAATGGCAGATCCCCAAAACCATAGGTTTCGATACGTCAACGGTTTAATTTAATATGATTTGGGGGTACCCCCATTTTAGGAACCCCCCTAAAATGGCACGGACGCAGCAACAAATCGACACCATTTCGCACCAGCTTCTGGGGATTTCAGTTTTTTTAGCATCTTTTCAGCAAACCGATCTCTTGCTACAGTGCTACAGTCTCGTCTCGCGCTTTTTTTTCGAGCTCATCTTCCAAAAGTGACCATAGTGACCCGCAATTTTTCAATCTTGGCGCAGCATCGTGCGCATTTTTACAAACAAAATCAATCAGATCAAGGCCGCAACTGCTGAAACATAGGACCCCCTTGAGCCACAAGACCACTAAAAACCATGCTGTTTCATGCACCTATCCATTTTTTCTAATCACAAGTTCACGCATGAGCATGATCTAAATGTTTCCACGTGCAGTTGTATCAACTTCCCAGCTAGTGTTTCTATGTAGCTCGGAAGTCTGCTAACTAAACTTCAATCAGTTATATCAGTTATATCCCACTACATCCAATTTTATCCCCCGAGTGATTCTCATTGCATCCCCATGAAGTTGTTTTAGGTACCATTGTAGATCGGTTTTTGTTTCAACCATTGATTAAGACAAACATGTAGGCTGCTGAAATATATTCCATCATGTGTATGTTCCCGTCACATGGTTGGTTGCCTGCCCCAATTTCCACGTATTGCTGGCTATATTCCATCAAATCCCTTGTTGGGTATGGATCAATACCTATTAATACCATTTTTAGGGGGATGAACATCCATTTACCAGCTATTTTGATGTTCACCAGGGGTACAAGGTTTTGACACATCCCCATATATCCTTATATGCAAAATTGAATTTATACGTGTGGCCTGCATTGGCCTGGCAAGATAAGTCATAGAGATTCCGCTGACAATAGGCCTTAGGCCTTCACAAAAGGCAAATTTTTAGCACCTGCAGCCGCTTCTTTGTGAAACGCGACGTTGGACCACACTGTCCCATTGGTTGAGGGTGTATCCAAACATGGGCTATGCCATGCTATACCTTTACTTTTGTGGCAATCTTTGGCATTAACAACGAGAACCACCATTTTGCGGCGCGCCACTTTCAGACACATGCATGTATTGCCATGGCTTTGCTCGGATTTTATCATGTCTCCGCCTTTTTTTTTGGCTGGCGCGAGCAGCGCCGACCATTCCATTCAAATTTAAACAATGCCAAATAGGTTAAAGCCTGCCCCCAAGCTGCATCCACATCCGTTTGTCTATTTCCGCGCTGGTCAGCATTGGCAGCCCCAAGATGGTTGGGACAAACCCGGGCAGGAGGCGGCTTGTGAGAAGCATGATGGCCACAGCATCAAAGCTAGGGCAGCCTTTCAATGACGTTAGGAGAGTTGTGAGTGGCAAAGTCCAGAGGCATATTTTTCAATGAGTCAGGATCAGCCGAAGCCCAGGAGAAACAAGGGGTTGGGTTGCCAGAATGGGAAGTTGTGGTTTTGCGACGGACCGCCACAACGGGTTTCAGTTACATAAAAATCATTGTTTGAGGCCGCAAAACATGGAGGTTACATTTTGTAGTATGGACAAGGGCCAGCCTCCAGGGCCTCCCGGTCAACACGATTGTTAATCTGACTTGATGTTTTGAGCAGCTGGCCTGGGCATTCATACAATGATCGGCTTCCCATCATTGCGGTATATTGCGGATTTTTACAAGAAAAACATGTGAACACATGAGATGCACTGAAAGGTTTTTAAGTCAACACGGGTGATCCATCCTTTCCGAGATTTGGTTGAAAAGAAATGCAGGATGACTGGGGCAAACATCACCGGCTTTTCTGTGATTTGTTTTTCAACCAAACGATTCGGTCAGAAAAGCGGTCCGGCTTTGGAAAAAACATCTGGCGATATCTAGCTTTTTCTTGAGGTCCTGATATAGTTAATTGGCTGGTATTGTCCCATATGTTCGAAACCCGATTTTTCATGGTTAACAACGGCGGGTTCCCACTTTGGGTGTTTGAATTTCCGAACTTTTTGTCGTTGTGGAATGGGCCCCATCTTTTGGGTATCTCGAAACTTGGTCCCCCATGAAAAACCCCAGACAGTCTGGAGTCCAAAAAAATCGTTTCTCCTTTCTGTTGATTAACAACTATACATGGGTTTGTCTGAAAATAGGGTATATTCCCAATTATAGCCATTTAATAGGGACAATGATCATTAACCATTGGGTTTAGGGGTACACTATTTTCAGACAAACCCACATAGCAAATTATAGTTTTTTTCCATACACATTTTGGTTTGGCATAGCCCCTCATGGTTGCAGGTCAAACCAGCATCTTGTTGGTTCCTGGTTCAAACCTTTGTGCTGAATCGGCCGTGCTTTGCCAGGTGCCGGTGGCTTTGAGAGGAAAAAATGCGGAACGATTGTGAGAAGGGATCGGGGCCGCAGCATGGGTTTGTCATGGGGTTCCAATACTGCTACCCATGCGCCACGGGGTTTTGATGCACCTTCTTTTCAGACAAAACCGCTACCGATGAGTGCCAAAAAATCAAATGCAGTTGTCCTAAAAAATGCGTGGTTATATAGCCTACACATAGACCTACCATATTTTCTGGGATTTATTCACATCCAAAAACCCGATAGCGATTTTTTGCAGAGGTTGAGACCATTTGCGTCGGCCATGGCTACTCCATCCCCCTTCGAGTTACAAGATGCGAGGCCTTGTGCCTCTTATAAAAACCTCCGTTTTAGTCAGGCTAACGGTGACATAGAATCCATGTCCAAGATTTTGTAGCTTAAACTTGTGAACCTCATCAAAAAAAACGTGTTAATCATGTTTGGCCATCATCAAAAAGCCGTGGCATTTTGTAGCACGGCATGAATGCAAGTCTTGTTGAAACCAACTTAGCATTTTGTAGCAAAGGTGTTCCTTTACTGTTGAAAACGACATGGGGCATTTGGTGGCTGCGATTTTCGGACGTGCAACTCAGCAACCTCGTTCTACAGAATTAGGGTCACAACGTTTCCCCGGAAATTCGAAGGGGGATGAGTAGCCTAGAATTTCAAGATATTTCAATGGGGAGCTTGGTTTCTTTCAAGCATGGAAATTTGAGTTCCCCTATTTTCGGAACCATTCATATTGATTTCCAAATTGGAAAGTGTGGTAATTTACCCAAGATCAACCCTAAACGATGACCTTAACCGGACCCTAAACAGCGAAACAAAAATCCTACAGCAGCCCTACTGTAACAAAATATAACAAAATGATACAAAATGTTATTTCTACCAGCCCACCCTAGAATGCTGAAATGCTACAAATACCCTAGAAATGGCAGCTTCAAACTCTAAAATCTTACAAATAGCTTCGGAATGGCAGCGCTGCCTTTGAAAAACATCCCTCCGAGGAGGGGCAAAACATCCTTGCCGCTATTTGCGGTGCCTAACTATTGAAAATACCCCATTGAGTTCGATGATTTACCTATTAAAATCTATTAAACATGGAGATTTACAACAGATATGCTTAACATTGCTTGACGACCAGAGGGTACTCTTCTATGGACCACCAACGTCCCAAACATGTGGATTTGGCTCAGAAACTGCGGCCGACCCAGTCCGATTCGCTCCACCAGACGCCAGAAATGGTGGCCGGGGTGCACAATGGGCCGATCCCGGCGGGGTTGTAATCCGGTTGTACATGTGATAAGCCACGAGTCGGGGACTTGCGTTCACCAGGGGCAGTTTCAAGTTGGATGGTCATCCATTGGACAAATGGGGAAATATGAAAAGAAAAACCCATCCAATCCCGTCAACAACGATCTAGCATAAACCTAACGACTTTGGACATTCCAAACCAACTTAGCTACTACAAATCAACTGTCTATCTTCATTAAAAAAATGTGAAATCCCTATAGAATGCTAGGTCGAATCCCATTTTTTAGACATTTTTTGGTGGTTGAATCCCACAATTTCTTGGTGAATTGCATTTTGTTCAGGGTAAATCATGGTAAATCACCATTTTTCCCACGTAAAATCACCATTTTTCATGGGAAATTCATCATTTTTCGTGGGAAAATCACAATTTTTCATGGGAAAATCACCATTTTTCATGGGAAACATGGGAAAATCACTATTTTTCATGGGAAAATCACCATGGCTACACCTCCCAAAACGATAAACAACGAGGCCCGCAGAAGCTCCGTCCTGACGTTGGCGCTCCTTGCGACGCTCTTGGTGGCCATTGAGCGATGCTTTGCCGCTGGGGCAATGGGGATGTTGGGAAGAGGTACCCTCTGGTAATTTAACATAGCTATGGAAAATGGACCATCTATAGATGTTTTACCTATTAAAATGGTGATTAATAGTGATTAATAGTGATTAACGGTGATTAATAGTGATTGATAGTGATTAACGGTGATTAATAGTGATTGATAGTGATTAACGGTGATTAATAGTGATTGATAGTGATTAATAGTGACTAATGGTGATTAATAATGGGTGATTTGGGGGTACCCGTATTTTAGGAAACCTCCAGGTAGCCAGGTGGGCCATTGAATATCCCAATATCCTATGAACGTCCTAGCAATATCCTCCATTAATATATTTGAGCAGCGGATGCAAAACTCCTGTTGGTTGATGATTGGTTGGACAATTATACTATCCAATAATACCTGGTTGGTGGCTTGGAGCATTTGGATTATTTTCCCAGATATTGGGAATTTGATTTTCCCAACTGACGAACTCATATTTTTCAGAGGGGTAGGGCTCAACCACCAACCAGTTTATGTGTATATATATATGTATGTACCCCTTGGTAATTTAACACTTTGCTATTGAACATGGCCCATGAATCGTTCGTTAATTGTGCCACTGGGATTATCCCAAATTCCGTGGGGGGAATCAACGCCACGGCCTGATATCATGGAAAAATGGGTATGTTTAATCGGTGATTTGGCTGATTTTCCCAATGGAACATCTACCATGACTGGGGAATCTACAGTGAATATTTTTTTAGTTTCCTTGAAACAAATCCAAGTATACATCTACATATAGATACGTATATATATATATATATATGTCTCTACAAGTGGGGATTTGTATATATATATGTATATATATATACGCATATGTTTAGAGGGAGATGCCCCCCAAGATTTTTTGTTGGTTCAGTTGGACCCCATAAAGTGGTTCACTACTTCGATATATCTAAACCCTAGTTATGTCACCTTGTACCAGGTTTTCTTGGTGAGTGGGGCATTACAAGTAGGGATACTATCCCCAGAAAGTCATATTCTCATAGTTGCAGGGCCCCATCTCCCAACTTATGGGGGTTTAGTTCACCATGTTTATTCACTTTTGGGGGTTCACCCATTATAATCCCTTTATTTACAATGTTTCATACCAATCCCAATAGTTACAAACTGGTGCAGGATGGCTTGTCCACAGTATGTCTGAAAGTTTCTTCAAAAGGGGGTAGCCCTGGTTATCATCCATCTTTTGGCGGGGTTTTCCGTTATAAACGAACTAATTTGGGGATCCCTCCATTTATCATCTGAGCTCTTCTCACCTCTCACCTCATCTCAGTTCATCTTATCTCTTCTCAGATGTCATCAATGTCATCTTAGATTCTTCTCAGCTATTTTCATCCGATGGAAACCCTTATATTGCCGCATATCCTACAAAGTGGGGCCCCATAGTTAGCTAAGTTGGTTTATAAGTCCAATAACTAGGGTTTATGGGGGTTATATCTATAGTTAATGGGGATTATAAACCAACTTATAACTGGGGGGCACCACATTGTAAGATCATTATCCGATGGAAACCCCCGAATGGGCCCCATATCGTTCATATCGTAAGACATGACCAGAGAAACCTCCGGTCCGGGAAAGCGCATCTTTGAAAACCAGGTCATGCCAGGCCGGGGCTGGCCGAAATCTGAAGGAAGTGGAATACAATGGAAATTCTATGTATATCTATGTGTGTATATATATATATATATCATTATATCATATATGTATATCATTACATATATATATTATTATATATGTATATCATTATATATATAACTATACATACATAGTTATATATATATAATTACATATATGTAAAACTATATATATATATATACAATGATATAATGATAAACTGATCCCACTGATATAATCATGCTATGATGGTGCAATAGACAATAATAGTATATAACGGTGGGTTATATAAGTGCAGTAATGAGAATATAATAGTGATATAATGGTACAAGAACGATTGAAACACCAACACTGGGAATACTCCACCGAAATTATCAAACTCCTTCTTGTAAACCTAGTAATTGTTTCGGGTCTGTTGAGTAACTCATTGATCTACCGTAATACTAATTACTAGGCTAGTGCTCCAACCATGGTTTAGTATTAGGATCTATTGAGTTTCGGGTCTGTCATTGTTCTTCTTTTGAACTATATCATCGGAAGATGGGACTAGCTCAAAGATGCAAGAACGGACAAGCAAGGAAAACTATAATTTGGATTAATTTGGTTATTTCACATAGCCATGGAAAATCACCATTTTAATAGGTTCATCTATAAATGGGTCATTTTACATAGCTATGTTAAAAAAAACCAGAGGGTATAATTTGGCTATAATCCAAACGTCTTTTTACTTGGAACCATTTAATCATCAAACTACTTTCCGGTAAGCGTGGCTTGCTGGAAGACCCACCATTTACTTCGAGGATTTTCCCAGCGAACTAAACTTCGATGTAGAAGGGATTTCCCAGCCAGCCACGTTTGATTACTGGATGGTATACCATTTCATGGTATGGTCAAATATGGAGCGACTGGTGCAGTGTAAAAAAGTTTGGGAATGCTAGGAGGATGGGACGAATCTACTGAGTTCTTGGCTTATCCGAGATTGATCGCGTGCGTCGTGCGTAGAAAATCTTTGATGGGGAAATGATGATTAAGCAGTAGAATGAGATATCCTATCTCCAGACCCATGTATTTTTGTTTTGACCGCAATAGATACCCTCTGGTTATTTAACATAGCCATGGAAAATGGCCCATTCATAGATGATTTTCCCATTAAAGCCTCCATTCATAAGGGATTTTCCATGGCTATGTTAGTCATAACCAGATGGTAAACTTTTGAAAAGGAACACAACCAACATCCAACCAATTCGCCGTGCAGAAAAAATTCTTCAGCACAAGAAATGAGTCATCCAGTCATCCCAAAAAACGTCATAGATTTGCCACCTGTAGAGTGCTTTGATTCTGGGACCATTCCTGTAGATATAATGATATAACCATTAGGGTCCCTCATAACCATAGTTGAATTATAATGAAAACCCTATTGTTACCCTCTGGTAATTTAACGTAGCTATTGAAAATGACCATTTATAGTTAAATTACCCTATTGTTATCTATTGTTTGTTATATATTTACCGATCTATATCCATATATACCCATGATATCCTCCCCGTTAACGTCCCATCCAAAACCTCTTTATTATCCCACTAAATCCCATGATTATCCCATTAAAATGTCATTATCCCAGCAAAATTCCAATCTTATCCAGTTACCCTCTGGTAATTTAACATAGCTATTGAAAATCTCCATTTATAGTGGATTTTCCCATTGAAAATGGTGATTTTCAATAGTTATGTTAGTTTACCAGAGGGTATATCAGCATTCTTGATGGTTTTCCCATTCATATCCCATTCAGAACCAACGAAAGTTTCAGAAAAACATCCCTCTGGTTTGCCTGCATCCCCCTAAAAGGCCCTAACTGATTGGTGGTTAATAGTGATGGTTAATAGTGGTTAACAGGCTATAAACCAACAACTATTGGGAATATTATGGTGATCTGATTGGTGGTGACTGGAACATGAATGGATTATGATTTTCCCATTCAGTTGGGAATGGAATAATCATCCCAACTGACGAACTCATCTTTTTTCAGAGGGGTAGGGTTCAACCACCAACCAGATACTATCCAATATATTGGGGGTGATCATCATCCCTTGAACCGGAAATCCCAACACTGCTCCCCCGAATCGGAATGAAACATGAATTACCCTCTGCTACATTCCCCTTTTAGGCCCTAAAATGGGATAGCCCTGCAAGGTGATGCCCCCCCAGTTATAAATTGGTTATAAGCCCATTAACTATAGATATATCACCTATAAACTATAGTTATTGGAGTTATGTTCACCGACTTAGCTATCTTGGGGGCACCACCTTCGTGGGACTTACTAACCAGGTGCCTCAGCCCGCCGTGCAGCGTTGCTGGGCGCGGTGTCTGCCACGGTGGCAACGGTGGCGGAGGACAAAGCGGAGGCGTTCGGCAAGAACCCTTCGGACTGGCTGGGATACTACAAGGACTCTGGGGGATGTTGAGGATTTCTTGAAAAAGATCTACCCTCTGGTATACTAACAGTTTGCCATGGAAAATGCCCATTTTAATAGATATTTATATAGTTGATTTACCCATTAAAAAAGGTGATTTTCAATAGCTATGTTAGTTTACCAGAGAGTAGTTGATATTTTGTGATTTGGGATATGAATGGGGATTAATGTGTATATATATATATATTATATATATATATATATATACATATTTAATATAGCGACTTTTAGATGCAATCATAAGTCTAGAGATATGCCATGATATTCCATGATATTTCATATGTAAGTGGAATTACAACCTGGGAATACAATGGTTCAATATGTTTTTTGGTTTGATATGGCTTCATATGGGGATCAACAGGGATCAGTGGGATGTTTATGGCCCGGGGCGCTGGCGGTCGACGAGGTGGGGGCACGGCATGCAGAAAAAGCGTGGCAAAACGCGTGGCAGGCGATTTAAAAAAAGACACCCTTCAAAATGAGAGGAAATTCGGGGAGTGCATGCTTGGTGGCTCATCCCACTTAGTAAGTGGGTTATAACCCCAGTGATTTACATGGGATAAGTAGGGTTAATCCACTTATAACTGGGGTTATAACCCACTTACTAAGTGGGATGAGCCACCAAGTGGGGCCACTAGCACATTTTTTTTTTGCTTCGTGCCGTCGTCTCAAAAGCCTGTCCGCCTTCACATTCGTGCAGTTCCAGTGGTCCAATGACGCCTATCAGTTGGAGGCATCGATGACACGAGAAGCCACAAGGTGGTGCCCCAGTTATAAATTGGTTATAAGCCCATTAACTATAGATATATCACCTATAAACTATAGATATATCACCTATAAACTGATATATCACCTATAAACATCTATAAACTATAGTTATTGGAGTTATGTTCACCAACTTAGATATCTTGGGGGCACCACCTTGCAACACCGTAGACTGTAGCCGCATGGACAGATTGAATGCTTCGCGGTGGCGGCTGCTTTCATCGGGGCACGTACGCTTTCTACGTGCGCCTTTACCATCGCCGAGTCTTTGTTTCTAGGTGATAGTTGTTGAAGTCCTCCCACGGATGTGGGTAAAACAGTGCCACAAACCACCCATTTGGGAATGGTTTTTGCCACCTGTTTATGCTGATTTAGAAAATTGTTTATGATTGGTTTTGCCCACATTAGAGATAATCACGGTCCCGGCGGATGTCTTAAATCCTGCACCAGTTGATAGGTGGTTTATCCCATTATTTATAGGGTTTCAACCATCCAAGGTGGTGCAGGATTTCTTCCATCCACAGTAGTTCGGGATGGTTCAACATTGATTGAACGATTTGTAAAATCCTCATTCTATGACTGGTGCGGCGACCGCAGAAAAGAATGGCACAATCACATTTTACTAAAAAAAAGTGACGAAGGATTTTTCCATTTTTTTGGGGTCCGATGACCAACCTGGTGTGTCCACCACCCTTAAAACTTGGTTGTCAGGACCCACAACACCCCATGTGCCCTCGCAAGATCAAGTATGACCCTGCGGTGGTTTCTTGGCAACCCCTTAAAAAATGCGGTTTGGGATGGCGTTGGCATCTAAAAACTTGGAGGTGCATTACAGTTAACCCAAGGTTTTCTTTCATACTGGAAACCATGGCCGATTTAGTTCGATGGTTTACCGATTAAACATGGTGATTTTCCAGTTCGCTACGTTGAATTACCAGAGGATGGTAGGTGGGTCATATCCACATTTTTTTACCCAGAAGTGATGGGATCACTCAAAAATGATGCTGGGATGCCTCCGAATTTTTTGCATCTCTTACTGAGGAATCTGAGTAAACCATGGATGAATATTTCAGTACTTTACTGTTTGCTACTAACATGTTTTTTTGGGGGGTTTGCCTCCAAAATTTATGGGGAACCACCTCAATAATTTTTGGAGTAGAATGGGTTATTTGGAGGGCGTAACCAATTTTCAGACAAACCAGTTACTCATAATTGTTGGTGATATTCCACTATATCCCCAACTTGATCCAAGTTCCTTACTACAATAATCCGTTATATTTGTATCGGTGGTGTCCTAAAATAGGCGTACCCCCAAATCATCCATTTTAGTATAGGATTTTCGATTATAAACCATCCATTTTGGGGTACCCCCCATTTTAGGAAACCTCCGCATAATCTCAGTAGGTGTTCTTTCCCAGCCGGACAATTCAATTTGGTGCAGGGGATGCAAGACAGGTTATCCCTAAACTCCACTGGTCATGGTTTATCATCTTCATTCCATTCAATGGGTGTCTGAGAGTCTGGGGTACCCCAAAATAGTCCTTTTAAATGGGAATAATGATCATACAAAGTGGGGCCCAAGATAGCTAAGTTGGTTTATAATCCCCATTAACTATAGATATAACCCCCATAAACCCTAGTTATTGTAGTTACAAACCAACTTAGCTATCTTGGGGGCCCCACTTTGAATAATGATCATAAAATTCACACACCATTGGATTTTGAGGTACCTTATTTTCAGACACAGGAACAATTGTGCGGTGTACCCAATTTTGGGATGTTTTTGGACCAACCCATGTTGTAGCGAAAGTCCCTTCCAACAACTCACCCCACGAATCATAACTGGTTGGTGTTTGAAGGGTTATAATCCAGTTGTAAATGGGATTAATGTCAACCCTGGATTAATAACCCCCTTTCAAACGGCTGTTTAATTGGGAAGGTACCATTTAATGATGACTATTGGAGGAGTAGCCTCCCAATTAATAAACCAGGGGTTGACATTACCCACAAGTCGGGGACTTGCGATCACCAGTTTTTTTAAAAACCAGCTACGAGTTGTGGGATGATCCTCCAAATATATCCCTTTATCGCCATGATTATCGGATGGTTCTTGAATCCATATGCTTTTTATATACCAATATCAATGATGGTGTTCAAATGAGTTATTATCAGTTAAATCCCGCCATTGTATCACCATCATTGTTGACAATACCCTTGAAACCGCATTGACTAGTTCGATACACGTTAAACCCTTAGTCAGATCCAAGTAAATACGTCTACGTACCCTCTGGTAAACTAACATAGCTATGGAAAATCACCTTTTATTTTAATGGGTAAATCCACTATTTCGACTGGGCCATTTTCAAGTTCGCTTTTTGTATGTTTACCAGGCCGGGTAATACAGCGTCCAAAAATAAAAGTCCATTTACAGTAGACACCATATCATCCATCCACAAGCCCTAGATGTCCAGTCATGAAACACTCGCGTCATCCGAGAAAACGGGCATGATCGTGGAGGGAGGCGATGGCAACCCTGGCTGCGAAAAGAAGGTGTGACCTGGGGGGACGACGAGTTGGATTAGCCTCCAGTAAACTATAGCGATTGTATTTATAGAGGCTAAATGATCTATAGCTATAGTCTACTTATAATAGTATAGCTATTTATAGTATATAAATAAATGATTTATAGCATTCTATAGCTATTTATATAACTAATGTACTACTATGAATAGTCTATAGCTATAGAAAATGAGCCACTAAAAAAACAGGATTTACCTACTAGAAATGGTGAACTGTCAATAGCTATGTTAGTTTACCAGAGGCTGAGATGAGATGAGATTACAGAAGACCGATAGAAAGGTGGAAAGGTAGATGGGTAGATGGGTAGATATGTAAATAGGTGGATAGGTAGATGGCTTATAAACTCAGGTTCTACCTCAAATTCAACTTCCAGAATTGGTTTCGGCAAAATTCGGAGGTTTTGCCTTTGCTATGTTTTACCATGTTTTACGCAGTTTGTTTTCCAGTTTTGCTATTATTTGGGGGCATCGCATTACCAGCACATTTTTTGTGCCTTTCCCTTCAATGCAGTGATTCCCAAGTGCTGGCTAAATTCCAGAGTTTTTTTTTTTTAAAACATCTTTTGATTGTCCAACTCTCCCTATCGTTTGGGGTTAATTCTACTTGGTTCATCTTGGTTCCAATTTCTTGGTTTAAATATGTTGAAATCACATTTTCGAGATGTTTTTTCACTTGAGCACATTTCACTTACCAACATTTCCAGTATTTTGATTTCTGTTTTCCATACGGTTGTGGGTTAAATTCACCACATGTCCAACCTAGCGTTGCTCCAAACAATGATAGGCAGGACTGCGGGAAATAGGCGAGTTGGCTTCTTGAAAGTTCCGACATTTTCCCACCCTTTAGTTATTTTACAACTATTGGCACGCATTTACTATAAATGTCCTCCCCTCTCCTTCATGAGCTTCCCTTTTTTGGTAAAAATGTTCACGGGGATTCAACCATTCTCCCAATGTCCGTGACAGCCCGGAAAAAAATGATGGGTCAGATTCGCCCTCGTGGTTGCTGGTGGTTAGGCATCAACAAACACCTTTACATTGTTGGGGGGGTTGGCTCAATCCCCATGAACATCGGTATCTATCTTGGAAGTGAACTAAGTGGACCTATAACCAGAATTTACATGGCTTATATCCCAACTGATGGGGGTTTATAACCAAGCTTGCAGTGTAACGCAACCTCAACTGCACCCTTGAATAGGGACTTAGATGGGCCAACTAGTGAAAATACCTAGCTAAATCATGGGTTATCACCACCATTTTTAGATCTTCCGATTAATTATTTGATGTAGCCATAGAAATCATCGTTTTTCAATAGGTAAATCATCAAAAATCATCGTACGAAATGGGTCATGGCTTCTATAGCAAACTGTTCATATCACCTCCACTTTTAGGTCATTTTCCCACTAAATTCCCATTCAAACTTGAATTTTTTTCCATTGCACTCTCCAGTTTCCATTTGTAGGGGACTTTCCTATTAAAACTTCCATTTTTAGGGGCATTTTCCATTTAGACCTATGTTTCTTCAAATCCATCGACGCAGGTGCTGACCCCCTTCCGCGCCCCTGTGACTTTCACCCCGGACAGCGACAGCATCACCATCGATTTCACCGATAAGGGCGGCCCTGCGGACCCCGGGCTCAGGGGCTGTGGCTGAGGGGTAGGGGTGGCTTTTTGTAGGGACTGGGCCTGCCCCAAATTCACAGTTTCACTCACTTTCACCCTGAACATCGGAAAAAACATGGGTGGAAACTCAACATTCCAAGGTGTTTATTTGGAAAGGTCGAAGTATGAATTTCTGGGAGGGGAATGGAGATTTTACCCAGCAAAATGGCGATTGAAGTGTTGATTTTGATGGAAAACCATGTGATAAGCACATGATCAACCAACCTTCGTAATGGATCACCCCTATGATTCGTAAGTAACTGCTTAGTAACCAGGCTTGATTCACCCATAAACAGAAAAAGGGGGAGAGAGCACTTCTCTGGGCGACAAGTCGCCCACCGGTCATGATTTCTGGGATGATCCTTGGGGTCCGAAGAGTTGTGAAAAACATGTTCCGTAAGAAACATGGGGATGTCGCCGCTGAACAACAGGATTTCATAACACATATACGGATATGATGATATGGATATATATATATTTATAATTATATATATATATATATGGGTGGTGCCCCATAGAGATCTCAGTATATTCATACCTGCAAAAATTCTCTACGGTGTTTGCGGGGGTTATATATATCGAATTAGTTAATTAATAGGGTGAAACTAAACAACGAACAGAACTGGGGGGCACAATGCATGGGTGTGATTGTAAATGGAGTATACCACCCAAATGGCAATTTTGAATTGGGAAACAGTGTGATTGACCAGTAGATTTATGTGGTAGCGTATTTTCCGACCCACATGGTGTATATACAGATACAGTAACGGGTTACCTGCCCCACCTGGAGTAGTGCTGGCGAGGTTTAGCTACCCTGTAAGCAAACATGGCAATTGATCCACCAAATTTCGTACCAGGATTGCACCTATAAACCTCCATTTTTGATAGGGATTTCCCATGCCACGTTGAATTGCCGGAGGGTAACCTCTATATATTCACCGTCTTTGTGTGATGCAGCAACCAACCGCTCAGAAATCTCCAAGTCTCAGGTTTTTCCCCAAAGAACTGCAGCCAAATTCAACTGTTTAGTTCATGTACATATACATCATCTACATCATTCGCATGAAGTTTGTGATCAATGAGCATGCTTATTTTGGTCCTTTTCCTTTCCCCCTTCTGGTTGGTTATTTTTGTCCTTTTCCTTCTGGTAAATTTGAAGTCGCCGTAGCCACGACGTCACTGGAAAATGAGGGGAATTGCCAGGGGAAGCCTAGAGACATTTTTGGTCATATTTGGTCCCCCAAATTTGGTATATCCAGATCTGTTTACATCGATATGAACCGATACTTCATGGTCAAAGATTGGTTTACACTTCCTTTTTTAGTACTATACCATCATTTGGTATACCATTATCCTTAATCCTATCAGTAAAATATGTTCTATGATAATTAGTACTGTGGTATATTTGGTTGGTTTATCAACATGGAATATGACAATTATATATTCATTCTTAATGCTAATATTTAGTATATGTTTCTATGATACACATCAATAATCCCATGACCCTAATTTTTCTAACACCCCAATTTCTGGTCCCAACAAATTACCATTAATAACGGTTATAATTGTCATATTCCCCACTAACATGTTTAGCCATGTTGGTAATATGACAATTATGGGGAATTAAAAACCATGAAAATTAACTCATATACCATTAATAACATAATATAATTAATTAATGGCTTATTTAGTTAATACCAATATTATGAATGGCTTATTAACTATTAACTATACCATTATACCATTAATAACCAATATAACATAATATAACCATATTCCCCATGAATGGTTTTCATGGAAATTCCCCACTCAAAACCCATGGGCTTTTCGTTGAGAGCGCTGGGATTCCACCGTCATTTTCTCCCAGGACGTGGTGGGCAGGTGGGATGGGGATGGCATTGTCTTCCCGGTGCCCTGGTTGGTGAGTCTGGAATATTAACAGTTCGCCATGGGAAATGGCCCATAGAAATAGATGGTTTACCTATTAAAAATGGTGGTTTACCTATTAAAAATGGTGATTATCCCCTTGTAAATTAACATGTAGACCCTGAAAAAAACCCATTTTTAATGGAAACTAGTCTTCCAATCCCTATCTGGCAGGGTCTATGTTAATTTACTGGAGGGTAACATGAGTTGAATGATTGGTCTTAATTTTCTCATGTTAATTTTATCATGTTAATATTAACTAATTAACATTGAGTAGTGTTTAAAAACCATGTTGGTTGATGATTAGTTGGGGGATTCTACTACCCTTCATATATTGGGGATTATGACAATTCACAGTTTGCCTCTGGAAAATGGAAAATAGCTATTAAACATAGATAATTAACATAGCTATGGAATCGGCATAGCTATTTTTTTTGGTATGTTAATTCATCATGGATCATGATAGAAAATGGCCATTCACAGTGGATTTACCTATTAAACATGGTGATTTTCCATTACTTTTTGTACGTTTGCCAGAAGGTTTTTATCTATGAAAGTTTGGGGTGGGTTTTAAACCAACAATCATGGAGGTGGAACAATGGGATGATATTTATGATATGGATATACCTTCTGGTAAACGTTTACAAAAAACTATGGAAAGATCCACCATTTTATACCTGGGTAAATCAGCTATTTCTATGGCCATTTTCAATAGTCATCTTAAATTACCAGAGGATAAAAGGGTTGCCAGTAATGTAATATTTTTGCAACAATTTGAGACCCTCTGATCATTGGGATTTTACAAACACAGTACTTTTTGGATTCAACTTTAACGAACATTAACGGGATATGTTCATGGAATATTTTCATGGGAATACAATGGTACATAGTACATATATCATACATGTACATGATACTGTACATGTATCATAATGCATGTATAGGTAGTCAACAATGACATGCTCTGATATGTGTCATTTTTCTTATGGGGATATAAGAATCAAACATATGAGGGCATAGCTGATGAATGATGGTTGGTTTATGATTGTGGGAAGGCTCAGAATCACGAACCATGGAAGTCTACAATGGACTGACCGAGGGGTTTGAACACTGCTCTAATTGGATTTTCACCATCAGAAATGACGGTTTTTGTGGTATCTCTGACGGTTTTCTTGGGGGAAACCACTGAAAAATAGATTAATTCACCACTCAACATCGAGGACAGAAACCTGGTAAATCCTCCTCCAAACACGCAGCGTCTCTGCAAATGTTGCGCCTAAACCAATCCAATGAACGACGCTGTTTCGGTGAGGAATCCCAGTCGAAAGGTTAGTTAGTTGGTTCTTCCTGATGGGTTAACAGACTGTTGGATAGAATTAGGCAAGGGTAATGTAATAACATCAGGAAAAATGACTCATGATTTTTCCACCCAAAACTTTCATTTACAGTGGTTTTTCCTATATTTTCCAATGCTTTTCCCAGTGAAAAGGTTGGATTAACCACCAGACTGTTCTTCCTCATGATATATCCAGTTTCTGGGGTTTCTGATGGCATAATCCCAGGTTGGATACGGTGGGTTAACAGAGCAAGATGGGAATATTACCCTCTGGTTACTTAACAGTTTGCCATGGAAGCCATGGCCCATTTTGTTCGATGTTTTTTGATTATTTACCTATTAAAAATGGTGATTCTCCATAGCTACGTTAAATAACCAGATCGTACAAGCTATATACAAGAATTGGATAGAATTGACATGTAACAAACTCGCAAAATTCGCAAATAAAAATAGAAACATGTACGAAAATGATGGTATAACTTGCAATAACCTGCTATGCAAGAAATGATTGAAGGTCGTATCCCATTGCTATTCCCATTGTTGGTTAAATCCCCGTGAATCACCATCAATTCCCTTCAAATTCCCTAGGAAGTCACTGAAAGTCTTGGAAAGGAACAGGGATTTCCGTGGAACATCAATGATAAGCCCAAAATTCCCATGAATTCACATCGTTTGGAAAATTTTGGGATTTCCGTGGAACATCCATGATAATCCCAATGTAAGATATGAAAGGTTTCTCGGATTCATTGAAAAAAACAATCCAAATTCAAAATTCCCTTGAAAATCCCAAGTTCCCATTGAAAAACATCCATTGATTCAAAACATCCAGTGAAAAAAAACATCCAAATTCCCGTGGAAATCCCCAGTGACTGGATCAGCGTCTGAGGATGGCAACAAGTGGAAGAAGCTCTTCGGACTCTCCGCTGCCACGGGTCAAGACATCTAAAGGCGCAGCTTTCACCCGACCCGAAAACGGCAAAAGCAGCTGAGAAGATCAGAAGTTTGTCGCTTTTTTTTGGAAAGACACTGAATGAATTCACTGATTGATTGGATTGATGTTTGGATTTTTTCTTGGAAGAAACTGTTTTGGAAGACTTGTTTTTGGTTGTTTTTCTTGGATTTCTGTGAAAGATTTCAAGTTGATGTCCTGAGTTTCGGCAGCTGCCACCTCAACGGGTCGATTTTTTTTTATCACCCATAGCCGAGATCTGAGAATCGACGCGCCGCAAAAAAAAGATATGGGGGGTTCCATAAATGGTCCCCCAAATGGATGGTATGGATGGTTTATTTCATGGATGGTTCCCATTGATTGGTTACTTAACTGATGATCAATGATGATGGTTAATAGTGGTTAATAGTGATGGTTAATAGTGGTTAATAGGCTAGACTATAAACCAACAACAATGGGAATATTATGGTGATCTGAAAATCCATCTATCTGGGTAAATTTGATCACGACCTCACTGTTCGACCAAACCCTGGAAATCAGGGTTTTTATAAGGGGAATCATCCCCAAATGGCCGAACTATTCAGGTTAGTGAAATATTATAATTTGCCCAGATCTATAAATGGATGATTTGGGGGTGCCCCTATTTCAGGAAACCTCCATGTGGTGACACGCACTGTATTTGAGGTGTGTCGTTTACACATGTATATTGACGGGCAGCAATGATATTGTAACGCAAACTTACAAGAAAACATGTTTTTCAATGTCAATGAAGAAACACATCAACACCATCAAAACACATCAAAAACACCGTTTCACCATGTGTTTCAATGTCTAAATGGTGAAATAAGCTACACATATTGTTTATTTTGAAGGTTCATCACATTCTGCCAAATTGATCCTCAATTGCCTGCGAACCGCTGCTTTTATCAGACCAAACTGCTTTGCTTTTCGGTGCGACCTCTCTGATTTACGACAATCTCTGCACAAAAGCTTCTTGTTGATATCATTTGATATGTCAAGTCAGTTGGTGGTTTGGAACATTTTTTATTTTTCCATATATTGGAAATAATCATCCGTAGGTATACCACCAACCAGGTCAAGCCTGTTGGTCAAGTTGGCATTCCTCGAAAATTCTGATGTCCCCACTGGCGATGACAGATCCACCCCTCATTAAAGGTGATTTATGGACATCCAACGTTCGAAACACACGCGATTTACACGAGATTTCCGGCAGATCTGGGATTTATGGAGGGCTAATGGAGCAGAAACGACGGCGCCTTGCGCCCAGTGCTGAGGTGGAAGGGGTCGAGGAGGTCCAGGCCGAAGATGGCCTGAGACTTCACGTGTCTTTGCCGAGTGGTCGAAGCGCGGCTATAACGGATGCGTTGCCCGGATCTGCAATGGACAATTACCAGCAAAAAGAGGATAGCTGAGTTGGTGCACATAACTTGGTGAATTCTGTGAGGTTGATGTAGGGTATACCAATGGTTTATGTGGGATGTAATTCCCCTGAGTTATTCCAAAGTTAATCCACCAGAAATGGGGAATCTACTGAGGATTATCTTAAAAGTGTTTTGGTGGTTGGATCGCAACTCCGAGGTTGGGTGTCAGCGTTGGTGACTTGAAAACCATGGCGCAAGAATCGCTAAATCAAAGATTCTTAAAACTTGCAGGGCCTGATGGAAGGCTGCTGGATCTAATGGAAACTCTTGAATTTTCTGGCCTTGAAGATGGAGACTGCATTGTTGCTGTTGTGCAGCAGCCACAGCTCGCTGCGACAGATTGTGCCTTTGCTCTGTGGTGCGAAGGTCTTGGGCTTGTCACATGGGGCCATCCAGACTTCGGCGGTGACAGTGCTGCAGTCCAGGATCAGCTCAAGAACATCCGACAGATACGTTCCACGCGCTATGCTTTTGCTGCGATCTTGGCAGATGGGAGCGTGGTGACGTGGGGCACGCCTGACTTTGGTGGTGACAGTACTGTAGTTCAAGACAAACTGCAGAAAGTTCAACAGATTCATTCCACTGAGCGTTCATTTGCTGCGATCTTGGCAGATAGAACCGTGGTGACATGGGGTGAGCCAGCATATGGCGGTCACAGCTTTGATGTCCGCGATCAGCTCAAAAACGTAAAGCAGATTCATTCCACGCGCTATGCTTTTGCAGCAATCTTGGCAGATGGAAGCGTGGTGACGTGGGGCGATCCAGACACTGGTGGTGACAGCTCCGCAGTCCAAGATCAGCTAAGGGATGTCCAACAGATTCATGGCGCAGACTTTGCGTTTTCTGCTGTTTTGAAGAACAGAAATGTTGTGACTTGGGGCATGTCTGGCTTCGGTGGTGACAGCACTGGAGTCCAAGACAAGCTGGCAAATGTTCAACAGATTCATTCCACTGAGCGTTCATTTGCTGCGATCTTGGCAGATGGAACCGTGGTGACATGGGGCCATCAAAAGTACGGCGGTGACAGCAGTGCAGTCCGAGATCAGCTCAAAAACGTGAAGCAGATTCATTCCACTGAGTGTGCTTTTGCCGCAATCTTGGCCGACGGAACCGTGGTGACGTGGGGCGAGCCAGACTATGGTGGTGACAGCTCTTCAGTCCGAGATCAGCTCAAGAACGTTCAGGAGATTCATACCACGCAGTGTGCTTTTGCTGCAATCTTGGCGGACAGAACCGTGGTGACATGGGGCTTTGAAATCTTCGGCGGTGACAGCTCTGCAGTGCAAGATCAGCTCAGGAATGTCCAGCAGATTCACGCCACGCAGCTTGCTTTTGCTGCGGTCTTGGCAGATGGAAGAGTGGTGACATGGGGCTTTGAGAGCTACGGTGGTGACAGTACTGCAGTTCAAGATCAGTTCAATCATTTATAGCATTTATAACCATTTATATCCATTTATAGCCTTTACAGATCTCTATAGCAGTTCTCAGCAACAGATTGGCTGATGCAGAAGTCTCATTGCCGGTGGAAACAGATCAAAAAACCTTGCGGGGTGGCAGGTGGTTTAACCCCGTAGGCTTCGACTTCCAAATGCTCCACCTGTTGTTGTGTCTTTCATCCCTCATCAAAAATCAGCAGAACTTCCACATTTTTGGGACTTTGTCGAAGTCATCAAGCACCCCGAAAGGGCAAATTTCCCGCGTTTTCTGAACAGGTCCGTGCTCTTCATCGAAGTGCAACGGCCTTCTTGACCTACCTGGTATGGCATATGGCGTGTCTAACAATGGGGTAAATATGCCACCCACATAGCCGTTCGAAGAGGGAAACTCACATATAATGATGAGTAGTCGTTGAATTTCGGGGTACATGTTTTTTTCATTTCCAGACACACCGATATGGCAGTGTGTCAAAACCTTGTACCCCTGTAGTTCACATCAAAATAGCTGGGATTTATGGATGTTCATCCCACTAAAAATGGTATTTTCATAGGTATTGATCCATAGCCATATTATCATGGTGTTGGTTACCCTCTGGTAATTTAACGTAGCTATAGAAAATCACAATTTTTAATGGGAAAAAACACTATTTCTATGGCCATTTTCAACAGCTATGTTTGACATAACCAGAGGGTATACATCCCACAACATATCCCATATCATGTCATATCATATCCCACAAAACCAAGATTTTAGATCTTTCCATCCTGATGTTCTCTCCCCAACTCTTGAAATTCGCGTGAAAACATGAAGAAAACTAGCAGGAAAGTGCTGAGTACTGATCCTGCAAGATGGTTTTCTTCAGTTTTCCGTGATGGGAAAACACTGGCATCCATGGTTGCAATCTGGGGGAGTTTGTAGCCGCATTGGGCTCAAAAAAAACCATTACTTTTTCTTTGAAGCCCCAGGTAGCCTAGCCTTTTGACACGTCATATCATGCCAATTTATATCCCCAATTTTTGCGCGTGAATCCACAGTTTACCTCGGAAAATGCCACTCTTGGTTTGATGAGAAAATAATTCGTTTCCGTTCTGCCAAAGATATGCAGATATGGGGATGGGTCAATACCTACTATGTGTAGGTATATGACCATATACCATCATATTACATATATATATATACATACATACACACATACACATACAGTCACACACACACAGATATATATATATATATACATATGTATGTAGTTCCACATCCTCATTCTGATTACAGATTCCATGAGATATCCCGAAGTATTGTTGTCAAGATCTTCACCCATGCTGTGCCAACACCTTCGCCGTTCGCCTCGTTGTTCAAGGGGAACGCAAGAGTTTCGTCACGTCGAGCTGCACCGTCAGCCGAGGGGTTGGGAGCCATGGGTCACGGAGGAAACAATGTGATTCCCAACGTGCACTTCAGACGCCTGGCAGAATTGATTCCTTCTCAATATTACCCCGGGAGAAACCATGGTGGATGTGATTTCAACATTTTTGGGACCATAAACATATTAAACATATTAGCAAAATATTTCACAAACCATGGTTTCAACCCCTAAACATATTTCAAACCATGTTTGGGGCTGTTTAAATATTTTAAATATGGATGGGGGATGGGAGTTGATGAAACTGGGCCAAACGAATCCCGTGATATTCACATATGAAACATAGCAACATATAGGTGTTTTTGATAGTGTTTCAAGATTTCAAAGCAGGAAACCATATGTTTTCATACATAGTAGGTGTTTCATCCCATCGAAATAGGTTTGATAGTAGGGGTTTCATCCCATCATTAAAATACTTTCAGATAGATTTTCATAGCCTCATTCGGTATGAAACAATTCTATGAACATGATTGGTGTTTTTTTTGATTGCTGAACACATTTTCCATCTTTCTTTGGATGATGATGCCTCTTGACTGAATCTTATTGGACTTTTTTAGGGGCTTGAACCATGTTGAAACCACCGAGATCACATCATCCCATGGCTAGGGGTAATAGCCATTGCTATTGGGGATGGTGGTTTATGGCGGGGTATAGCCCACATGATGTGAAACCAATAGATTCCGATATTCCCACTATTTTCCAATTGCATTCCTATTATATTATCTTCCCACTATATTCCAATTACATTCCCACTAGATTCCAATTATATTCCCATTAGATTCCCGCTATATTCCAATAAGATACTATATTCCCATTATATTTCAATTATATTCGCATTGTTTTACCACATGTAAACCTGCCCACCACCTGCGTTTTTCTTTTTCCGCTGTTAGGAAAAGTGAACGGATGTCAGTCGGGGCGCAACAATCGCGTCTTCATGCGCACCTGGTTGAACCAGGTCAGCGGTCAAGACCGGGGATGTTGCGCGTTCTCAAGCGTTTCGAACATTGGGAGTTACCCCTTGTAATATATGGTGATTAAATGGGATTTTAATGGGACTTTATAGTGATTTAATGGGATTTAATGGGATTTAATGGGATTTAATGGGATTTAATGGGATTTAATGGGATATGATTCATCAGTACAACCATATAATTATATATATATATAGATACCCTCTTGTAATTTAACATAGCGAACTGGAAAATCACCATGTTGAATAGGTAAATCATCGAACTAAATGTTGATATGTCATTTGATGTAATGGAATTTTGGCGGGTATTTGATAGGGTTTAGTGGGATTGAGTGGAGCTTTCAATAGGATTTCATGGGATTTAATGGGATACGATTCGTCAACAACATGAAGATGGGGTGATATACCCTCTTGTAATTTCACATAGCGAACTGGAAAATCACCATGATGAATAGGTAAATCATCGAACTATTCATTGGCCATGGTTTCCATAGCAAACTGTTCAATAACGAGAAGGTCATACATTTTGCCATGGGAAAAAGGGTTATATGATCCTATCAAGCTGATTGGTCAATGCCCTGGAGCCTGTGTTGGTCCTGGAGAATGATGGGTCCAGCGATACGACCGGGGGTAGATGTCGTAAATAATGTGCTATGAGAGGTCCCAGGGATTTGAATCCGCTGGTTTTTATCCATGTTCCGTAGTTACGAGGTGGTGCCCAGCTCATATTTCACTAGGGTTTATTGTAGATATGTCTATAGTTTATGGGTGAATCAAGCAACTTGCAACCGCAAGGTAGGGCCCATCAGTTATAAGTTGGTTCATAAACCTCATTATCTATAGTTCTATATACCATAAACCATAGAATTCACAGTTCTATCATGTTCTATATATACCATACCATCAAAAATCACCAAGTTATTTGGCACCAAGTTTTGCCACCTTGTTGGGGACATCACAATGCAACGACTGCAGGCTGGCCGCAAGAAGCGTCGTGCCAACACCCGCAAGGAAAAGGCGGCGCCGCTTGGCCCGCTGTCTGCGGTGCCCAAAATTGAGAAATACCCCTGTTGTTTTCACAAAACAAGGGACTGTGAGAGTGCAGTTTTTCTGCACATGACTTTGCATGTTTATGAAGAATCAGAACAAGTTATATATTGAAAAACAGAACGAAAAAGCGCGCTCTCACAGTCCCCGACGCTCTTTATTATACGGTGGGATCCCATATTCATAATATGATCCCATAGTTCAGTCAGTTGGTTGAGTTTTTTCTCATATTTCAGGAGAGCGTAGTGGGGTTTGTCAACCAACGTACAAAAAAAGATTCCCATTACCCTCTGGTGAACTAACATAGCAATGGAAAATCACCATTCTTAATGGGAAAATCCACTATAAATAGCCATTTTCCATTGCTATGTTAGTTCACCAGAGGGTACATTTCTTTACTGATACTGCAGGGATATCATTTATGGCGTTGAAAAAACAAAATAAGTGGTCAATTAGCCGCATATAGCATATACATCACCCACTATATCCAACTGCGGGGGATGTATTCCATTTATACAACTGGGTGATTACCCTCTGGTAAACTGACATAGCTATGGAAAACAACCATTTTCATACCTAAATCATCGAACCACCTGTGGATTTTCTGTAGCAAACGGTTAGTTTTCTACATCAATGATAGATATATCCACAAGAAAACCCTATCGACATATCAGTTACTGCAGTGGCAAACGTCTAATAGTTTTCTACATCAAAGAAACCCTAGTGACATATTAGTTACAAACCAAAAAAATCGTGGAATCCGCAACTTCCCAAGTCACATCGCCATATCGGAGACGGCCGAGGAAGATCTTTCCCCGCCCTTCCGCGGGACTGCTGCGGCCCCTGGTGCATCCTCCCACCCAGATGCTCGGCGGAGATGAAATCCCGAAAGCATGGGGAGGTTCAAGAACAAGATAACCATTTTTTTGTGAGATGAAACGAAGATGATTGTGATTGTTTTTTTACTTTTGGCGGAGTTATGTAGTTTATCCATATTTTCATTTGTATGTTATACGATGCCACGGATGTGTAAAATATATGCATTAATTAACCAAGCACAGCACAACGGACTTGTATCAGGACATTTGGCGGATTTTGCCATTGCTGAACAGGATGGTTTACTGGCAGAAATCGCACTGTAAACTGTGTTTACATGGAAACCAGGACCCAGGGAATGCATCTATGAAACTCAAGGTTTTGGTAGCTAAGAGAATCTCTTCGACTTGGCCTCTTTTCAACCTTTTTTTGGGACAGGTTTACACTATCCACGGCAGCTATTGTGAAGATTTGTTGCCTCAAGTTGGAGATTTCGAGTATCCCCATGTACTGAATCCGTCCTCGTGATTTTTGGTGAGCACCAAAAGATCTATACTACTATACCTGCAGTCCTATGGGCAGGAATCGAAATTAGATAGGTAGCCCAACTACATTTCATTGAGTATCCCCCCAACACTGCCCGGCTTACAGTGTCCCCCATGGCCCTGAACCATTTTCTAAGCTTGGATGCACTTCCAAGAGGGCAAACAGCGGTATACCTTCCGGCGTCATCAAACATGGCTTGCCTCCTTTTTTCATGGGGATTTGCCAGCTAGCCACATTTGATGACACCAGAAGGTGCATACATTATTATCCCATCGATATCCCATTATTTTCCCCTATTTACACTTTATTAAACCATATAAAACCATGTTAAACCATTTTTTCCCGGTGGTCGTGGTTGAAATTCCAAGCTATCCATGGACCTCGGGTGTCTCCGACCTGAGGCGATACAACATGAAGCTGCGCTTGGGCAAGGCACCTGGGCAGAGACCCTGGAGCTGAGATTTCGTTCATTTTTGCATCGGAAAATATGGAACAAAAATCTGGAAAAAAACGACATGGAAAAACAATTTAGATGGTAATTCAACAAACCAAATTAACATTTCAAATATATATATATATATATTTTCTGCATAATTTTACCACACTGGGAGTATTCATTTTTTTTTGTAAAAAAGATTTGCTGTTTTCCCCAATGATGCACACCCAATACACCATATCCATGTCGAATTCTGCCATTTGGGGTTTCCTAAAATGGGTACCCGGGTACCCAAATCATACAAGTCATGGGACCATGACTTAGTATTGAAACCCATGGTGACTTGGGGATCCTCCATGACTTAAGAAGCCACCATGATTATTGTGATGATGAATGATGAATGATGATGATGATGGTGATGATGATGATGATGATGATGATGATGATGATGATGAATGATGTTCCCAAATGGACACGGCCATCAATTGAAACCATCATTATGAAACCAGCATAACATATGATTCATTGGATATGTATATATATATATACATATATACACATTGATGATGGTAATTATGGCTTTAATTAATGATATGGACATGTCTATTTAATGGTAAACATCAATTAACTTAATGGTTATATATATATATACACCAATGATTTGTTATATATTCTTCTTTACTTGGCCCATCTCCATGGGACGTAGGGCTTCACCCTCGATGAGCTGAAAGAAGCGAAGAGCCTTGGCACCACCTGGGAATTGGAGGTGCAGTGACTAGGTGAACTAAGTGGATAGATTTCACCATAGTTATAGAACATATATCCCAACTTTTGGAGGTTATCACCATGGTTGTACCTCTTAATAACCCCAACTGCTTAGATGTATTATGATTTTGGTGATTTTTAGAAAAGGATGATGGCAAAATTGTTTCTTTTTTGCGTTTTTTGGTGATTTATTGTCAATATTTCTTGAGAATAGTATCCTCCAGTAATCAAGCATGGCTGGCTGGGAATTCCCGGAACTAAGTGAGTATCTGAATAGGAAAAGCATCCAACTAAAGAATGGGGCATTTTGCAGGACGCCATGTTTGATGAGGGCAACATTTCTGCAAACAGACTTGAACATATATAATGTCTTTCTTTATTCCTAAGAAGCCATGCCCCTTGATAGTCTTGTTTAATACCAAACATGAACAGTCTTGTGGGTCTTTTGGCGCGCTCATGATTTCAGGTAGCTGTAAAGTATGTAAGACGTTTAAGAATGGTTAATAATGCAGTGACGGAGTTTAGATGTCTCAGGCTTTACATTTGAGCAGAACCAAACAGGTACTCGTAGCAGCCAATGAATGTTTGTGAGGGAACGAGAGACTTCAATCTGCAAGATGTGACATTATGGGTGAACTGAATAATGTCAGCTCCCTGCTTACAGGCCGTTTGCGTTGATTTTTCCGAGTGTTTGTTGAGCACCTCTTTCAAAGTTAAAAACTCTGAAGGTGGGTGATTGATGTTTTTTTTTTTGTCGTGTTTCTTTATGTTTCTTTCACTTCATGAGATCCCCCAATTCTATCTTTGGGAATATCTGATATCTTTGGATTTTCAAAAACACATCTTTATATATTTATAGAGATCAAAATTCCAGTTTCTGTATACATTCTCTTAACATTGGCCCAAGAATCTGCCATTCTTTCGCGTCCTTTCAGACGCACACCTGTCATGGCGACAGCACAGCGGCGCTCGGCGGCATTGATGCGGTGCCTGCTGCTGTGGGTGAGCCTTGCACCCGTTGCCTATGTGGTGCCGGGGTGGTGGCGGAAAGGACGGCATTGAGCCAAATGGGGAAGACAACCAATGTCACTGTTTAGGTTCAAGTACTCCCCTCCCTCTAATACTAAACACCACCAAGAAACCAAGGTTTAATAGGGTATTTACAGGCATTTGAGACCATTCCCTTTCGCTTAATGGAGGTATATTGATTTGGCTGACAGAAAGGTTCCTTTCACAATTCCTTCAATAAGGCATCACACTCTGGCAAGAGAGTAGCTAACCGTCCCTGCAGTTGCGAATGTTTTTTTGGTATATACGTCTAACATTATGATTTTGCATTGCAGCTGAAATTTCTAGTCAGAAAATGCAGTAGCGGAATAAACACCACCCACCGCTTTCTCATTTCTTTGTTTGGTTTCCTGAAGGATGGCCACGGAAGCACATGAACAGCGTGGCAGAGACCGAGTTGCTGACGCAATTGGCCGCCTTGCTGATGCCTGAAGATGTAGCCATTGAAGAGATGTTCCGCAACTTCCCAGCCCCGGAGGGGTGGGGTGGTAACTATTTGGAACCAGATCTGAGTTTGTTTGGGGTTCTGAAAGATGAGAATGCTGCATTATTTGTGGAATATGATGGATCTTGGCGGCATGAGACAAAGGAAGGAATGGAGAGAGATCAGATGAAGAATGCAGCACTCTTGAAATATGCATCTGCTGGGTCGTATATCATTCGCATCAGCCACACAATTAGCAAACCATTGGAGGGAAATGCTCTCTGGGTCAAAATTGATACTTGGCGCAGAGGGGATGTGAAGACACTTTCTGAAGTACTGATGGATCTTTTGGTGCGAATCAAGAGTTCTGGCCTACAAGAGCTTTTGCACCCAAGGGTGGCCAATCGAGTGAGTGTCCACATGGAGCGGGATAGCATCAAGCTTTCAGCCCATGCGCACCAGCTGGCATGCTCAGCGGTAGTGGTTGGAGGGGGCAACACCAGCGAAGAGATTTCAAGTTTCCTGTCATCAGAAGGATTTGGACTCCAAAACGCCACCTTGGCACAGGCTCAAAGTTGTTGTGGAGTATCCATAGAGAGGACATTGCAACCCAAAATGAACTGGTTGTTAGGCTTGGGGCTGACAAAGAGTCAGGCTGCGAAGGCAGTGTCCACTCATCCTCAGATTCTTGGCCTTAGCATAGAACATAACTTGAAACCCACTGTGCAGTGGTTTCTCGGGTTGGGGCTGACAAAAAATCAGGTTGCGAAGGCAGTGGCCACTTCTCCTCGCATTCTCGGGTATAGCATCGAGCAAAACTTGAAACCCACTGTGCAATGGCTGTTGGGTTTGGGGCTGACAACGAGTCAGGTTGGAAAGGCAGTGGCCACTTTCCCCCCCATTCTTGGGTATAGCATCGAGCAAAACTTGACACCCACTGTGCAGTGGCTGTTGGGCTTGGGGCTGACAAAGAGTCAGGCTGCAAAGGCAGTGTCCACTCATCCTCAGATTCTTGGCCTTAGCATCGAACAGAACTTAAAACCAACTGTGCAATGGCTGTTGAATTTGGGGCTGACGAAGAGTCAAGTTGCGAAGTCCGTGTTCACTGCTCCTCCCATTCTGAAGCTGAGCATCGAGCAAAACTTGAAACCCACTGTGCAGTGGTTTCTCGGGTTGGGGCTGACGAAGAATCAGGTTGCGAAGGCAGTGGCCACTTCCCCCCCCATTCTTTGGTGTAGCATCGAGCAAAACTTGAAACCCACTGTGCAGTGGTTTCTCGGGTTGGGGCTGACGAAAAATCAGGTTGCGAAGGCAGTGGCCACTTCTCCTTGCATTCTTGGGTATAGCATCGAGCAAAACTTGAAACCCACTGTGCAATGGCTGTTGGGTTTGGGGCTTACAAGCAGCCAAGTTGCCCTGACAGTGGCCCGTTTTCCTACGATCCTTGGCTACAGCATAGAGCTGAATTTGAAGCCCACAGTGCAGTGGCTCCAGGGGTTTCACGTGAGCAAGAAGAAACTTCGAAAAGTCATTGCAAATTGGCCTCGTCTCTTGGGATACAGTGTTGAAAGCAATCTCGAACCAAAGGCACGACTTCTGGAAGAGTTCTGTTCACAACAGCAGGCAAGTGAAATCATTGCCAGCAACCCTGAAATACTGCGATTCAGCTATAGGCGGATTGCAGCTCGCTTCAGCATCCTCTCGAAGCAGAACAAGCAATCTCAAGCGTACTATGCCATGCGTTTGACAGATGATGTCTTTGAGAGACGGTTTCTGTCTTGAGTTATAAGCTGCCACCATACAGAGTGTGACAAGAGCGTAGCGAAAGCAATGAAAAGACGGTTTTTATTGACGGTTTTCATTGCACACCACACACACACACTTGAAGTCCTAGCCCTCGCGCCTTGACCATAACCTTGACCTTCATAATCTTCATGATCAACTATTGGCATTCATTAGCGGGATCTACTCCTTCAAAACCCTGCAAATTTCCCGTCCCAGGGATTGTTCTAGGCTTAGTTATGGCAAGTTTGCATTTGTTGTTCCTTTTTCTTCATGATCATCTTGCAGTGGTTGTTGTTTTTGGGTTGCTTTGTGAAATGCTGGGGTCCCTCATCTTCAGAATCTTACGGCCACCACCCGTCCCGAGGATCCCGCGCAAGTTTGCCAAGACCATTGGCATTGCCGTGGACCACCGCCGTAGGTGGGGTATCCACTGCCTTCATGTGGCTACTACGATTTGTAGGGGTTGAATCATGACTTTAAAGGACGTTAAAGTCTGGCAGATTCTAGGGTCCCAAAACAATTGCATTGCATAATATACACCCCTGATTCAATGTGTTTTCAGATTTTAAGTGTTGTTTTGACACGTTTTGGATCTTTTTGGATGATTTGAAGCCGACACTCATAGCCAGCAGGAACCGATGCACCGAGAGCCTCCAGGCGAACGTGGAGCGACTGAAGTGCCTTGGCTCAGTGATTTAGGTGGTGGCTGGGATTTAGGCAGCAGGGACGGTGAAAAAGTTCCGATATGATGGTTGAGGTTGTAGGGGATTGATCACCGTGGGTGATATTTTCTGTTTAGAGGGGAGTATAGGGATGATGCAGTAGATGGGATTTTACTGGAACACGGCTTAGGATGCGATTTTTACTCACGGTGAATCCAGACTTTTGGCTTCAGCCCTGAATGGATTCCATCCGTGATTGGAAAAATGTTAGTGGTTGTCCCCGCCAGGATTTGTAGGTCGACATCTCCACTTTATTGGATAATATCAAAGCAATGTCAAGTATGTTTATTGGTAAATACAAACACATCATCATTGAATTCTCAATAGTGAATGTTTGATGATGAATGATGATTATCCAATACCAGTTAACCATATTTCTTAATATTTATATATATATAGATATATATAGCCATTTGGATGATCAATAATTGATCATTTGTTCTCGTTAGTCTCCTCATTTTCTCACGCACCACCAACCCTCCACTTGCCTTGCTCCTTTGTGCCGGTGACAGGTTGTACATGTCCAAGCTGCTCCTTTTCCCCAAGAAGTCGGGCGTCAAGGGCGTCGCTTGGTCATGGCAACGGTGTTTTCTGCTCCGTTGATGGGGTTGGGTACCTGACCCACGGGGCGGTTCATTTTTTGATTTTGAATTTTAATGTGGGTGTGTATATCGGCATCATGTATGTCTTGTATATGTGCATAATTGCTTTGTATAGGTATAATTATGTATATACATATACATACATATATTTGCTGCGGCGTGCGGATTGACTCCCACCATCATCCATGGTCTTCACCGCTCTTGGCTTGTGCAACAGCATTTGTATCGCCAGTAGTTTTATCTACGATTAGTTTTTGAGTCATACATTTTGGATGAATCAGAAAATCATTCCCAAATCCAACATTTAAAGAAATAAATGAGAAACTTATCCCAGAATCTATATAAAGATTAAATTTTATGAGCCCCCAATTGGATGATTTTTTTCGGTGATGGATTCCCTCTCTGAAAACCGGCCACAGTTTGTTTTTCCGGACGCCGTAGGTCAAGAAGGGCGACACGCCTCGCTCGGAGCTGCAGAACGTGGCACAGAACACCCTGAAGGCGCCGAAAAATAGTGCGATTTGTGGGCCATTTGATATGACTATCCAAATTTATATGGATGAATGTAATGAGTCCAAACATGGCCATGAACTCTGTATTCGTTGAAATATTGATAGGCTGAAGCATCTCTTTTGAATGGTTGGATTGTTGAATTTCGCCCATCGTACTGGTATGTACATGGTATTTGAGCAACAAAGAAGGGGGGAATGATTTGTCAAAGTCTACATAAGTTCTGCTGTCTCAATCCAATACTTATTGCAATAAAAGCCAACCTTTGCCGATTGAATCCACTTTGCCTCGGTGGAATTTCCAAAATCCGTTGCCAAGATCCCAGGTTTTTTTCTTTTTCCAAATTCGATCTTTCCTCGAATCTCCCTTGAACCAGAAACACAATCCATTACACATGATGATAATAGACTTCATGTTTAACCATTCATTAGCCATTTCAAGCAGTTAAATAACCATTGTTAACTTTTATTAACCATAAAAATCGAGTATTTAACCATATTGAACCATTTACGAACCATATTTAACTATACTTATAGTCCATATAACCATACTTTTTCATATCTAGCCATATATTCACCCATGTTTTTCCACCCATCTTTTTTCCTGACAGCGTCTGTCCCAGCGCCTGCGTCGCCAGGAGATCATCCCGGTGCCAAAGGTCACCAAGCGCATCAAGGCGCGCGCCATCACCAGCGAGGCCAGGTGGATGGGGATGGCTGTGGTTTTTGATGGGAAAATGGGTGGAGAACTACCCTCTATCTGGTAATCAAATAGAAATGGTGATTTCATGCTTATAGCTTAATTACTTTTTTTTTTTTTTTAATAGCTATAAGATGCTATATTATACTATAAGTAATTAATAGTAATCAAGTAAATCACCTATGGGAAATAGATGAACATAGTGGCGATTTACCCATTTATAGTTGAATTAGTTGATTTACCTACGGAAAATCACGACTTTGAAGAGGTAAATCAACGAACTAAATGGGCCATGTTCAATAGCTCTGTTAGTTTACCAGTGGGTATGGGAAAATGGTTGGACATGTGATGGTTGATGGGAAAATGCTTGGAAAAATGTTGGGAAATAGTTGGGAAAGCCAGGTGGTAAAATCAGCAAACCAATTGGGCACCACTTTTTTGTGGGAAAATATGTTGGGTAAATGTGATGTAACCGCGATAAAGTAAGTTCTTTTTGGTGAAACTTTGGTATTTTTTCATGGCCTCCCAATGAATCTTAGTGGTAAAATTAGGCAAATCGGATGCAGAGGCTGTTTGAGAAGCCAATTGACCTGGCTGCGATTTGTTTCCTCGGGATTCCTAGATATTTTATGATATTTTTGGGTGTGCGCGTCTTCTACAATGTGGGGCACCGAAGAGAGGTATGAGTCTCCAATTACATAAGTTTTTTTTGGTGGATATATCTGAAATCAGTTGAATAGGTATGTGTAGACAAACTGCATCGCCCCACTTTGTACATACCAAAAGGGCTTCCAGAACACCGATTTCACCCAATGATGTGCTTGCAAGAAGATGTGGCTCCCGTATCCTCCCATAAAAATCGTCTTTGGATCCAAGACTGGTGACGGATCAAACGGAGAATTCTGCAGAGACTGCCTGGGGGTGAATCCCAGTTGGCCAGTGGTTAATAGCCCATAAAAACAATGCTGGGATATATCACATATCCCATTTGCAATGTTTTTTTTTTTTAAATACAGCAGCAATCATCAGCATCAACATTACTTAACTGAGTGAGTTGAGATGGTCATTACCTAGGTAGTTACTGTGACTGGGATGGGCATCCAAGCGGTGCACAGGAGAAGGAGCAGTCTGCCTACAAGACCCTCAAGAAGGCGCGTTCCCACTGGCTTGGGTCAGAGACCACCTTGTGAGGTTCAAGGTTGGGTGGATTTCATATATGGATGAGAGCCAGACTTGTATCATTCTACTGGGCAAGTGGTTGCATTGCTACAAGATGATCATTACATAGGAGCCCCAGTTTTTGGTGTTCTCCCAGTTTTGACCGGGCTGGGACTGGTAATGCAATTGGTTCCAGGGTTGATTCTATTTACAGCAGCGAGACGGGATTGTATCCAATTGGGGTCATTATATGCTATCCACCTCCAGCGGATGAAATATGATGAATCAAAATCCAAGCATAGCTCATGTCTTAGCCCAGGTTCCTAAGCATCAACATGGTCGCAAAGGCAGCACATTGATGAAATGCATGGCATGAAGGCATCCCTCAACAGCTTTGGCCCAACTTATGCCATTCAATCGGATTGTTTGATATTCTTCGCCACATGCAGCGAAGGCGGAATGCGAGGCATACATTCACCAGCCTGTGCCTTGTGCTGGCCCTGGTGCTGCCCACACTTACCTATGTAGAACCACCCAAATGGTGGCAGAAAGGCTGGGCACGAGGCAGGGTGGACAGCGTGGCTGAAGCCGAGTTGTTGTCACAGTTGGCTGTCATTTTGATGCCGAGCTCGGACATTGGAGAGCTGTTTCGGAGCTTCCCGTCGCCAGAAGGTTGGGGCGGACAGGCTTTGGAGCCCGATTTGGCGGCATTTGGGATCCTCAAAGAGAAGGATGCCGCGCTGTTTGTGGAGTATGATGGATTTTGGAGGCATCAGGAGAAGGAAGGCATTGCCATGGACAAGAAGAAGAATGCTGCCCTGTTGGAATATGCACCAAATGGATCGTATGTGGTTCGCATAAGCCACACCAAGAGAAAATCGCTGAAAGGGAATGTTCTTCGGGTCAAAGTGGACACCTGGAGTCAAAGGAAAGTAGGCTCGCTCTCGGGAGCTTTGAAGGGAGCATTGATTCAGATGCTTACCGGACTGAAGGAAGTTGTGCGGCCCTCCATCGTGAAGCGGCTTCAAGGAGGGCTGCAGGAGTCATGGAGCCTCTCTGCGAGTGGCAAGGAGTTTGCAAAAGAGGCTGCAGCCAAATTGGGCAGGAACAACAGTCGAGAGGTTGCCAACTTTCTCAAAGTTGAGGGATTTAGTGCTGTTGACATTGAGGTGATGAAATTGGGCACATGGTTTCGTGGTCCAAGCATTGAAGAGTTTCTGAAGCCAAAGCTGCGGTGGCTGCTAGACTTGGGCCTGACTCGGGCACAAATTTCTAAGTTGATTGCAACTGACCCCACTGTGCTTCATTGCAGAGTGGAGCAGAAGCTGCAGCCCGCAGTACAATGGTTGCTGGATTTGGGGTTGATGAAGAATCAGATCGCGAAGGCAGTGGCCGCTTTTCCTAAGATTCTTGGCCTCAGCATCAAACAGAACTTGCAACCCACTGTGCAATGGTTGTTAGGCTTGGGGCTGGCTAAGAGTCAAGTCGCGAAGGCAGTGGCCTCTTTTCCTCACATTGTTGGCTACAGTTTGGACCAGAACCTAAAGCCCACTATGCAATGGTTGTTAGACTTGGGGCTGACCAAGAGTCAGGCTGTGAAGGCAGTTGCCTCTCGTCCTCAAATTTTTGGCTACAGTTTGGACCAGAACCTAAAGCCCACTATGCGATGGTTCTTGGACTTGGGGCTGACGAAAGGTCAAGTTGCGAAGGTAGTGGCCTCTTTTCCTCACATTCTTGGCTACAGTTTGGACCAGAACATAACTCCTACTGTGCAATGGCTGTTAGATTTAGGGCTTCCCAAAAGCAAAGTTGCAAGGGCAGTAGCCAATTATCCCCAAATTCTTGGCCTCAGTATAGAGCAGAATTTGAAGCCCACCGTCCAATGGTTGCTAGACCTGGGGTAGGACAAGACTCAAGTGGCGAAGGCAGTTGGCTCCCATGCTGCAATTCTTTCTCTCAGCATTGAGGAGAACTTGAAACCCAAAGCGCGATGGCTTTTGGAGATAGGGCTTTCCCGAGACAACTTGCACATGCAGTGGCATCATCTCCTACGACGTTGTCGCTAAGTCTGGAGAAGAATATTGAGAAGAAATCCAAGTTGATCCTCTCATGTCTAACACGGGAGGATCTCGTGCGGCAACTAGCTTCCAGTTTGCACATCTTCAACTACAAATATAAGCGCTTGGAGGAACGGTTAACAACTCTGGCGCTCCAGAACAAGACATCTCGGCTTGGTAGTGCCATGACCCTCTCAGATGAAAACTTCGCAAGACGGTACATGATATAAATTCTACGGCATGGGAGCTTGTAGTTGGCTCAGCCCTTGTTGTGACCATGCTCTCTGGTTGCTGAAAAGGCTGAGAAGGGCATGTCAGTCTACGGATAATGCCTTGGCAACCTGAACCCCAATGGCAATTCCCGGTTGTCAGTGAGATTGAAATGCTGGACTCAGTTTTTGAAATACTGGACTGATAGGTAGGATTGGCTATTGCTAAGCAGACTTTTGTTCAATGCGTTTTTTCTTTTGCTCTGCAGGGACTTTTATAGATATATGATGATATATGTAGCAGATCATTCCAAAAGACAAATGCGTCAGAAATTCAGGATAAGAACGCGATTTGACCAACAAATACTGAAGTCGTTCAATGCAACTTATGGGTTCTTACGCAGGTAGTGTGGAGATAGTACTCTGAAATATTCAGGGCTACTTCTTAAGTACAGGTACTCCTAGGATGAACCAATTCGTAGGTGGCTTCAAAACCATGACCCACGCCATCGCCACTGCGTCAGGCAAGGACCGCGGCACACTACCAGGGCGAGAGAATCAAGAAGGCCAAGGAAGCCGTTGCCTGGCTGCGTCAGCAACTGCTGGTTGGTGGTTTGGGATGATGGTCTGAACTGACTATATAATCTTTTACCGGGAGGTTGAAACTAGTCTACCAAAAGTTCTGGTTGGTGACTATGGGAATAAGTCAGTTGTAAGTTAGAACCCGCCTGTACATGACATTGATTTAGCATGAATCGGACGATTTGGCAATTTTGCAGCAGGGTAGCCATCTACAGTAAGTACGGACATCGGGATCATGATGATCATGTCGCCCTGCGATTAGTATCCTATAGGAATGAAGTGGCATCAATGATCGAGAAACATTGGGATAGGATTTCATGACTCCACCATGTTTCTACAGGCCAAAACCAACCACACGAACACATAAAAAATCACAACATGTCACCTCTTTTGTTCAAATTTGGCAGGTGAAAACCTGAGTTTGCCCACATCGAGGTGAGTATAATTCTTCAGTTTTCCCCCAGAACCTCACGGACAATCACTTGACAAAGACATATTTGACTGGCTGACTGTATCTGCCATGTTTGGAAAGTCCGGATCCCATCTTGATAGCATCTGAAAATCCAAAGAATACACTTAAAACAATGAAATTGCAATGTTTTATGTCCAGACAGCATTGGGTATCATCATGATATATCATGAGAATATCCCATTAGTTATGAAACATATTCGGACTTCCCATTCTCATTCTCGCTGGATAATATATAATCCCAATGGCGTCCCATTATATACCAATGTTTAGGACATCCCATTGGAATATAGTATTATGATATGTAACCCATTTGTATAGATTTATAAGTTGTGTAATACTAATGGTGTCCCATCGGCTATCAAGACTAAGAAATAAATACATATTTATTTATGTGTCAATATTAGTTAACATTATTCCAGTTTCCTAATATGGTAAATATATATTTATATCTAAATATTTCAACCAATTGGAC